TATTTTTTTCCAAACGTGCCAAAAGAAGTTTAACTACAAAAAGAATTATTAGTAGTTTATACGTATAATTTGAGTGGACACGAGAGGTGTTGAAAATATAAGCGAGGTTAACTCGCTAGCAAGTATCGCGAAGTGTAAACTGTACGCTACAAAATTTTCCTCAATCACCATATGTGGAAAGTAATATTATTATATATTAGTATATTTTCAGTGTATGTATTTTGATATGTGCAGATGTTGTAGCAGCATATCTTTGTTTTTTGTTGCACGATCATAGTTAGATTTCTATATTACACTAGGTTTTATATAGAAAAAAGTACTTATTTTGACCGTACCTCTATAGGCCTTTTTAATACCTACAATTTTCTAACATATTGTTTTGACGTATCTTTAAAGGTTTATCCAGCGTTAGCCATGTAATCGTATGAAAACAGCTTTTTTTGACAAAATACCATCTAGGCAGTTCCGTCTTTACCATAAGCCCTTATGGTAAAGACGGAACTGCCTAGATGGTGCCTAGCCTACACGGCACGTGCCCGGGCCCCCAACCTCATGGGGGCCCCGAAAACACAAATATTCGTAAACATGGAAAATAAAGATGTTCAATGTGTTATTATGTCTTACAATGTATAGGTAATGTAATGCACTGTAATATACGCAGTCAGGATTCTTTTTATTTTTTTACATTCACATTTTTTGTATTTTTTAAGGGGCCCTAAATTGTTGTGTGCCTAAGACCTTGGATGGCTTAAGAGGGTCCTGCGTCTAGACTCAGCCATTTTGTACAAAATATTTACAAATTGTATACACAAACCTTGCCCGTTTATCGCTCTTTCTATTAGTGAAAAGTGAAAACATTATAAGAGATCAAAATTCGTTGCGTGGTTTAGAAGAAGTAAGCAGAGAAACAGATTGACGCAGATAACGACTTTGTTTTATACTATGTAGGTATATCTATACATATAATAAAATTGTAACTAAGCCGAATCTGTACATTAGATATTTTTAGAAAAATCTTATTGAAATAAACATTATTATCGATACAGAGGCCGAATCTATAGTTTTTAGAATTTTTGTCTGTCTGTCTGTCTGTTACCGCATCACAGAAAAACCACTGGAGGGATTTTGATGAAATTTGGTATGATGATAGCTGGTTATCCGAGTCAACATATAGGATACTTCTTACCCTGGGAAAATATCTCATTTTTGAGAAAAAAATACAAAAACCGCATTGTAAGAGTATACTAATATGTAAAACCTAAGAATTTGGTTTTTGGTCATCTGAACGCGGGCGGAGCCGCGGGCAATGCTAGTTTAGATATATAGATTTCGTCAGAGTCATTAACATACCGCACACAATTTACTGCGAATGCTCCACTAGTTTTAATACTTGAGTGAGGACGTTACCATTTCATACCATCACTGTTATTCAATCGCGAACTCTTAAGTCAATTATTTAATGGCTTATTTATATCGCTACTTGTATCATAGATGATACAGTACTACAATAGTACAGAGGCCCCAAGCCCATACAAAGATATTGGACACTGCTATTTAATTAGAGCTATTCTTGTTTACCTGAATAGATAATAAATAAATAAATATGTTGGAGCATTAACACGTAGATCAATCGAGTTTTTTCGATTTGCAAAGACGAAGAAAACTACTGCAGTTGCATTTTTACAGAAGAATTTTCATAGAGACCGGTTATTTCTTTACTCTGTAACGTACCCAAAGGTTGCCAACGGGACCCTATTACTAAGCTTTCACTGTCCGTCCATCCGTCTGTCAGCGGGCTGTATCTCATGAACCGTAATAGATAGAGAGTTGAAATTTTCACAGAGTGTGTATTTCTATTGAGGCTATAATAACAAATCATAAAATTGCATTTAAAAAGTATAGTTTTCTACGATGGTACGAAACTCTTTGTGTGCAAGTCCGGCTCGCACTTGACCGGTTTTTTTTTTAAATATGTATATTAAGTATTAACACAGACGGCAGAACACGCGCAGTCGACGCGCTCTCGTCATACACGCTAAACGGCGCGTCTAATAAGCTTGGTATTTAAAGGCCTTTAGGTTACGACTACGGTTTTACCGTTGAATCTTGATGAATGTTTGCTATTTTTATTACATCTTTATACTGATATTTATTGTGTATCTAGATCGGTGGTCTAGTGGCTAGTATGTGCGGTCGCAGTTCCTGGGATCATAGGTTTGATCCCCGGGTCAGGCCAAGTTTAGTTAAATAGTCTTTCTGTTAAGAAAGTTCCAGACACAGCGAAATTTGGTGGGGTGTCAATCATGTCAAGGTTATCACAACCAGAAAAATTTGGAGATATTATTCATGTTTCATATAAATATGTTGGTACATTAACACATAGCACCATCTAGTTCCATGGTAAGCTATGAGACCTGTGTTATGGATACCAGATAGTTGATACACTACACATATATAACTTTAAACACATACACATTATAAATATAAACACCCATGACTGGAGTACAAACATTCGTGCTCATCACACAAATGAATGCCCCCGGCGGGGCTCGAACCCGCGACCGCTGCCCAGCAAGTAGGGTCACTACAAACAGAGCCAAACGTGTCGTCAAAAAAAAGTTAAAAAAAAATAATAACCGACTTCCAGGCACTAAAAAGTAAAAAAATAACTAAACGGAGGTTTTCATTTACTACCATAGATACCTACTTAAACAGATAGTTTCGAAGTCGGTGTGCTTTGATTTGTATTGGCTGGCAAACTAAACTAAATATTCTAATCAGGTTCCTATCGGTAAGTAGGGTTGATCTACTTTTTTAAAATTAAAATAATATTGACAAGTGTCAACTGACATTCATAAAATACATTTTATAATCTGTACGTTTATCAGTGTTTAAATTCGGTATATAGGTGAATTAATTTTAAATTAAACCCTAACACATACTACATATTATATAACCCTCGGTGTGCGAGTCAGATTCGCGCTTGGCCGATTTTCTTTTAAAAAACCAGTGCTAATGCTAGAACAAAGAAACAGTTCAAAATATTTGTCACTGAGGAAGTACTACACACGCCCACCAACAACGTGCTTAGCCGTTATCAGTGACACTGGCTGGCTGATGCGCATATGTCGTGTACTCATAGATCTATTGATACGTGTTTATTACCCACTAGCGATTCACCCTCGCTACGCTCAGGTTCGTCCCTAGTTACGTTTTAACGTTTAGTATAGATTCCTCAATGATATTTTCCCGCAGTAAAAAGTATCCTATATGTTGACCCGGATACCTACTATCATCATACCCAATTCCATCAAAATCTGTCCAGTGGTTTTCTTGTGATGCGTTCCAAGACAGAGAGAATGACTATTTCAATAAGATTTTCCAAAAAATTTCATGTACAGATTCGACTCGGTTAGAATTTTATTATATAAGTATATATATATTAGGGTGTGCCAAAAAATGACGATTTTTTTTTCTTCGCTCTCACCCCAAAATATCTTAGAAAATGTCCCAACAAAGCTCCTGTTAAAAGCGGAGCTCAAAATTCTAATTCTAAGAGGTTCTCCATCGAACTTTAAGTTTTCCCATACAAATTGTATGGAAAATATGATTTTTAACACTTTTTTGTCCTGCAAACTATGACGAAAATATTTTTCAAAAAAATGAATGAATGGACCGTTTTTACTATTAAATTTACTACAAAAAGTTCCATTGAGTCGAATTTCTATCTTCAATATTTTATTTGTTATATAGCTTTAAAGTTCAAATTTATGGTTTTTTGCATTTTTTAGCTAAACTGTAAGAGTTACAGAAAAATGTTAAATGGCAAATTTGTAGTACGTTTAAAATCCTATAAAAAAATCCTTGTCAACTTTTTCATATCATCAATAACAACAAAGTTACAGGCTCACGAATATTTATTTTTTCAAATTTTTGCTCTTACGAACTGAACTGAAATACGATAATTTTATTACTGATATTTTATGTCCTTTATCAATATATTTTATAATATACTTGAAAAATCATTAAAATATGTCAAATAAGTCTGTCACTATTAACTATAGATCAAAAACAAAATACATGATCTATCCAATTTTGTACCATTTTTGTTAAATTTTTTGTTTAATTATCGATATTTCAGTTTATCGTGCGACTCTGGTATTTGGAGTCTGGCGGTGCGATGCTAAATATAGAGTTGACGCGCATATCGATTGTAAAATGAAATATCGCATTATGTTGTTTCGCACTAAATATCGATTATCCATCAGGCAATTCTGTATACATATATTTAAAACATAAATGTTTGTTTATCCGAATGTGATGAAACTTTGGTGAGTTGTTCTGCGTGAGCTCGCGAAGATTCCTGGGCTAAAAAAGTGTGGATCGACCCATACGGGTCTGCATATTTGCCATATCAAAGTGCCAAGTTCAGTAGTTATCTAGATTACTATACGTTTATTGAGGAAGACTATATGCTATATATTACTATCATGCAAGGGAGTTGAGCAGTAATCATAAATGTTAACAAATCTGGCAGACTTTGATACATTATTGTAAAGCAAAGGGAAAGAAGAGTTTGTTTTTTTGTACTTTAAAAGCGAGCGAAGCCGCGGGTTCTGCTAGTCTATAATAAACTCTATATTATTCCCTAGTCTGAGAGATAAGTATAGCGTTTTGTCCAATAATAAAGTATAACGTCAGATGGACAAAGGATCGTTAAATGTTTGTGTCGATATATTGTTTGGTAAAGCCCATATATATTTTTATTTTTATTTAATTGATAACTTTTTAGTTATGGAGATTGTATTTTTTAAATAACACACAGTCTTGTCCTCACTTCGCTCGGATTCGTCCCTAGGTCTGACAGTACCCTATGTGTTTCTCCAAGTCCATCTAAATCTGTCCAACCGTGCCAGCGTGAAGGAGTACATAATAAACATACAAACTTTCGCATTTATAAATACGATTATTATTATTAATGAAATCTATTTTGTTTTCAGAAATGCCTCGATAAAGATGGTGCCATGTCTGTTGATTCTGTGCATGGCGTGGATGGTGGGCGGCGACCCGTCCTATGACTCGTACGTATGAAAAGAAAGTTATGTCTGTGCGTGCACGCGCTGTGCTATAATGTATCATGTGCATATGTCTGTCTAGTCTCAGTGAGATGGCTTCGTAGCCGAAATTAATCAGAAAAATATTGTATGAAAAAATACTGATAGTCTAAGAGTCGGATACACCACGACCTTCACCGATCTGTTAACCTGATGAAATATATTTTTTTATAAAGTTTCAATAATAGATAAATACGCCTAAAATGACCAGGCTATTTTTAAATTAATTAATAAAAAAATTTTCACCGTTCTATTAACCAGCCGAATTTATTTAATTAGGAATCTACCTGGTCCAGGGTTTGCCAAAATTAGTATACCAATTTAGAACAAGGGACCAAGTAAATCTGTCCCTCCCCACAGACTGTGCGTGTGACCTTTCATCACGATCGGTTCAGGCCCCGATAAATAAAGTCACTATCGCATTTGCAACATTATTTTTAGTTTATATAATATATTTTTATTACACTCGTAGTGGACTAATGAGTGACGATAAGAATTTCCATCGCGAATTATTCTTGTACTTTTCCTTAAAAGATTCTTTGAAACTCGACAGTTTATTTAGATACTACTATTCACATGTTACAAGTGAATTACCCACGCTTCGCTCGGATGCGGCCCTAGTTACATTTATTTATTTTTTGAGCAGAATCCTAACTCTTTTTCTAAAATTAAAGTAGCCTAAGGTACCTTACAACATCAGCTATCTGCCATTGAAAGTTCCGTCAAAATCAGTCCAGCCGTTTTGGTACTCCAATCATCTTAGCCGGGACAAACGGACAGACAGACAAAAATTTAATAAATTGTTTTTTTTTATAAATCTCAATAGATAAACAATGTCAATTATATGTAATGCACTGGACGATCAATATATAAAGCTCTCTCTCTCGTTTATCTTTATGTTTATGTCGTGATAACCTTTAAGTAGAAAAAACTTTACCAATTGTAAAATTTATGCATGTAGTTTTTGCACGATTAAAGTGTACGTCCTGATGGTTACCCTTAATAAATAAATAAATAGGTATAAGCTTTGTTTCTAGTAAAGTTTTATCAAAATCCATTCAATAGTTTTAAGAACTGAAGTAATAGGTACATAGGTAAGCCGCTAGTCCTGGATATTTTTTTTAATTTCCATTTATCATAAAAGGGAGGTGTTGCCGTATGAGTTGAGCTCGGACGACGGTTTCCCCCAAGAGGGGTGTCTAACCTCCGCGGGGTCGGGGGACCTGTCCATGGACTGCACGCTGCCGAGCGGCAAGGCCTCTGTGACGATCAACAAGGCGGCCACAGCCCTGACCCTGTCCTATGAAATGGTGAGCCCCTAAAAACGTATTTCATACGGTCGAGGTCATAGTGTGATGTAAGACACTCGTAGTAACCTTCCTCCAGACAGACCAGTACGTCCAGAGATTAGCGCGTTCAAACAAATTGACAAACTTTTCATCTTTATACATGTATATGTAGATTATATTTTTAATACATGAAGAGAAAACTATATCTCTTTCTAAGCATATGTTGTTTGAAGGGTATAAATTTTATGTAGAACAAAAAGAACAACAATATAGTAATAATTGAGATGACACAAGCTTGTGATTTAAAACAGTTGAAAATTATGACTTTGATTTGCTTGAAAATTGTACTTTCACTAACGAATGGAGAATAAACGCGAGATAAATTGAGAAGAAGATATATCAAGGCGATCTATAGATCATTTACTCTAATATTTCTAGTATTTACTTCTCGTTGCTCTAATTGATACCAAGAATGGCTTTAGATCCCGAAGTACTGGGTTCAATTCCCGGACAGAGCCAAGTGTAGCTATTCTCGTAACAGTTCAAGCTCTAGGGGTGGAATGATTTTTTCTTAACTTATTTTAATGTAGTGTGCCTTTTTAAACAATTCATTTTTCAACCTCTTCTTGGCATCCGATTGAGATGAAATTAGTACCTAATGTAATTTTGGTGACAATGCAATGTTATGGTACCATCGAGCTGAACTGATGATGCAGCCAAGATGTAGAAACTGGAACTCCCTAAAGCCATATGGTAGGACAATCGAGTTTGGGCTGATATATTTTGTTATTATGAGTACTATCCATTATACATGATGACGAGGATCTGAAGACGACAGCGCAAGATAACATAACTTGCTTCTAAATACTTTTAGGGTTCCGTACCCCAAAAGGAAAAGAGAACCTATATAAGATCACTCCGTTTTCCGTCCGTCAAAATATTTTCTTTGCGATTATAAACATATTATAATGTTTACAGAACCGGTGTGCTAGTCACTCTCGTACTTGTCCATTATTTTTTTACTTTTAATTTTTGTTTTTTACAGAAAAGTGGTCCTTTAGTGTGTGACGAGCTTCAACAAACCAAACCTGTTATACAAAATTACACTAATACAAGAGATAGAGCAAACGTACGGATGAAGTTCTTCACTATTAAGTATGTGATATTGTCGAACGAGAGTCTCGCGTGCCCTTTGGCGTTGCTAGGGACCGACCAGACCGAGACATTGACCCTAAATGCCCTAAAAGGACAATTGAGGCCCTCACATCTAGAGGGCATTAGAGGAGTCAAACAGCTGTATATAATGAATATTGGTAAGTATTATAAATACGAAATTATATATGTGTGTATATCTGTTACTCCTTCACGCTACAGCTAGACGGATTTTGATGGAATTTTGTACAAAGATAGATTATGAACTGGAGTAACACATGGGCTACTGTTAGTGATTAAATTTGCCCAAAGGTGGCGCTACTCGAATATAATAAAAATACAAAATATCTAGGAACAAGCTTCGAGCATAGGGAGAATAATTTGCTAGTGGTATTATAAACTACTTTTGCCTTCAGCGTTTTTTTAGCGAACTCCTTTATATTATTTTACTCTGATAGTGTTGTTTAATATTTGATATTTATTAAATTCGACATTTTATTTTGTTATCGTGGGTTTTCCCGTTTGCAATTAAACTATAAACAGCTATCAATTTACTAAGTTATCATATTTGTGTAATTATTTATATGGTATCCCACTTGTTTTAGAGATAATTTATAAAAAATATGTAATACTACGTATTATATAGAGGTGAAATTTTGTTTGTCTGTTTGTGGGAGATAGTTGTATTCGGCCCTTTTTAACGTCCCACTACTGGGCACGGGCCTCCCTTCAATACGAGGAGGATCAGGCCACAGTCCACCACGCTGGCCAAGTGCGGGTAGACTGAACATGTCTTTCAAAAACTTGTTAGGTTCTCTCAGACATGGAGCACGTCATGCAGGTTTCCTCACGATGTTTTTACTTCATCGTAAAATAAAGAGGTAAAGTTTGTGAGTTTGTGACGTTGTAGGGGGTAATCTCTGGATCTACTGAACCTATTTAGATGAAATTTGGTAAGAAGATAGTTTAAGACCCTGGGAAGGACATAGAAATTTTTTTATCTGTTGTTCGTTTCGTTGTTTGTGGAACTTGTTCACAATTTCTGGGGTTTTCATTTTTTTTGTGCGGAACCCTAATTCTTTTTCTAAAATAAAAGTAGCCTAAGTTACTCCTTATAACATCATCTATCTGCCAGTGAAAGTCCCGTCAAAATTGGTCCGGCCGTTTTTAAGATTAGCCGGAATAGACAGACAGACAAAAAAAATAAAAAATGTTTTTTTATAAGTACTCTATATAACTTCATATGCATTTAGTAAAAAGCTGTAATTTGGAGTTTTATTTATCTGTATAGATTCAAATATAACTTCGGTGCCGTACGAGGCCATGGCGCACTTCGAGTCGCTGGAGAGGGCGACTCTGACCGGCGGAGCTTTTGTCTTGAAACAAGAAGACACAATATTGCCAAAGTTGAAAGTTCTAGAACTTTCGAGAGGCAAATTAAACGCGATTCCGAAACGCGCGTTTAAAAACACGCCCGAGCTGCAAATGCTGCTGCTGTTCTCAAATGAAATCGAGTACGTGGATGTCGATGCTTTTGAAGGTAAATTTAGTTTAGATTAGTTAATTTTATTTTTTGTCATTTAACTGTATTTTTATGTGTCCTGGAAAAAAATTAAGGAAGATAACTAAAGAAACAAAGAACAATAAAAACTATCTCCATCTTTGACTAAGAACATATGTTAGAAAGAGATAGAGATAGTGGAAATGATCAAATAACTATTCGCTATTCTGTCCCTTTCTATCATTTACATAAATTTGTAAAGGAGTTTGGTTTTCTTATTTTACTATAAATCATCAGATATAGTTAAAATTATTAATATGCAATAAAAAAATATATTAATAAAAAAATAATTTAATAAAACAAAATGTCTGCTTGTGTGTGCAACTCACACGCGGTAGAAGTGTAACTTCAGAAGAGTAACCTACGAGAGAGTGAGATGAATATAGAGTATCGGGAGTGGGATAATTGTAAGGTTTAGTTTTTTTATAAAATTTTTACCAAGTTTAAAAGTTATTTTACGTTTTATTTGATATATATTACATTAAATATTATTCAGTATTATTTTTGTTATTTTTCACTTCCTGTGTAATTATATTCTATCTCAAACAATTAAATAGGGCATAATAGGTATATTACAATCATATATTTATAGTATATCATTTACCAAAAGGTTACCATGGCAACATGGCAATGTACTTCTATCTCATTCTTTCGCCGGCTTAATCCTTTATATTTATTTGTTTGTCTCTTTCTCGTGTCGCATGTTCGTTTCATCGAGTTTCAAATCACAACGATTCTAAAGAAAACACCTCTATCTATCTTGTCTCAGGCCTCACCCAGCTGAGGAACTTGAGCCTCAACTCGAACCGTATCTCGGTGCTGCCGGCGCGGGCGCTGGGCGCGGCGCCGCGCCTGCGCCGCGCGGACCTCTACGACAACAGCATCCGGGAGCTGGGCGAGGGCGTGTTCTGGGGGCTGGACGAGCTCGCCATGGTGAGTGCTCTACTTCCACCTCAAACTCTTATCTGTGTACTGCTACATTTCATACAAATCAGCCCAGTTGTTTTTAGCTATTTTCCCATATTTGTATTATTATGAATAATGTATTTATATATATATATATATACATATATATATATATATATATATAGAAGAAAAAAAGAGAGAGAGACTCCCCCAGTGTTTGCTGTGTAAAGCTTTTGAAACGTTATAGTCTGTTTTTTATTACAGAGACTAAATTGACACATGTAAATGTCTTTATAAATAATATTGCCAGCTCTTTTGTGCAGTGTTGTACCTACGATACCGATTTGTTGAATCGTAACTTATTATTTTTATTAGACGATTCGTTTAAATCATTAAATATCATATTTAATAATTTTAAATCATTAAGTATCATTAAAATTCACATTATTAAATTTAAATTTGCATTATTAATTTTTATTGTTACGTTTCAAATAAGTACCTACACATTATTTCAGGATAACTTATTATAAAAAAACGACACTATTTAAGAATTGCAAAAAACTGGCAACCCACGTAATGTCAGTTTTGTCTCTGAGATTTAAAAACAGAATATAGGCAAACAATAAATAATCAAAATAAACCCGCGCAAATGTCAAATATTCATGTAATTTTATAAAAAATAAATAAATATTTAATTATTATTTATACAATTATTTTCCTTTCCCATCCAGGTGGTGTTGTTCAACAACAGGGTCCAACTGACTCTATACAATAGAACGTTCGCGAACCTCCCCTCCCTCACGGAATTGAAACTCGAAGGCAACTCGATCGAAACTCTCCCGGGCGACTTGCTATCGAACAGCACCAGCTTGAAGAAGCTGTACCTGCAACGCAACCAGCTCGCGTCGCTGCCGCGGCTCCTGTTCTCTGGTCTTCGGTTAAGAGAACTGGATTTGTCTTCGAATAACCTGACGTTCCTGTGGGAGGAGCAGTTGAGAGATCAGGACCAGCTGGAGAGTCTACAATTGCAGAAGAATGCCTTAGAACACTTGCCCAGTGTCCTGTTCGAAGACACAGCTAACTTGAAAGTCTTGGATTTGAAACACAATAATATTAGCAGCTTGCGCGGGTGAGATGTGTTTGTGTTTTTTTTTTCCAGCGATTTGATGAAGGCGGTTGTACTCGATTGTTGTATACTTTTTTTTTCGACTCCAAAAAGAACGTCCTCTATGATGTGGTCATATTTTTTTGTTTTTTTTTTTAACGATTTCATAAAGGAGGTTTTTACTTAACTGTTGTTGTATAACATCGATCAGAAAAGCTTGTATGCGATTGTGTATCTAGTAGTTTTTTGATCGATGATATACAAGAACTGCTCATTTAATGTTATTAAATTTTTGTATATTACAGGGGCGTTTTCAACAAACTCAGCCAGCTAGAGCAGCTCTATCTCGATTGGAACCGCATCAGCGAGTTGAAGAACGTGTTCGATGGGCTGGTCAAGTTGGAGGTGAGTTTTTATTTTATTTTTATTTATGCGCGGAATCCTAATTATTTTAAAAAAGTAGCCTTAGTTACTCCGTATAACATCTGCTATCTGCCAGTGAAAGTCCTATCAAAATCGGTCCAGCCGTTTTGGAGATTAGCCGGAACAAACAGAGAGAAAACTATCTTTTCGAATTATTATATGGATTTATTTTGATTTTTGGTTTCCGACGTTTCGAATGCTTTACAGCAATCATGGTCACGGGACGGGTCTAAATCCTAAGTCTCTCCCTTGACCATGATTGCTGTAAAGCATTCGAAACGTTGGGAACCAAAAATCAAAATAAATCCGCGAAATCATCGGAAAGGATAGTTTTATTTCAAATGTCAAATATTCGCGTAAATCTAAGAAAATATTGAACAAGAAAAAATTTCAGTAGTTTTTTTTTTCTTTTAAGCATCGTGGATATTTTCATATGCATTTAGTAAAAAGCAGTTATTTTACAATATATAATTTTGAAGTGAAACTTCTTTAGAATCGTTGTGACTTAAAACTCAATGAAACGAAAATGCGACACTAAAAAGAGACAAACACATAAATATATAGGATTAAGCCGGTGAGAGAGTGAAATAGAGTACATTGCCATGATGCCATGGTAACCGTTGTTATTGTCTGACAAATGATATATAATATTATATTCTTTCCGTATATGATATTCTATAAATATATGATTGTAATATGCCTTATTTAATTATTGATTTGTTTTAATTTAATTGCTATATTTGCCAAAGAAGTTTCACTTCAACCTCGTGTAAAGGTTATACGCACACAATTTTTTTACACAATTTTTCATTCTATTTCCCAGGTCCTGTCCCTCTCGCACAACAACATCACAATCTCCAAGCACCAGAACACCCTCGCAGTCAAAGACCTGGAAAAGCATACCGTGTATCAGGGTGCGGGGCCGGAGCCCTACGTGGAGAGGTTCTCCCCCTTCAGCGGGCTGCCGCGGCTGCGCACGCTGCGGCTGGCGCACAACGCGGTGGCGCTGCTCTGCGACGACTGGCGGCAAAAGTTCCACCTGCAAGTGCTGGACCTGTCGCATAACAATATCACCTCCGTCTCGGTGAGTTGGTGTTTTATTTGTTTGTTGATGACTGTGAGTCGGTGTGTGTGTGTGTGTGTGTGTGTATATTTGTGTGTGTGTATGTTATGAACAATACACGTGTTTTATTATTAAAGTATTTAATCACTTATTTAATTCATAACGTTTTGTTAATAGTATAAATTAATATATATGTATATAATAATATTATTTTCTTATTTAAAAATAAAGACTCAGTTGCGTTTCTGTAAAAGTAATAGAAACTACATTTACAGCCTCTATTTCAAATCTCTTTATAATTCAACAAATTATAGAAAACCTTTATGTTCTAATCAACTCTTGAAGGAAAATTTATAATTATATATCTCAGTTATTTTATTAATTAATGTCAAAGAAAAAAAAGGTAAAAGTAAATTTGGAATTGATTAAAAAGTATTTATGTAATAGATATAAACTTAAAAAAAGCTCTCGCATTTGGAATGGCTTTCTTTACATGTGTAATATATATATATATATACATATCAAATTTACATTTACAGAGATTAGTCTGTTCAAAGGAACACAACAAAACACGCACTTTAGTTTTGCTTAACAAATGATAGTAATTAGTTTCTCTCGTTCCAGGACACGGACTCGTACTTCCAAAACAGCGTGAAGGTCGACCTGTCCCACAACGACATACACACGTTCGACCCCCACTTGTACTACGATATGCAAACCCTCCCCACGCTCATCCTCTCCAAAAACCCCTTCCGCTGCTCCTGCTCCCTCTACCCCTTTCTAAACAAATACAAATCACCCCACAAAAATTTTACCCTACCCATCCTAGATCTGGACGGAGCCAAATGCGCTTCACCCTCTCCCTTAAAGGATGTGAAGCTAACAGACCTACAGTTAGACTCGCTGACTTGCCAGTTCCCCTGTCCGAGTGAATGCGACTCGTGTCTCAAAAGACCGAATAAATTACAAGTAGAGTTGACATGTAACAAAATACCCCGAAATTTGACAGATTTGCCCAATTATTTCGTCTCGTACTCGTTGAAACTCACAAACGTGTCAACTTCAGACCGTTTAACTTTGGACCTACCCCGAACTGTCAGGTTCGTTGATCTGTCAAATTTGAATCTGACAGCTCCGCCGGTGGCGACCTCTGTGACTGTCGACCTCAGGAACAACAGCCTAAGCTCGATTCCCGTGAGATTGATAGAGAACAACTGCTCCCTGTACCTAGGAAACAATCCCATCGAGTGCGTGTGCGAGAATCAAATCGATCTAATGACATTAATGAAACACAACAAATCGATATTGGATTTCCGAACTATAAAGTGCACAGATAATCGATTGATCAAGGATATCGATTTAGTTTATTTATGCTACAATCGAGATTTGGCGGTCACTATCGTGCTGCTATTGGTCTCTATCAGCTTAATGCTAGCAATATGTCTCATCATCTACAAGAACTGGATTCTCATCCGCATTGAGCTGGACAAATTACGTATCTGGCCCTACAAACACACAAAGAACACGGAAAATTCCAGCGACATATTCCTCTCCTACGCGCATCAGGATGAGCTATTCGTGCTATCCCGCGTGATTCCGGAACTGGAGAAGCCCCCGGGATCGCTGCGTCTCTGTGTGGCGTCCCGGGATTGGAGGTTGGGTGACACCATTACAGAACAGATACAACGCTCTATACGCAACTCCTCCGTAGTCCTAGCTCTTCTGTCTCGCTCTTACCTGGACTCCGCCTGGTGTCGGATGGAGTTCCGTCTCGCTCACACACAAGGGAAGGTTCTAGTCCTAATGATGGAGGATTTTGACGAGAAACATAAAGAATTAACGCCGGATATGAAAGCATATATAACCTCAAGGACATACATAAAAGAGTCTCACCCACTTTTGTTCGAGAAGATTCGAGAAGCGTTCGCGAAGAGGCAGTCGAAAGAGAAGGACGGCAAATTGAAACCGACCGGCATCGACACGCAGTTGGATGTTAATGGTATGATTTTCAATAACGCCCTCACAGCGCCCCCTGCTTGATGGTTCTTTAGGGTTCCGTACTCGAAGGGTGCCAACGGGACCCTATAACTAAGCCCCCGTTCTCTGTCCGTCCCGTCTGTCAGCGGGCTGTTTATCAATCGTAATAGGTAGAGAGTTGAAAATTTCATAGTGCGTATATTTCTACTGCCGCTATAAAAACAAATAATAAAACACCAAGATGGCGAATTACAAAATGGCCCCCATGCGAATTAAAAAAAATCTATTATGGGTCGGAACCCTTCGTGACCTACTTGCATTTGACCGGTGTTTAGTTTTTAGGGCCCTTTAGGTATTTTAGTGAACGAATACTTTTAGGGTCGATTTTGTCTAGCTGTTTATTACAGGCTATTGAGGTAGGTTATGAAAAAACTAATGATTTTGGGGATTTTTTCTTTCAATTGGATATTTAAAAAAATGTGTTTTTATCTAATCGATCAATTGATACTTGACTTATGAAAGGAATACGACGTATCAGAAGAAAGAGACAAATATATTGTTTTTTTATTTTTTATATTAGTAGATTTTTTTTGTTTTTTACGTTAAAAAAAAGTAAAAATAATTAAGCATCAAGATATTCTCTTTTTTTATAAATCTAATAAGTCTGAAATATTTAAAAGAGCATTTGTCTTATTTTTTTCTTCATAAAAAAACATTGTTTTTTTTCTTAATAACAATATATTTAGTCTTTGTAAAATAACGTTTGAGTCTAGAAAAGCAATAACTGTATATAATTGTAAAGTTAGTTTGTATGTTTTGATTTAAATTTGGTCGATAACGCGTCACGTGATTTGGTCCAAGATGGCGCTGGAAGATAAACTACGTTTGTACCTATAAGTTATTTGACACGTCTAAATAAACCTTATATCAGATTACTTACATATTGTAAATTAAAGTCGAGTTCGTCCGGCCTGATCTCAGAAAGTGCTGCACGGATTTTCATGTGGCTTTCACCAATAGATAGAGGGATTATCTAGGATGGTTGTAAGGTATAATCTATACAGATAAATAAAAATTGAAGTGTTTGTTTGTTATTTCTAAATATCAGCTTTTTATTAAATGAATATAACGAAAGTATATACGGCGCTTATAAGAAAAAAAAATTTTTGTCTGTCTGTTTATTGTTAACGGCAGGACCGGTTCTAACGGGACTTTCACTGGCAGATGTCTGATGTTATAAGGTGTAACTCATTTAAAAAAAAAAACAATTATGGTTCTGCACAAAAAATTAAAACCAATGAATTTGCAAAATTCGCGTACCTAAAGACTAATTCGCTAGTTTACGAATATAAAAAGAAATCTATCCTGCGGGAACTGTACATTTATCCGGGATAAAAATAACCTATGTGCTATTCCAAACTATAATCTATCTCTGTGCTAAATTTCATACAGATCCGTTCAGCCGTTCTGGCGTGATTGAGTAACAAACATGCATACATCTAAACTTTCACATTTATAATATTAGTATATAGATAACAAAAATATCCGTGTGATAATTTTGTAAATTATGTCGAAATAAAATGGTTACCTCTGAGAGCTTCTTCTACACTAATGTTATAAACAGAAAAGATTTGTATTTTTGTATGTTTGTAACGAATAGAGTCAAAAACTATTGGACCGATTTAGATGAAATTTAGTAAGAAGATAGTTTGAGACTCTGGGAAAGACATAGGATACTTTTTATCTCGGAAATCATCCCTTAAGGGGGATGAAAGTGGGGATGAAAGTTTGTAAGGGGCATCCACCAACCAACGCAAGTTAATAATAAATTCAAAGCGATGCAAAATTAAATTAAAACATACATTTGTATAATAAGTTTCGATTACTTGTACCTGTATAGAATCTACATATTTTTTACTTTTAAATACGCTATTTTTGATGTAACTTTTACATACATAATAATATAAGCACAGTTTTGAGCATTTTTTTGTAATCTGTACCTTTTATATAAAGAATCTCTGGTTATATCTCAGACAGTGTTATTTTATAAGATTATTTTGTATACCTTATATTTTTAAGGCAAAAGTGGCATAACACAAGGTTTTTTTTGAAGTTATACTTCTTTTGGGACGTTTGAAAAAATATATGAGAGAAATTTTTTTACGATGAGCGCGCTCACCAACAGCCAAAAAGCGACATGATGAAGCATGGAGCATGAAGCATTCTTTTTATAGAGAGTTGTGACATACGGGATTAAATCTTTAGCTATTTTTGTTCTGTTAAGCCAAAGGAGTATAACTTCTTACGTGCGTCCACACACGTTTTTTTTTTAAATAAACGTTTGCTTATACAATTATACATATATTATATGGACTTAATATGATATTAACAAATGATAAAATAAAATATTTCGTTATGAATAATTTGTACATCGATCATAAAAGCACTAGCTAGATACACAATCCCATGCAAAAGTTCTCTTAAAACTGTCACCAATTGTGTTTAGGTAATTGTTATAGTTGAAATAAATATACGACAATGTAAATTGAACCTTAAATGCAATGCTTAAAGTTGTTTTCACAAAAAAATTAAACCGCGCTTAAATGTTAAAATGAGCGCTCATTCGGTGAGGAAATTTTTTTGTCGCTGATTTTGTATTTAGTACTCTTTTGATCGATGATTATAATGTACTATTATAATTATCGCATAAAATATTGAAAATGTTAGATGGAACACTTTTGCTCAGAAAATGAAAGTATACAGCTTCGATTATCTTTTTAAGTTTTGAAGTGAAACTTCTTTAGAATCGTGATATGAAACTCGATGAAACGAAATCACTAAACAAAGACAAACACATAAATGTATAGAATTAAGCCGGTGAGAGAATGAGATGGAATACATTACACAGGAAGTGAAAAATAACAAAAATAATACTGAATATTATGTAATGTATATTTATTTATGTCATATTAAACGTAAAATAACTTTTAAACTTGGTAAAAATATTATATAAAAGTAAATCTTACAATTATCCCACTCCTGATACACTCTCTCTTGATATTCATCTCACTCTCTCGGTTACTCTTCTGAAGTTATACTTCTACCGTGTGTGAGATGTGCGCGCGCGCACACACACACACTTTTTTATTAATTTTATATTAAATCATTTTTTATTCATATATTTTTTATTGAATGTTCAAACTTTATCTGATGTTTTATAATAAAATAAGAAATACAAAACCTTTAAATATATGCAAATGATAGAAAGGGACAGATTAATTAGTTTTATGATCATTGCCACTATTTCTGTCTCTTTCTAACATGTGTTGTTAGACAAAGATGGAGATGGTTTTTATTATTCTTTGTATAGTTATCTTCCTTCGCTAAAGTTACAAGTATAAAGGCAAAATGTATGAAGTGGTATTTTTGTTTTATTTTTTTTTAATTAATTTGAATGCCTAAAAAATGTAAATATATATAATTTATATATATTTTCTGAACTAACATTTGGTCGCTTTAAATTAAGTAAATAAAAATATATAGAGCCGTAAATGTAAATAATGCAGTGATTTTTTTCTTTTCTACCCCCACCTCGTAAAAAATGTTTTTTAATTTGTTTTTATATATTAAGTTTTTTTTTAAAGTGTCGATGCTGCTATAATATTATATTGTGTAATGAGATGAATCTGATTTAATCTCGAATTTGTAATTCTTAAGCGATATTTTCGACTGAAAGTCGGTTTTAGTGCCTTATTTAGATGTAAGCTCTCGTTTATGTACATGTTTGTTTTATTTTTCGTATATAAATTAAAATATTTGAATTTCTATTCACGCCTGTAGTTGTTATTTCGATTTTACACACAAAAATTAGAAATCCTTTTTTTGAACTCGTTTAAAAAAAATATTCTAAAATGTTTAACATTTTTCTTTTCTAAAATTGTAAAAATTTATCGAGTCATGTTAGTAACTTTAATATTGAATATATTTGAATTTTTCCTCTTTATAATAGTAGTGTAGTTTAAATTAAATCAAAATCGGTCCAGCGAGAAAATATTACCACTTTTGATTATTTTTGCATAATTTAAATTAATAATGGAAGAAACTAACACCGTTTATAAGATTCAGAAGCTAAATACAATCGCGAGAAAGAACGTCTAAGACTTCTCCAGCGCATACTATCAGACAGCATGTCAATAACAGGCATTAAAAAGCAACTCTACCACTTCAGGTATGAGTAGACTTTGATAGTGCAGGTAATTGACTGGAACGAGGTAGCCTTGCTATGGATAAAAGGCCACAATATCTCATGCGGTAATATGGCCGATGAGTTGGCAAGAATAGGGTCTGATATGATTCCTATAGGTCACGAGTTCATCGTGCCACCTTCTTGCTGGTTCAAAATGTCTATGGTTTAAAGTTGAGGACTGTTTGATGCCAAAATGGCAAATCGCCTCATCAATATCAATAGATCTGTACTAAAGCAGATAACTGCAGCCCTAATTGACCACGGACCATATAATAAACATTTATTTTACATAGATATAACTGCAATCCCCTGTGCAGAGAATGCATGGGGGCAGAGGAAGCGTCTGCACATGTACAGTGCACTCTTGTATTGTTCAGATGTAAAATCTCATAAAATTGAAATAATTTTAAAATGATTTCCTATAAAACTTACTTCCTTTCCTTTTAAAAATATTTGTTTTACATTTTCCTAAAAGTTCCTATGTACCTACATAGAATGTAAATGGGATTTTGAAATAAGAAACAAAAAACAATTCAAACATTTATTATAATATAACGGTCATTTATAAAAAAAATACATAATTACTTATAACTAGCAGAGACTAAGGCCTGTGCGCACTGGTCACTGGCCTCAGATAAAAGCATCACATTAACTTCAAAATATTCATAATATTTTTTTAGATTTACCCGAATATGCAATATTATAAATAAAACTATCTTTTTGGATTTTTTCGCAGATTTAAATTATATAATGCCTTCGAGACGTCTAAAACCTCAGTCTCTCCTGTGACCATGATTGCTGTAAAGCATTCGAAACGTCGGGAACCAAAAATCCAAATAAATCCGCGAAATAATCCGAAAAGATAGTTTAAATTAAAATGTTCTAAATATTCGTTAAAAAATGTTTTCAATATAGTTTCCAAGTTTTATTATATTTTTAACAAAGTTTTTTGACATTTTAAAAGTCATAGTTAACATAAAAGGTGTTTACACAAATTATAACAAATATCACTAATGTATGAACTCGTCTGGAAGACGTCATCATCATCATCAGACGAACACACGCGCAAACACCTCGTGTAACAGATTAAAAAAGGAATATATTTACAATAGCTTTGCTTTTAAAAAATATAAATATGTTGGGACATTAACACACAGCACCATCTAGTTCCATGGAAAGCTACGAGGCTTGTGTTATGGATACCAGATAGTTGATACACTACACATATATAACTTTAAATACATATATATTATAAATATAAACACCCATGACTAGAGTACAAACATTCATGCTCATCACACAAATGAATTCCCCCAGCGGGACACGAACCTGTGACCGCTGGCACAGCAAGCAGGGCACTACAAACTGAGCCAAACGTGTCGTCTAATATGTAAAAGTTCTAAAAAAAAACAAAATACAATTACCCAAAATGGTCCGCTGTCTTTAGGAATCACAAAAAAAAGAAGAGAAGAAAATGAATTTTTAAACATTTATAAGTGCATTAAGCTATAAAATCTATTTTGAAATTGTGTTACCACAGTGTAATAATACGTACAGTCGTCTAATAAAGGCGTGTAGACAGAACAATCGTACAAAACGTGCGGGGAGACGCGAAGAGGGGCTCCCGATTGGCATACATATTACGTACTTATATAGGTAGATACTGTACGCCTGCTGCCTCGGAGATCTGGAGTTCTTGCCATGTTTAGTTAATGAGTATTTCTATCAAGTAATTCCCAATAACAGCCCGGAGTTGGGAAGTTGTGGGTGTATCTCGGGGAACATGTAAATCATCATCCTGCGTCTTAACTCTCACTGGTCGTGTCGAATAGCCGTCCCTTTGGAATTTGAGAATGAAAGGGATAGACAGTGTACATTGTGTGTGTTCTCTCCCTCACACACTGCACTATATCTCCTGCAGTAGGCTAGTCTCAATGAGGTCGGTCAGGAGGACATTAGACAGCTTTATGGTTGAGGGTCATAACTGTTCACGGTTCACGGTAAAATATGGTATTTTGACAATCCTTAGAGGGATTTCCATTAGGATTATTGGGGATTAGCTGCTGTATGGATTTTTATACTGTGGTATTGCGAAGGAGAAAAATACATATTATTCGATTTATTGCGTATAAAAAACACTATCCCTAAACCTAGACTAGAAATTTGCATTTAGTTGTGCATCTTAAAATAATATTACTGATTGCACACAATACATTGTTGGCAATATGTACCCATTTCTATTTTTTTAATATATGAAACCTCTACCTATCATTTTTTTTATTTTCCCCATTTTGAGAAAACGTAGACAAAGGTCTTAGACCATTCAACTTTAATATTATATTCATTTGATGCTAAGCCATACAAAATATTTACTTATAAAAAAAAACATACATTTTTACTTGATTTATAAAAATACAATAAACAAAAAGCTACTCAATTCACATTTGTTTTTACATATTACCAAACAGCCTAACGTATAAATACGCACTTACATTTCGAGTATTTAATTTTTATACTTTATAACTTTTTTTACAAATGTATATATTTTATTTAAAAAAAAACTTATTTTATTTATTGTCGTCTATTACAATCAGTCGTTGGATAAAAAAGCAAATATTAAATATACAAAGATAATATTATCAAAGTACGGATGGGAATATGGTGTTTTTTCTAAAACATGACTTTTGATAAATGAAATGAAACGATAAATATAATTTCCGGTTTCCGGTTATTTTTTTCGTTTATATTAAATATAAAATCCACGTTTCCGGCGAATATAAAAAACTATACCAAATCCGTCCACATTTAAAAAAATAAAATATAATATCTGTTACAAAGACATACATTTTTCGAAAAAGTGCATATTTTTAAGATTTCGTAAAAAAAAGAAGCTGGTTGTTTTTTTTTTGAACGCGTTCAGCTCTAAAGAAACCGGTCAAATTTGCAAATAAAATAGTCCATTCTTTAGCTCATTTATTGAGGAAGGATATCTAACATCACGCTCTGACCCTTAGCATCCTATTCCCTCCGAATGTACTGAATGGAATAATATCTTTAATATGCAATTAGATTCGGGACATGAAATCACTATTTAGATAAAAAACTAGAGTTAAAGTCATGGTTTGACTGAAAGTTAATTAACCAAAATCCATGTAATACATAATAATTTCTTAGATTTACGCGAATATTTAACATTTTAAATAAATCTTTTCGGATTTTGTTCGCAGATTTATTATGATTTTTGGTTCCCGGCGTTTCGAATGCTTTGCAGCGCACACGGTCACGGAAGAGACTCAGGTTTTAGATGTCTCAAAGGTATTATGTAGTTCTTACAGACAGCCTACCCACAAAATTACAAAATGAATTTAAATAATTTAAAAATGGCACCGATGTACCTTGCAATATTTATTTATTTTAATTTTAAACATTTTTATATTTTAATATGTTTTATAATTGAATATGCAATATTCTTTAATTTTAGTTAAAAAAAACTATGATTTTTAAAAAAAATTCGCAAAGATAGTTTTATATTTCCATGTAATGTTGGGAAAGTAAAGTAAGTCTAAGAAAATGAAAAAAAAGACATTCACTTTGGGAGGGGGAGGGGGGGTGGTGTTTGGGGGTCAACCCCTAAAAAATAATAATCGGATGGCAAATGTACAATAGAATCCAGGATTTGTAGTTTTAGGAATATAACCTAGGTTTTATAATATATCCCAACAAGATGTCGAAATTCTCAAGCTTCATATATTTTGTGCGGATGTAATCTAGTTCTCACTTTATTAATAACAATATTTCGAAAGGTAGCAATAGTGCTGCTCAATATATTAACTTTAAATAATAGCAATCTAGATAAATATTTTAACTTCTTTTAAATAATATATAAAACAATAATATTGCTTAGATAAATAATTAATATTTTTTAATAGTTAATATTCTTTATGGTTATACATAATATAATAATAGCAACACTAAATAATTAGTAATTAATAAAGTTTTTTAAAAATTGTAATATTTATTTATAATAATAACAGCAAAAATTAAATAAATAATATTGCTATATTTAATTATAATATTTATTAAATTTTTGAAAATGTTTAGAAATAAAAAATCAACAAATATTGTAAGGTACTTTATTGCCATTTTTTGAATTTTGAAATCATTTTTGTAAAATAGTGGGTAGGCACTGTCTGTAACAAGTATGTGTTTGAGACGTCTATAACCTTAGTCTCTCCCGTGACCATGATTGCTGCAAAGCATTCGAAACGTCGGGAACCAAAAATCAAAATAAATCCGGGAAATAATTCGAAAAGATACTTATATTTAAAATATATCGAATACAATTAACCAAAAAAAATGTATTTTGAGGATACACGGATAATAGTTATCCGTTTATACAACCAAAACACATTTTACAGGATTTAGGCGATGGATCGCGTACATAATTTGAAATTTCAAAAAAAAATAATATTGGAAACGTCAGTTTTTTTATATAAAAAAATTTAATTGCGGTTTTTTCAATACTTTTTGTTAAGTTTATTACTCTTGTCTAACGTAAACATCTCAAAAATGACAAATATAATTATTTTAATGATTGTACCAATTTGTTTTAATATTTAATTAAAATTTTATTTTTAAGATAATATATTAAAATGAGTCAACGACAGAATATAACATAAGTGCGAGTGAGAGAGACAACGGTCTACAAGATCGAAGTAAGTATCTTCCTAAAATCTAAAGCACGCGACATTGGCGAAGTAAATTGTGCCCAAAGGCACTCCTAGAAGCCACAAACCTAAAGAATTGAAAATCTAAAGCACGATGTGTTTTCACGAATTCTTCAAAACGAACCAAGAGTAAATAGAAAAGAGAGAAACAGCTTTTGTTGTCTCACTCACTCCAATACACGTTTATGAACATAACAAAACAGGAGTATAGCACATATAATTATTGCAGAACAAAATAAAATAAAAACGTTTAAAATCTATTAATTTAATGAGATATGTAAAATACATGAACTTCAATTCATACGAAGAAAATCGAGAGTTGAAAAAAAAACAGTTAAAAGCATACAAAAATAATAAAAATGTCCGTTTATTTCTTTCGAATGAATCTGGATATAATAATAAAAAAATTGCACCGTCCCAGCGTTTCGCTTCACCCAATTAATAGTACCTTAAACAACTGGACTTCAAATGGTAATTTCTCATAAAGATTACCAAATTCACCCACAAATCTTCGACCGCGTCATTCATTTCACAAAAGATTACCAGTATCAACCTTCATTCTAATGTAATATTGCAATACTTAATAAAAAAATAAAAAAGTTATACTGACACAAGCTAATATGGTCTATCGCAATACTGAGATTACCATAAATAAACTTCCTGAACATCATTAACTTAATATTACCACGGTAATCAACGATTACCATTTATTACCGAATAAACGAAATGAGTAATACTTAAGTGGTAACATCGGTAATCACGAATTACCAAATATACCTATGTTATTACCGATGATATTACAGAGTTGGGTGTAATATCGGTAATCATGTATTACTTGATTACTATTTCATGACGTCACGGTGACCGCTATGTCGCGAAGAGTGGACTTGATGGAGTCGTATGTCGCGAAGGAGATGCCCACAGCGATGGGGCCCTTCACCCAATTCATACTCAACCCTTTGAAAAACCCGCGCCAGCCTTCGTTCCTGAAACAAAATAGTACATTTTAGGGTTCCGCAGTGAATGGAAATAATGTGTATGTGTCAATAGTCTGAGTGGTTATCATGTACGGCTGCTACAGAAGGGGTCCTGGGTTCGAGTTCCAAGTATAGTTGTTGTGTATTTATGTGAAGAAATTCTCAGTTACACAACGAAGTTGTAAAGTTGGTGAAATGACATTCCTTCGTTGAGACAGTGCACTGCCCTTGTCCTCTCTTCACAAGTGTGGAAGTATCGTCTCATAGCAGTGTAGGTGTGAAAGGGATATAAAGTGCTAATGTGTGTACGCTCTTTCTCACACACATCTTTTAAAAAGCTAAGGAGGTAAGTAGGTTGAAGGTTACCCTATTTTATACACCCTATATTATGTGAGAAAAGAAATATTAGGGTGAAGCGAAAAAAAAAGATTTTTTTTCTTAGTCTAAGCTAATATTAATACTAATATTGCGTTATTGCAATTTTTAAAAAAGTTGAAAAAATAGCATGTTACTTTTTTGTATTACAGTGAAGGTTGAGTAGAAAATGACTATATTAGACGAGAAAAAAAATCATTCAAACCAAAAATTTATTTTAAAACTCAGTGGGCCACCTCAAAATGTTGAGTATTTTTTTTTATATCAATAATTTTTAAAGGCTACAAATTCTACCCCTAAGCTAAGAAAAAAATTAACATTTTTATTCACTCCACCCTAATATATATATACATATGTGCGTGCGTGCGAGCGTTGTCACATGTGTGTGTATGTGTGAGCACAACTCACACGTATACGGCACGCAGCGTGGCGACGATGGTGGGGCAGGCGGCGCGCGGCGCGGTCTGCATGCGGCGGCGCACGATGTCCAGCGGGTAGGACGCGGTCTGCGCGAGCGCACCCGCCGCGCCACCGCACACCATGTTGGTGGCGCCGTGCGGCTCGCTGCCCGTGTGCTCTGCGAAGACACACGGTAATCATGTATTCACGGTAATCATGTAATACATGATTACCGACGTTACACCCAACTCGGTAATGAAGTTCAGTAAGAAAATGTAATAATTTAATGCTGAATAAAATATTTTGAATTTTGACCCCTGCACCGAAAATGAGATGTGTATATTCGGTAATATAGCCGTGCTACAGTTTAGAGTCGATTAAGAATGTAATTAAGTATATGAACGAGATATAACTAGAACCATATTAGGCTTTGCTATGTGAATAATATGTGTGTACATTTAATATCTACAATGTATTTATTAACTGTTGTATCAATACAAGAGAAATAGGCTGCACTAGTGCCACCTACTATATATATATAAAATATGTGGGAGGGGACAGAAGTATAAGAAAAGTAGTCTCAACGTCTGTGTGGTCTGTGGCGGGAAGTGGTAAGTACACAACAATACTTAACTTCGCTGTCTGTGTAGTAAGTGGGAGTGAGGGAGTGGGAATGGGGAGTAGGGAGGGTGGAGTGTGGAAAGGGAGTGGTGGAGGAGTGAGGGGGCGTGGGGAAAGGGGAGTGTAGAGGAAGGGGGGGTATAATAAACTTTAGAATTCGGGACTATGAGAAAAGTAAACTTTCCCTACACACATGTAGTCTGTGGGAGGGGGAAGGACCATTAAAGGACTAGACGAGAGCCCTTTTGGTACCATTGGTACGCTTAATTGAATATCAAAGCGAAATGGATTCTATTTTTTTTTTAATTTATATGGAACCCTATTAATGTTTACATACATATATAATATAATGCTTATTTGAAATCGGTCAATTAAAAAAATACATATAAAATTTCGTGTCATTTCAGTTTCACGCTGCAACTCACCACGATACAAGTTCCGGAGCGAGTCGTACGTGAAGAAGGACACGCCGGCGTACGGGATGACGCCGAGCACGGTCGCGGGGTAGCCTCTGTACAGCGAGTGCAGTCCCTCGTGGCGCGCCACGCGGCGGAACACGGCGCGCAGCGAGCGGTAGTCGGCCACGGCCATGCGCGCGCGCGCCAGGTCCAGCGGGTACGTGGCGCTCTGCGACGTGGCGCCGGCCAGCGACCCCGCCGCCAGCAGCCGCAGCGGGGACTCCCTGGCGCACACACACATACAGATATACAAGAGAGAACTTCTTCCAAAACCGAAATTGTAGTCTTAAAACGCGGAGTTTTTGTTTTTAGAGTTTCGTAATGGAAGATTGCCAACGAGACCCTAATTACTAAGCCTCCGCCGTCCGTCTGTCAGTGAGCTGCATCTCATAAACCGTAATAGGTAGAGAGGTGAAATTTTTAGACAACAAGTTATAAAAAAAAACGAATTCCATGCAAATTAAAAAGATAGCCCATTAATACATAGTGTTATCTATACTAATCTATACAGATAAATAAAATTGAAGTGTCTGTTTGTAATGTCAATATAACAGCGTTTTACTAAATGCATATGAAATTATATACGGTACTTATAAGAAAAACACAATTTTTAAAATTTTTGTCTCTCTGTCTGTTTGTTCCGGATAATCTCTACAACATCTGGACTGATTTTGACGGGACTTTCACTGGAAGATAGCTGATGTTATATGGACTAACATAAGCTACTTTTATTTTAGAAAAAGAATTAGGATTCCGCTCAAAAAAATTAAAGCGTACTTACTCGCTAGTTATATTATAAAGAAAAAAGATTTGTTTGTTTGTACCCAGTAGAAATTTAGTAAGAAGATAGATTGAGACCCTAGATAGGACATAGGATAGTTTTTATCCCGGAAATTATCCCTTAAGGTTGAAAATGGAAGTGAAACTTTGTATTGGGAAGCAACCTAGGAATGAAACCGAGCCAAGCGAGCGTGAGTCGCTAGTATCTTATACCACGGTAAGGAACCCTTCGTGTACGAGTCCAAGTCCCACTTGACCGGTTTACTATTTAAATAGACGATAGATGGCGTTAACATGTAAACTATTATTGTATTTTATTTTATAAATATGTATAATTTACAGTATTAGAAATAAAGCAATTTCATTTTATAATTTAAAAAATAAACATAAGCAAGTTTAACCGTTTTTAACAGTAAATAAAACTTAAAATTTAAAAAACACCATCCATGAACACGCAGTACTAACGTATTACTTAATAGCAGATTTTTCAATCCTCAGTTAAATACAGACATTTGATTTCAGAAGGCATTTTTTCATTATTTATTTTACTCAAAGTTTTTAGAAATTACAGACAGACACTTCAATTTTATTTGTATGTATGTATATATATATATATATATATATATATATATATATATATATATATATATATATATATATATATATATATTCTCTGACATATATTGTCAAAAAAATTTGAAGCACCTTATAAGTCTAAATTTTTCTTTTTACCCGACTGCGGCGAAATCCAAAGAAGGATTATGAGTTCGACCTGTATGTATGTATGTATCTCCGGTCCTATGTTCCCTCGTAATTACTAAACGGCTACATTGATTTTGATGATTCATATATTTATTTATTTAGTTCATTGAGCATGAGTGTATGTATGAATGTATAATACGAAACGGATGTACGTATGAGGTACTTACTGGGCAGTCTGCGGTGTGTCGACGCCAAGCAGCCGCTTCCACTGCTCGTGCGCGGTGAACTGTATGGCGGCGTAGGGCACGATACGCGCCATGGTCGCGCTGTTGCCGCGCCACAGCGCCGCCCAGCCCTCAGTGCGCGCGCTGTGCGACAGGAACCCCACGGCCGCCTTCCAGGAATAGGGGATATGTCTGGAAGGGGAGACGCAGGTTGTTGGGTACATCCCCCCCAACGTGCGTTCACCTTGTCGTGGGGGGGCTCAGTAGTGCCCGGCAATCCAACCGGGCACGAAGCTAAGAAACGTACTGGAAGGCGGCCCACATAGGTGGACGGTGGCTATGGGGGTAGTGGACTGTGGAGCAACCCCATGGTTGTTGTGGTCTGCTTTGGCAGACCTGCCGTTGGGACATCGTGGTTGAGTGCGTAAGCGATCCCACGACGCCCCATTAAGACGGCAGATTCCATTGTGTTTTAGTGGGTAGTACTGACTTTGCCAGTGAGTCCCACACCTCGTGTCTAAATTCATTTCCCAACGTTCAAAAAAAAACGTTGTTGGGTACATAATACTGATATTTTAAATTAAAAAAAAATGAAAATAATCTGTCAACTGTCAAGCCCTTAAAAGTGTGAGTAAAATAATACATTCTTAGATTTACGCGAATATTTGACATTTTAAATAAAACTATCTTTTCGGATTTTTTCGCGGATTTATTTTGATTTTTGGTTCCTGACGTTTCGAATGCTTTACAGGAATCATGGTCACGGAAGAGACTGAGGTTTTAGACGTCTCAAAGTTCATTATATAGTTGTTACAGACAGTGCCTACCCACAAATTTACAAAATAATTTCAAAAATACAAAAATGCCACTAAAGTAACTTGCAATGTTTAGAATTAAAATTAACAAAAAATAACTCTCAAACTATTTTTTTTCTGGTTAATAGAAATAAATTGTTAAAAAAACTTGAACAGCTAGTGTTTTTAATATAGGTACATGATAATTTTATCCATATATGTATGTTTTCCACAAATTTTTAATAATGATTTTGGTGAAATGTCGGCCACTGGACAAACACTGGTTGGTAGATATTAGGAAAAAATATATGTATCGTAAAAATAATATATTACCGAAGTAAAGCCGGGGCCGGTCGCTATCTCTTTTAGTATATCTGTTTTAATATATAAACATATGAATCATCATACAAAGACAAGTTCACCGACCTCAATGTTCGTCCTCAAAAGGTTGCGAGTTCGATTCCCTTGTGGTAATTATGATGCTATTTATACTACTGTTTACAAAGAAATGTCTAAAAAAAAGATTTCTTATTATTTTACAATTTTTTAACGTTTCATACATTTTAGATACATGTGCAGGAGAAAAACCAGCCGCTTGCAAACTTACGACGTTTGAAAGTTGATCTTAGTCCTATCGAGGGGCGCTATGACAGTCTTGGCGATAGCTCCGGCGGCCGCGCCGGCCACCAGCGACGTGACCACCACCACGGTGCCCGACAGCTGCTTCCTGGTTGGTGGTTCTGGAAATTGGGAAAATTAAGCCTATATCAATATTTTTTAATATTATTTCTTTTGATAAAGAAAATAATTATTAAAAAGTGCAAATATAAATAAATAAATATGTTGGGACATTAACACAACACCACCTAGTTCCATGGTAAGCTACGAGACTTGTGTTATGGATACCAGATAGTTGATACACTACACATATGTATAAAACTTTAAATACATATATATTATAAATATAAACAGTAACAGCCATGACTAGAGTACAAACACTCGTGCTCATCACACATATGAATGCCCCCAGCGGGACTCGAACCCGCAACCGCTGGAACAGCAAGTACTACAAACTGAGCCAAACGTGTCGTCGAATATATAGATGGGGTATTCAAAATAGTTGAAACGCAACGCCATTGGTCAAACCGAATGTGACGTCAGAGTATTATCATAACAGAGCGATTAACTGTTTTGTCGCTACAAACCAAAGTCGTCATTTTCTATGTATGATACTTTGACGTCACGTCAAGCTCGCGACATAGCGGGCGTTTGAAGTGTCCGTATAGGGATGATATATAATATTTTTTTATACTAAATTTTATTTTTCTTGAGCTGGACATTATTTTACAATTATATAACTATGTTAGCTATTGTATGTCATAAACGATAAAAAAAATCACGCATATATTCTAGTTCTTGGGTGAATAGAAAAAAGGAAGGGAATGAAGATGGGATAAATAGAAGTGATTTTGATTATGTTCAGGTGTAAAGTGGCATAAAAAATTCCTCTGGGAATCTACGCGACAATACGTATAGTGTATTGTGTATGTATGCACACACACATACTATAACTCTATTACTAAACAAGATTAGCTAGAGCCTAAACTATATATACTCAGGGTCGATTTCAGAAAGCTGAGAGGCTCGAATTAGAACTTTTCGGCAACAACTGTTGGATGGATTTGAATTAAATTCAGTACATAGATAGCCTATAGACAAGGACACAAAATACTAATAGATACCCAGGAACACATCTCAGCATAGCGAGAGAAGTCGTGAAGAGAGGGTAAAGTAAAAAAAATAAAATAAAAAAAAAATCGATGTATCTTTAAATAAAAAAAAGTTATTTTTGTTATTTTAACATAATAATCACTGTAACCATCCTCGATGTATTTTAAGGAACCACATGACCTCCAAACATTTTTTTCGTGCGGGATCGAACTGACTACCCTTGATTTTGTTTAGAGAAAACTGGACTACTTGGTAAATAAATACCAGTTATCTTCAACTTAATAATAGCGCATTGATGCAACAAAACAATGCGTCTGTTTTGACCACAAGAGGACTATTGTTCCTATGAACTGTTTAGAAAGCATTGAACGTATCTAATATACTTAGGACAGCGGTTCTCAAACTTTCTGATGATGAAACTAAATATTTAGCAGAATCTATACTAATATTATAAAGAGACAGAGTTGGTTCGTTTGTTTGTTTGTTTGAACGGGCTAATCTCATGAACTACTAATCCTATTTGAAAAATTCTTTTTGCATTAGATAGCCTGTTTATTAAGGAAGGCTATAAACTATATATCATCCTGGAAAAATGTGCGGTTCCTGTGGGATAGACTTGCTAGTAAGTATAAAAAATATTGGAAAGTGAACAAAATCCATATCCACCTCCTTGGTATCATCATCACAACAAAGTTTACAAGTTTCCAATCTTTAATCGGATAACAATTGGCTTGAATAAAAAAAAACACTTATAAACCTACCACATGAACAACAACCAATCATCTATCCCAATTTAAAATACCTACCTATCTAGAGATAGCCCCTAACTATTCAGAGTAAGATTATTTTCATTTACGACACAGTTACAACTTACATATCTATATATGTATATATATTTTATACGTATATAAAAAATCTGGCAATGGTAGCCCAGTGGTAACGCGCTCGCTTGGGAAACCGAGTGAAGCGGGTTCAAATCCCGGGTCTAGCACCTCTGATATATTCATGTGCGAATCATTTCTAACATAATCACCACATGAACAAAAAGGGCTAAATAGATAAGATGGATATAAAAATCGATGGGTGTATGTATGTTCTCTATGGACTCCAAAACGGCTGGAGCGATTTTGATGGAATTTTAAACAATCATCAGATTAGCCCAGCAGATGATCTTGTGAAGTTTGGCAGCGATCTGAAGGTTGAAGGCGGGCGAAACCGCGGGTACTGCTAGTTATGTATAATTATGGAGTGCCAGCTGCTTTTTTTGTAATTTGCATTCACTATTATCTAGCGTTTCACATAAGTTACATGCCAAATTTCAGCAGTATAGCTCTAATTGTCTCAGATTAAAATGGCAGTGACATACGGATAGACGGACAAATGGTCACATATAGAACAATAAATAAATTACGAAATCATAAGTTATGTGTTTTCGTTATGGAAGTGTAAAAACATGCATCTCCTTTTTTAAAATCGGTCAAATCAAGTAGGATATATATCAACAATCATATCAGTTAGATGCTGTCAACACCGAGTTCATTATCAATACACTTGTTATTACTGTGGAGTTATTTTATTATAACAAAAATATTATCTTTGATATCAAATTACGAGTATATTAAGAAAACTACGTCACAAGTCTACTTACATATATTTATGTATAGATAGTGCAATATACACACAAAACATCATACACTTTCAGAACCTCCCCATGTCTTAAATCGGTCAAAAAGATTTTCTAACTTAATTTACACCACGATTCAGAGCTCTCAACTAATCATTAAGCCCTTTTTAAATTCCCATTGTTGAGGGTGGGTCTCCCGTCTACCGAGTTGAATTTTGCCATAAATCCTATGGCGTCCCGTTAAAATGATGAGGATACCAGTAGACGAATCCCCCATAACCATCTACAGAAGAATTATGTGCAAAAGAATTAACTAGCGATAAAAAAAGCAAATAATCCTACATAAAAATTTCTAAACGGTGTAGATCAAATCTATACATATAATAAAATTCTAACTGAGTCGAATCTGTACATTCAATATTTTCTTGAAAATATTATTGGAATAGTCCCTATTATCGATACAGAGGCCGAATCTATAGTTTTTAGAATTTTTATCTGTCTGTATGTCTGTCTGTGGCCGCATCACGAGAAAACCACTGGACAGATTTTGATGAAATTTGGTATGATGATAGCTGGTTATCCGGGTCAACATATAGGACACTTTTTACTGCAGGATAATATCTTATCTATGAGAAATCTATTCGAAACGTTAAAACGTAACAAGCGATGAACCCGAGCGGAGCGGAGCTGAGTCGCTGGTCATAAAAATATTACTTAGAAAAATTATGCAATATAGGTAAATAATAATAATATGTTGAGACATTAACACACAGCACCATCTAGTTCCATGGAAAGCTACGAGGCATGTGTTATGGATACCAGATAGTTGATACACTACACATATATAACTTTAAATACATACATATTATAAATATACATAGTTTTCCTTATCAAATGAAAGCCCTGGGGCTCATGCTAGGTGATAGAGCTCGCACTCACCATGGTGTGCAGGCCTGTCGTCGTGAAGCAGCGGCACGCGCGCCTCTCCCACTGCCATCCTTCTCGCTCTCACATACCGGTATCGTTAGGTTTGTCTGCAAAAATAATAACATCTACAAAACTTTCCGCGATACCATGTATTTATCGTATAACTTTTATAATTTAGCAAATACACTAATTGTTGTAAATATTTTTAAATTTTAAAAATTTATTTATTTAATTAAATTATTTATCAGCAAATAATTATTTAATATTTGAAATACTTAACAAAATAAAAACAAAATTGAATGAGATTACTCGTGTAATACATATAACTAATAAAAGTAATATGTAAGTAAAACAGTCGACAAAGCAGAAGCGCTGACTGTAATTTTTTTTTTTTAATTCAAAAAAGAGATCTCGTATTTGACTTACAAAGATTGATGCTACATATTTCTCCAATCATTCAATGTCCGTTTTAAATTAAATTTAAGTAGCGGCACGCTTCGCTCGTTTTAGCGGTTAGTATGGAACAGATAAACTATATATTATATTACTGCTCCGCTCCCTTAAGTAGTAGCATGATGATATATAGCCTATAGCCTTCCTCAATAAACGGGCTATCTAATATAATATAATAAAAAAGAATTTTTAAATCAGATTAGTAGTTCCTGAGATTAGCGCGTTCAAACAAAATATATAAACAAAGAAACTACGCCCCTTTATAACATTGGTATAGACTTAATAATATTCCCATCAAATGGGACCCATATAAATCATAAACAAGTCGATATTTCCTTTTAAATTATGTACTGTATGATGTCCGGACGTGTTTAGTTAACAATAGATTTATCAATCAAACTAAATCAGATCCATGGCAGAGCCAAATCCGGGGGTGTGTAGCGGCATTGATGACAGTTACTAATCAATAACAATAAATAGATACGAGAAGAAACACGTAGAATAAGGTATTATATAAGAATAATTATCAAGTTCGTTTGCCAATTTCGCAATAGATACTATATATCTATACATATAATAAAATTGTAACTAAGCCGAATCTGTACATTAGATATTATTTTGGAAAATCTTATTGAAATAGACATTATTATTGATACAGAGGCTGAATCTATAGTTTTTAGAATTTTTGTCTGTCTGTCTGTCTGTCTGTTACCGCATCACAGAAAAGCCACTGGAGGGATTTTGATGAAATTTGGTATGATGATAGCTGGTTATCCGAGTCAACATATAGAATACTTTTTACCGTGGGAAAATATCTCATTTTTGAGAAAAATAAAAAAACTGCATTGTAAGAGTATACTAATATGTAAAACCTAAGAATTTGGTTTTTGGCTATGTGAATGCGGGCGGAGCCGCGGGCAATGCTAGTTATCTAATAAATTACTATTCTTGTGAGGCAGTGTAAGTGTATGTGTATATATATATATACATTATATGTTGTTAGCTCTTTTTTAGCCTCCTACCGCTGGGCACGGGCCTCCCTTTACTACAAGGGGAATCAGGCCATAGTCCACCACGCCGATCAAGCGCGGGCTGGCGGATTTCACATGTCTTTCGTGAACTTTATGACTCGTTTTTGTGGAGATATGAGCATCGCAAAAAAAAAATTGAAAAATATGTAAGAAATAAGGGTTAAACGAAACCCAACATTAATTATCACTGAAAGTCGATACACACGATCACTTTTTACTGTCGAAGCGCACTTGTATCGATACGAACGAAAATAATAATCTGCATTTTTAAATTTATCAGCGTTGTGATGTGTTTTTTAAATATTAGGAAATGCATTTACGCATACCACCTATGTTTACCATACATACAGGTGGTTATGTGGGACTCACTGGCTACTTCCCCCGTCTTAATGGGGCGTCGCAAGATCGTTTTAGCATTTTACCAGGACGCCACGGCGACAGAAAAAAAAAGTACTAAGAGCAACCCGCATGGTACACCCGCTACTTGGAAGTCTCTTGGCTCCGCGCCCGGCTGAGGTGCCGGACGCTAACTGAACCCCCCCACCACGACAAGGAGAACACACATCGGGGGGATGGTTTGTTTGCTCTAATAATTTTATTAATTATAGATATTTCAGCCTGTAAATATTCTTACTTCTCTAACTTAATATTATCTCGTTAATGATACATATTCATATCAATTTTAAATAATGTCTGTTATCTGTTTGTGCCAAATATAAATAGATGATATCTAAGAGCATGAAGCTGGAGGAAAGATAAATATTTTTCATCATTAATTACTTTTTATTTAAAAAGTTATACCTTTTTTTAGTTTAAATATATATTCATTGGTATGTCTGTATGGATCAAATGTTGCAAGTTGAATTAAAACCACTTTTATAACAATTATGACCTGATTCTCCATCTAGGATTGGCTCCAGACGAATCTAACTCCAAAGGTTAACAGTACAGTAAAAGCTCCTTATTCGAGGGGTTTACGTTCCAAAATTATACCGCGTATTTTGTATTTAAATGTAACGGGTTGCGTTCCAAGGTAATAAAATTATAATATATATGTAATACATTGCGTATTGTAAGGCAGTGGTAGCCCAGTGGTAACGCGCTCGCTTGGGAAACCGAGTGAAGAGAGTTCAAATCCCGGGTCTCGCACCTCTAATATTTTCATGTGCGAATCATTTCCAACATGATTACCACTTGTCTTAACGGTGAAGGAAAACATCGTGAGGAAACCTGCATGTCTGAGAGAACCTAGCAAGTTTTCAAAAGACATGTGAAGTCCACCAACCTGCACTTGGCCAGCGTGGTGGACTAAGGCCTGATTACCCTCGTACTGAAGAGAGGCCCGTGCCCAGCAGTGGGACGTTAATAAATTAAAAAAAAACAGTTTACAGTTCATTACAGTGCTATCAAAAAATATTAACATTAATTATAATTTTTTAAACTATTTGGTTTCAAATATTTTGTATTTTTTTTCTTACTTCGCCGCCTTTAAAAGGGTATTTTTATTTTTTATTCCGCATAATATACAGCTGAGGCTTCATCAATTTTTCTTTTAAAAAAAAACAAGAAGTTTTCCAAAGACTGGTCAATTTTTTTAACCGTAGCGATTGACGTCATACTCTAGTTTTTACCATTCAAAAATATGGCAACACATCTGTTTTCAAACAAAACAAAAGATTGAAGAAGAATAAAATTAAGTTTTACGATTACTTACTCGAAATAAAAGGATTTTCGTTGCACATTCATCAAGTTTTAACAAATACCTTGATTTTGACGAAACACGTGTTTTGTTACTTAATCCGTCCGGTCTTTTATGCAATGGTGTGGTTTTATTGAAAACGTTCATTATTTAACAATGGATATTATCTCTTTTTAAATCGTAAGTTACGTATCTGCGAATAACGAAATTCTCGGCCACGAATACAGCAAATTTTTCTTCTGCGAATACTGAAACCGCGAATAAAGGATTCGCGAATAAGGAGCTTTTACTGTTACACAGACGAAATTTATATATCTAAGTACGCTTTCGATTATTGAAATATATATTAGAACTCACTTGAGATACTTATCTTCTTTCTTATAAATAAAAAGGAATGGTTAAATGTGTTGCTAAGCGCAAAACTCGAGAACGGCTGGACCAATTCGGCTAATTTTTTTTTTCAAATATTCGTTTCGAGGAAGATTCATAAGACGAGAAAAATTAGAAAAATTTCACGGAAAAACATAAAAAAACCATAATATTTTCCTCTTTCCTTACTACTACTTTATAATAATTATGAACGCACCCTTAAAATTAATACATATTAAAAACTACATATTTCAATGTATCTGTTAATTGGACGCTTTCTCTTTCTACGATATACCTACAGTTTGATTTTGTTTGTTTGTCCCTTTTCCACGTGGAAACAGTGTTTGGAGTCATTTTTTGTGTGGAGATAGTTGAAGGGCTGGAGAATGACATAGGCAATTTACCGCTGGAGATTATCCTATTCCACGGAAAACATGTCATTTTTTATATGCTATTCCATACTAACCGTTAAAACGTACCTAGGAAAGGTGAGTTGCTAGTTGTACTGTTGCTAGTTGTAGCTGGAAAATCGATGCACAATTGTCTAAGATTATGCCACCAAAAATTTGCTTTGGTATAACAACCCTATATCATTAAAGTAATAAAATTATCTAGATTTTGATAATATTTGGTGACCATCCCTCTTGGTTGTATTTGTTAATAATTAATATTTATAAGTTTAAAAAATATACTTCATCTGGAAAAGTGACCGGTCCACCATATACATAGATCGGGATCTTAAGACTAATATTCCTGAAGTCACGGCAAAAAATAAATTGAGTTAGAAATATTAAAAATCATCGTTTTTGCTTACTGACTGTAAAGTCCAAAGTATATGGTCATTTTTGTTGTCAGGATTTGAATTATATATTCATTCTAGGGTTCTGTAGCAAAAAGCGAAAATGAAACAGTAAGGGTTAATTAATGTTAATAATTTTAAATTAATAATGAGAAAAGCATTTTAAATATTATAATCAATTGTTAAATAAAATTTGAGGCCATAAACAATACAATGGCCTCATAAAAATGAGAAAAATGAATTAAAAATTACAAAATAAAAATGTGAGTCATGAAGACGGCATTAACCACTATTTTAAAGGGAGCCTAACAAAATGTATTCATGCTTGGAAAAAAGAAATTTATTGATGAATCTTTGGTTACCTAGTGTATTTATCATATTACTAGAGGAATACTGCTAAGCTATTCTAGAAAAACACAAACAAATCTATCCTATGTTAACCATAATTTTTTCCAGGATAAAAAGTAACCTATGTGTTATTCCAGACTATAATCTATCTCTGTGCCAAATTTAATCCAGATCCGTTCAGCCGTTCTGGCGTGAAAGAGTAACAAACATCCATACTCACAAACTTTTACATTTATAATATTCGTTATTATATACTGACATACACTATGAGTTACTACTACTAATAAGCCTATGTGTTCCTCTAGATCATAACCTATCTATCTACTAACTTTCATAATAATCTAACCAACTGTTTTAGCTTACAGGAATAACAAACATAGACATATACACAAAAATTTTCAAGTTTAAAATAATAGTATTATGGTGAATGGTTCTCTGGGAATGCCAAGTTATGAGGCAAAGAAGAGGTCTGTCTGGATAATACATAAAGAAAACTGAACACTCAGGTTAATGAGATTCATTTGAATTAAAATACAATACTTCATGTTTATATTACAATATACATATTTTTATCAGTAGGCAATTATAAAAAAAAATATATAAACATGGTCATATGTCAAGGTAATCATTATCCATTAAAAAAAAGACCTAATCTAAAAAAAAATTTCGTTTATTATAACTATAATTGATTGTTGTAACTTGTTATATAGTGATATAATAAAGCGTCTAAGATTGAAGTTAACGTAGGTACCAAAGTCCAAAGTGTCTAGCCTAACCTTGAAATTCAAGAGAATGAAATTTTTAAGCCCTATTTTTAGAGAGAACATTACAAGATACGACTTACTTCTAAAATCTCTGGAACCAAGTATTCCCGTAATGCACTCAAAAAATTTGAAACAAGTCGACAAAAAGTTAAAACAAATATTTCAAGAAATAACAGTTGTATTTATTTTTTAAATAATTGATTTTAATTCACAGTAAAGTCTTATTCTTATTTCTTATTGAAATCTTTTTCGTAACTAATTTACGTCACACTTCCCGTGGATTTTTAAATAAACTTAGATCTTAATGACAGTTCTCTTCATTATTTTGGACTTTGACATTTATGACAGCAAACGATTTTCTTATTATTTACAGCTGACTTGGTGTTGCCATGCTTACATAAATGACATTTGAAAAAAATACCTTTTATTGAAACATGAAACATAAAAGATTTCAATTTAAATCAAAGGAATAGTAATAAAATCAGAAGTACAAGTGCTCATATTTTTTTAAGTTTATTATTTTTTTAGTCACTTACCTCGTAACAGATGCGTTCCTAGGTGTCTCTTGTATTATATACAGACAAAGCAATCTTTCTTCACGACTAATTACCCTGTTGAAAAGCGACAACAGCCACATACAAACCAATAAATATATTTTATTGGTTTCTATGTGGCTTTTGATGGGATCCTATTGGAGTTTTTAAATAGGGAAGAGCCTATATATTGCTCAACCAGTGGTTTTATCTTAAAGAAGTACACTTATTATAATTGCACATACAAACACACTATATACAATACAATTTATTATTGTTGTACATATATACATACAAACTATAAAAATTTTAAACTAATTGAAAAAGGTACGTAACTTATCTCTTTAAATAGCTTTCTCCCAGATTTCCATTAGAGGAAATTTATTTTCAACAAGAAATTGTTGGTGTTGGTACAATTATTAGGAAAGGAATATGAAAAATTGAAACAATTTAAAGTTGATGTACATATATTATGTATTTTATTAGAGCTGTTGTTTGTTTGTACGAAGTAACTTCCACACATGCATAATATTTATTTTGTAAATTTTTATTATACAAAGTAACCAAATTATACATTTCAATAATGCTATTATATACTTTTGTTACTTTTACAAGAATATACCCTTTTAGCACATATAAATATATGTACATATATGTATTTATAAGTAAAAAAATAGCATCTTGCAATTTTTTATTACAAATCTCTTGTAAAATGTAATTATTTAACAAATTGTAATTTTAAACAATATATCATAGTGACAGGCAGCGCGACGAAAATGTGCATGACATTTAACAAACTCCCCTTTTATATAAATAAAATCAGCTGTTAATTAATAAAAAAAAATTATTGAGACATTTTTAAAGGTGGCAACATTCTAATTGAAGGACTTTTTAAAGCTAACAACATTCTACGTATCAATCACTAAAATCTAAATCTGAGTCGGAATCAGCTCTGCCGCGGATGGTCTTCTTGCTCTGAATCTGAATCGCGCGCTGTTTCTTCGCCTCGTCGGGGGGAGTCAGGAGGTCTCCTGAATATTCTATTACTTCCGATCTGTAATAAATAAGGTATTTTGCGGGTGAAAATTGAGATTTTAACTATGCATAAGTATGAATAATTAATAATTTCCTAAAGACCAATATCTGTCACGACGGCCAATCTCACTGAGACTATCTAGACGCGCAGGAGATATTATATGTGCAGTGTGTGAGGGAGAGATGCATTGTCTGTCCATTCCACTAACAAATTCCAATGGGCGATACATAATTCGACAAGACCAGTGAGCGACGCGAGACGTGTTCTGCCTCGGCTCGGGGGTAAAATACCGCCAACTTCCCAACTTTGGGTTACTATTGGGAACATCTTAGCAGAGAAACTCAGTCATTAAACTTGGCCCGATCCTGGTCTTGCACCCAGAACCTCCGGATCTGCAGCCGTACATGCTAGCCACTACACCACCGAGGCAGTTAAAATATACATTATCAAATATTTGAGCATTGTCAAACCTGTTATAAATATGTACATTTGATATGATGTCTATATTCTTTTTTTATTATTATATATCTCCCTACCTGTATTTGGAACTAACATGAGAGAGTTTCTTTGGACTCACTTTTTTTTGACTTTATTGTCCTTAAATACTTTAATATTAAATCTATAAACAATATTCAGTGTTGCCATAAAAATAAACAGTAACTTATCACGAGGTAGTTTTGCAACAAAATATAAATAATAATTTTTAAATTAAAATATTTTCATGAATCACTGTCAAGATTTAATTTTTTTTTTGTTATTTCTAGAATAATTACCTAAACACAATTGGTGACAGTTTTACAGTGATGCAGCCTTCCTGTCATTTAAGCCAGACTTTTAGTAATAAATAAAGGATTTGAATGGGACTAACATAGACTATTTCTATAATTGAAACAAGAAAGCAGAGTTTCAGGATAAGTTTATACCTAGCAATCCTCCACTCCAGCATCTCAGTGGAGAAGTCATCTCGGTTGCCTAAATCCGTGAAGCCCACTATGAAGTCCTTGGTTTTGTTGTTCTTCACCAGACCTATTGTGGGAATGACGCGAATCTTCAAGCGACCTATGGATAAGGGAAATAAATATTATTTAAAAAAAAAAAAACATTTTTTTAAAGTGAGATTTCTTTAGGGTCATTGTGATTTGAAACTCAACTCGATGAAAAGAAAATGCGACACTAGAAAATGACAAACACATAAATATATAGGGTTAAGCCGGCGAGAGAATGAGACAGGGTACATTGCCATATTAACGGTTGTTATTGTCTCACAAATGATATACATATAATATTATTATATATTCTATACATATAATATTATTATATATTATATAATATTATTATTATATTCTACTAGCATTGCCCGCGGCTCCGCCCGCGTTCAGATGACCAAAAACTAAATTCTTAGGTGTTACATATTAGTATACTCTTACATTGCAGTTTTTGTATTTTTCCTCAGAAATAAGATATTTTCCCGCGGTAAAAAGTATCCTAGGATCGCGCGCTACATCGCCCGGTTTATATAGCTTGAGCAGGCGGTCGAGCGATGCGGGGCAGAGGGGATGGACTCGCCGTAGGCATCTCAATGCTCGCCAAGCATTAAAAATGTTTCGCTACTAATTACTTCTAACAACGATATCTCAAAAACTATTCATCTGATTGATTTAGTGTAAAGAGCAATTTTAATCTGCATTAAATGACTAAGCTAACTAAAATATTCATTTGGATAAGGATTAATACCGAACTAAAGAAAATAACTTTGAAAATAACGTAATGTTTTTAATTAAAAATGTTAACATAAAAGTGGTTATTGTAAGTCAACCGTAAGAGATAGAGATATGCTATCGCGGACTTTTTTGTAGCATTTTTATAGATTTTGAATTCTCTAGTACATTACTTAACTGTATCTTTGCTAGTTTACGCGGCGTTCGCGTGGAAAGTTCCCATTTGGCGAGATTTTTTGCGACCTCTTCAACATTTGTCGCCGTATTTCAGCTAATTTACATAAAAGCATAATAAATTATATACCTAAACCTTCCTCAAGAATTACTCTTTCTATTGTTGAAAACCGTATAAAAATCCGTTCAGTAGTTTTCGAGTTTATCGCGTACAGACAGACAGGAGGACAGACAGGAGGACAGACAGGAGGACAGAAAGACGCGGCCGGGGGACTTATTTTTATAATAAGTATAGATAAATATATGCTTGTAATATGCCAAATATGCGTAATTGAATTATTCATTTGTTTTAATTTAATTGCGACATTTGCCAAAAAAAATTACTTCAACCGCGCGTAAAGGTTACACGCACCCATTTTTTTTAGTTACATACTGGTGTAGACTAAAGGCAACATTATTCACACATTGCAAGTTTAGATTAGAGCATTAGAAAAAAAGGGAGAGGGAAGACATAGAGGGGGATAGTTCAACCAGCAACCTATTTTTCTACTAGAATTTTGATTACATATAACTGGAACTGACATCTTAGTGTCATAAAATATATAAATTCAATAATAAGCTTATAAACCTACAAAGTTTCATAAAAATTAGTTCAATATAAATTTCTCAGAGATATTTTCGCGCAGTAAAAAGTAGGTATCCTATATGTTGACCCAGATAACCAGCTGTCATCATACCTTCATCAAAATCTGTCCAGTTTGATTCTGTTATTTCTGAAATAGGAAACCTTACAAAACCACTCACCAGTCAAGAACGGTGCCCTCTCAGCGTCCAGCTTGACGAATCTGGTCTCCACGTGCTTCTTGGCCAGCAGCTTGAGGTGCATGTCCACGATGCGGCAGCGCGGCGCGTCGTTGCGGTAGAAGTGGCATACCACGTTGTCACTCTTGTTGCAGATTGTGAAGAACTCCTTCTCTCCATCTATCTCTGTGTACTCACCGTGGCCCTGGAATGGAGGGTGAGAAGTTTGTTTGTTTGTATATTTGATTTAGGTACATTTCTATACTAATATTTAAACTTGAAGAGCTAGTATTTTTAAAAGTGCTATTGCTGGATCTACTTATCTGATGTGAAAAAATCTTTATGCGTGAAACGCATACAGCATATTTGTTGTGGAAGTTTATAGACTAGAACACTACTACCTTCTACAAAATTAAACGACGCGGATGAAGCCGCGAGAAAAGTCTATCACATCTGTCACTTGTTTAATGGTAAAGTAAACAGTATTAGATCTTGCTGACAAACAAACAAACTCTTTATTTATATACTAGCGGCTCACCCTCGCTTCGCTCGGGTTCACCTCTAGAAAAACACAAACAGATCTATCCCACGGGAACCATTCATTTTTCCGGGATGAAAAGTAACCTGTTGTTTGACCGGCAATATAAGGTATCAGCATGCCAAATTTTACTAAATTAGGTGAATAAGTTGTTGTGTACTAAGCTGTATAAGTTACTATAGTTTTTTAACTATCCCACGAAAACTCTTTAATTTTTCGGGATGAAAAGTAGCTGATTTGTTTTTGTCATGTATGAGCTACATTATTGTAAAGTTTCATTAAAATCCAATCAGTAGTTTTTGTGTACTAAGCTGTATAAATTGTTATAGTTTTTTAACTATACCACGGGAACTCTTTAATTTTCCGGGATGAAAAGTATCTAAGATGTTGCACGGGAATATAAGGTACCACCATGCAAAATTTCATTTAAATCGGTCCAATAGAATCGGAGATTAGCCTGTACAAACAGAAAAACAGACAAACAGCTCGCTCGGGTTCGTCCATACCTACGAATATGTTGTATTATCTCTTTAACCATTTGTCCAAATTATATGCAGTAAAAGGGAAAAGTCTTTTGTTTTAAATATTTTAGACGATAAATTTACTTATTTTGATAAGAATTCATAATTGTTGATAATATGACCAATAAACATGACCTACCGATTTAATTTATTTTTGTAATATAAAAAACTACTCTTTGTGATTTAAATATAAAAGTTAGACATATGCTATCCCGGACTTTTTTGTAGGCATTATTAAGCTCTACAACTTTTCTCTAGAACATAATCATATATCTCTGATCGTTAAGGCAGCGTTCGTAAGAAACGTTTGCGTTCGACCGTTTTTTCTCCGACTTACTTTGCAAATCCGACTACCACGAAAAAGCCTTTTCATTTTTCGGGTTAATATATAGCCTATGACACTCAGAAAGAACGTGGCTTTCTATTGGTAAAAGAATTTTGTAAATCGGTTCCATAGATCCAGAGATTACCCCCTACAACGTCACAAACTCACAAACCCACAAACTCACAAACTCACAAGATCACAAACTTTACCTCTTTATAATATTAGTATAGATTAGGATAAAATTAATGTATGCACACAAACTACTTACTCATTATCTAAAATCTCGCTATATTTTTGAGATAAGAAAATATTACATTAAAACTATTTATTTAACCTAATTTACTGAATAAATTAATCTACATCTTGTCCGACTTCAAAAACAGAAGAGGTATGTAATTTTCTTTTAAAAATAAATAAATTTTAAAAGTAACAAATTCACAAAGACTAAAACCAATGAAGGCCACTCACTGCCGCGAGCCACTCCTGCTTCTGCTTGGCGCGCAGCTTCATCTCGGCGATGCGCTGCTGCCTGATGGTCTCCAAGTCGCTGTTGTCCAACGCATCCAGCCTGCAATGTGGGGTTACATTTACATGTAATACCACTAATGTAATAAACTAGCAATTTACACTCGCTCCATAGAAAGGTGAATAAATATAATGTAGAAGAAATTATAAACTTAGGTAACCAAAAAACGGGAATCGTACATTTTTCCGGGATGATATAATATAGCCTTCTTCAATAAACAGGCTATCTAATGCAAAAAGAATTTTTCAAATCGGATTAGTAGTTCCTGAGATTAGCGCGTCAAACAAACAAACTCTGCCTCTTTATACTATTTGTATAGATATAAACAACGTAGGTAGTGGTAGCCTTGTGGTGACGCGCTCACTTGGGAAACTGAGTGAAACGGGTTTAAATCCCAGGTCTTGCATATTTGCGACATTACTACTAGTCTTATGGGGAAGGAAAACATTGTGAGGAAATGTGAGAACCTAGCAAGTTTCAAAAGACATGTAAAGTCTGCCAACCCAGACTTGGCCAGTATGGTGGACTATGGCCTGATCACCATCGTATTGAAGGGAGGCCTGTGCCCAGCAGTGGGACGTTAAAAAGGGCTGAAGACACATGTGTAAAAGTTTAATTGAATAGTTTACCAATTATATTATTTTTCTATTATCACTATTGCTATATGTAACTGAATAAAGAATAACAAATAATGGATATATTTTTAAAGATGTACTATATGTTTGTACTATTTAAACATGAAATTTACCTCTCTATTTCAGCATCCAGCTGTTTCTCCATGGTCTGTGCAACATGGTGAAGTACTTGGTCCATTTTGTGCTGTTACCTGAAATAAAAAAATATTACAGAAATAGTTAATAGATCAAATTATAGCAATAAGTATGTATTCAGAGTTTCAGAAAATAATTAAGTATTACAACAAAAACAAGCTTATTTACCTTAGCTTTACAAATATTGGATCCAAACATTAAAATATGAGTAAATTGCTATATGTTTATAATAAGAAAATATTTAAAATACAAAGTATTCAAATTTTTAAGACCGTGGGCGGCACTATCATTACGCACCTTAAAAGGAAAATAGTCGCAACGGCGCAGTAAATACTATAACGATCTAAATTAAAAGTAATAAATGTATTGTATTTATATCCATAACACGAAGACAACAAATGTCCAGTTATAGATTTCAAAAAATGTCGCATTTTATTGCCTTTTAGGTAAAAAATGTATAAAAATAAATTCAGGGCTAAGTCGATGACCTCATTGCCGCACAGATGCAATACAAATCGTATAAAATAGCAGTACTTACTGTTTTTTCAAGTTTTAAGCTGAATTATCAACTTTTAAATGCTACAAATAGTATATAATTACTATCTTTTAGTTTTTATTTTAATTATATTTTAAATTTCACAAAATATTTTCTAAAACAAAACTGTTTACTAGTAATGTCATAAAAGTTATGACAGTCTGGACAGATTCATAATTCATTGACATTTGACAGCACTCAGCAGTGAGTGCTGCCAGTAAGAAAAATATTAATCTGACCAACTTCCAAAAAAGAAGATATTATAGAATTTAAGTATACCTCTAAATATAATAAAATTGTAACTAAGCCTTAGATTTTCCAAAAAATATTTAACGTGCACATTCGACTGTTACAATTTTATTATATGTATAGACTAGCGACTTATCCTCGCTTTATTATAGCAAAATCTCAATATCTTCCTCAATAAATAAGCTATCATGCGTATATAGTATCATTTCTATATAGTTTGAGGGGCTATCTAATACAAAAGATTTTTTTAAATCAGACTAGTAGTTCTTGAGATTAGCGCGTTCAAACAAACGAACAAACAAACTTTGCCTCTTTATTATATTACTAGCAACTCACCCTCGCTTCGTTTGGGTTCGTCCCTAGGGTATGTATACAGCTTCCCTATTTGAATCGGATATTAATAAATTTTTCATTGGTTTTAATTTTTTTTCGTGGGATCCTACTATTTTTCTAAAATAAAATTGCCCTAAGTTTCTCCTTATTACATCAGCTATCTGCCAGTGAAATAACCTTCAAAATCCATCCAGCCATTCCAGAGATTAGCCGGAACAGACAGACAGACAAAAGTTGTATAAAAAGTTGTTTTGGTATATGTACCGTGTGCATATGCATTTAGTAAAAAGCTGTTATTTTGACATTACAAACAGACACTTTAATTTTATTTATCTGTTCCTATAGATATAGTTATATTTTTAGTGAGATTGACGAAAAAAAAATAATTTAATGGCAGTTTATTTTATATTATAGAAAGTTCAAATCAACAATTATTTTAACCAATAAGTAAGTCAAAATAAATCAACGTAAAACGGAAATGTAATGATAAAATTAAAAATTCTAATCGTGAACATGGTCAAATATCATGAAAATAAAAAAGTTCATCATCATCTATCTTCCTTCCCACTTCCCAAATTACTTGGGGTCGGTGCAGGACTACCATACTAATAAAATAAAAAAGTTGAAATTCAAAATTATTTCACCTTCTTTATTATGTCATTTTGCATATAATCTGAAATATATTCCACACAATGTAAATTTTGACTTACTCTGTGGTTAAAATTGACAAAATAGTATCACAATAATAATAACAATATTTACAAAAACAATAGCAACACAATCAAAATCAGACATCCCTAACTATATTATTGCTACACAATCACCAAGTCTCTGTCTGTATGTTCCATCATATTGAAACTATTAGGTAAGCGAAAAGTTGAGTCTTTTGAATTTATTTCCTGGTCAAATACTGATTTTATTATTACAAATTTTGATTAAATAGTTATTAAATCAAAATACCTACATAAAATAACAGAGCACCAGGGCATAGTATTCAAAATGTCTTTAAAAATGCTGCACACGAAACATAAATTAATAAGTTCTTTGTCAGGAATTTGTAGGCACAGCCTTGTACAGCCTAAGTCTAGATTCAGAGAGAGCCGCTAATATTGTATCTCCTGTTCTTTGCGCACAACACACATCCAACGCTGGCTCGGCAGCGGGCAGGGATATCGTCCTCCCACCATCCAGGCCATGAAGGTACAAGGAGGATTCACTCTCTGAATGAGAAGCAATCCAGGAGGCTCCTACTGTCTTTACCCATGTACTCCGAGACATGAGAGTAGACCGAGCTGAACCAGGGAATGTCTGTTCTATATCAAATAAAGTTTCTCCGCTTGACACATTGCTTTTCAGTTTGCATAACGTCAAACGAGATCTTTCATTGCTGCTGCCTCTAGAAGATAACAGAGCTCTATGAGACTCATTGTCATAGCATAAGGACATAAAAGGCCCATCAACAGGTAACGCTCTAGGCTCCCACTGCCGATTGTTACCCACCCAAAGCCAGCAAGAATTTAACTGGCAAGACAGTAACCCATATTCTGTCGAACAGAGTGAAACTACTGGTGACATATCTCCCGGAGCATTTAATCTTTGAATATATGAGCTAGAATTTCTTACATCATATTGATGAATCACACCGCCCACACCGCCTACATAGAATTCATTACTTCGTAAATAGTCCCAAGAACACGACCAAAGAGGTACACCACATTGTATAGGGGTATTGGGTATTCCCCTTTCAACAATTCGAGCGGTACTGTCAAGTCCTACACTCAACAACAAGTCTCGGGGTTGAGAATATGTTATATCACGAATCGGTTTCGAATGCAAAAGCACAAACTGGCCTAATTTATAATCGATGGAGCTAACTTTCCTAATACCGAAACCATGGAATAAATTATTTGTACTCTTTTGGGAAACATAAAATTCGTAAGTTCGACAATTGTACGTTAAAACTCTACAGCCGCCATCTTTGCTAATTTCTAAATTTTTTTCTAAAGCAAAACGCCACAAACGTTTCGGTTGTTGGTCCTTCGAAACCTGATTTTTCATTAATGTATTTCTTAGCACTTCCAACTGTAGGACACAAGTTCGATGCGCTATCCTTGAATTTTGGAGCTCTAATTCTGTTCGAGTTTTTTCTGCTTGTAATATATCTATCTGTTTTTGTAAAGCTGTTAATTGGGAAGTATCCGCTGCAACAAGTTTTCTAGCATAAATGAACCTAATATCTTTTAAATTAGCTTTACTCTTGCATGTTGGACATGATCGATCTTTGCTAGTTTGTGCTTTCAACCATCTCTCGACACAATGAGCGCCGAATAAATGACCACACTTTAGAGAAACCAGTCTATGTTCTCCAGAATTCCCCCATGAGTCCAAGCAAATGGGGCAAGTTTCTCCATCACCTTCATCCGCAACTCGTTTTGGAGAACTAAGCTTTCGTACTTTGGCTGGAGGTTCTTCATGTTCTTTTCTAATATCAGCAAAAGAAGCTGCACTATTTGACTCTTCATGTATAGGAACAGACTCAGATTGCATTGACTGAGATTGGTTAGAATCATCATCATATATCACAGGTGTCCAGGGTTGAATATTCAAGCTTTGTACAGTATTTCTTAGAAAAGTTCCTGGATTACTGATTTCTCCATCTGATTGTGATGAATGTGGTTGTACAATATTGCTATTATCCATAGCAAGATTTGGCCTCCATATTTCTACTGCAATAGGAATACTAGAACTTATGTTATTTGTGTTTTGATCTTCATTTGCATCATCTACAAGATTATTAGGCCGATTCTCATTTCTAGACCATGATGGTAGTATTGGAGACAGCAGAAGGCTGGGACTGTCAGGTGATTCAGGCGCTAGTATACTAGGGCTGTTGTTGAGGGAGTCTTCATCCATCATATAACATTAAGCACCTTTAACAAAAAGAAAACAATAAGTCCAAGATAACAGGAATAATCACAATGAATTTTATAACTAAATTTAATTACCTAATTCCTTTTAATCTATGTATAATTACTTTAAATTAAGTGATAATAAAATTGATAAGCATCAATATAGGTCACAAGCTTTTGATATTCATTTTATACTTATGTTACAATATCAATTTGATGTCAATGCTTGAATGTTTATTTATAAAAATTGATGGAAAAAGTTATCTTCAAATCTATATACCTTTGATAATAAAAAGTATATACCTAATCCGATTTAAACAGTACTTTTAGCATGGACCTAAAATTAAATTCTTGCATCTAGTATGCAATATTACTATGTGTGATAATCTTGCTCTGTGCAGTACTAAAATTGACAACCTCTGGCATACACAAAGACATAAGACACATACACATACCCACACCGACTCCGCTAGACTGTGATCTTAACTTTAGTCCTGTAAAGTCACCGCTAATATGTACTTTTAATTTAAAAAAACTTAAATAACCAATGTGTCCATACAAAGTATAACTGTTGTAATGAAAAATATTTAAATATGAAATAAAAGGAAAAGAAACAACTAGTTATTTTGTTTCAGGTCTTTCATTAAACAAGTTTAAAACAATAATAAAAACTTGTGCACTTACGATTTTGAGAAATTATCATTTGTTTGAATAACGTTTGTTGTTCGAAGAAAATTTCTAAATCTTGTAAAACAAAACGAATAATATTATATTTAAAAGTATATATTCGCAAAAATAACAATAGGACGAGCGAAGAAATTTCACAACGTAATATATTTACAAAGATTTTATAAAATTCGCAAATAAACCGACATTTATAAGTCAATAAACTCCAAAATTAAAAATAAATTAATTTTAGTTAGGTACTCTGTATTTTTTATGTCAAAAATAAGTTCGAATACGTTGTCATGAATAAAAAGTTAAACAGAGCTAAATGTAATGAAATATATATTTTATTTCCCTTTTTATACTAATATTACCAGCTCATTTTAATAATTTACTATTAAAATATAAAAAAAGCTTCTATACTAATAACCAAGCTATAAAAGTTAAGAAAATATTAGCGCATTTTAAATATTTAAGAAAACAATATAAAACCAGATAATTAAATTACATATTGTTCCTTAGTGTCGCTAAAGTAAATAATTGTTTGTTTGTAGCTCAGATATAATATCGATTATCCGAGTTTGACATCCTATGTTGGTAGGACTCATATTTATTTATTTCACCCTGAAGTTGGCAGTACAGTCAGAATCGCGAACGGGATGGTATAACGGGTTGTACTCGTTACTGTTTTTTATTACAATTTATCAACCCGACGAGCTTTTATTCGTGACTTATTTGTGTTAATAATAAAACAAGTATAGTAATTAGTGTTTTTAAGTATTTGTGAACTGTGATTATGTACAGCGATTAGATAAATCGCTTTACAAGATAAGTGAATGTTTTTAATGGCGGCGGAGTGTCAGTGCACATAATACAAAATGTTTGTTTAATATGACAAACTAATTGGATTATTGTGGTGTGATGCCAGTAATTGCAGGTGAATAATATTTTATATATTACTTAACTATATACGCCTGAACCTCATTCTTATTCGGGCTACGTTTAAGATTTCATTGTCGCACTTTCGTGTTAACATGTTTCCTAACATATCTTTACATATCATTGGTCAATCACTTGGTCGTGTCCGAGGCAAGCCCTGTTGACATTTTAGTATCGTATAGTTACAAAATAGTGTCGCAAGATTATCTGGGTCAAAGCGGTCGATGCGCGCGCCGTGACGTCAGACCTACCCTGCCGCACCCCCTAAGCCTGAATGTTGGCCTCGTACACAAATATATCTACAAATATAGAGTGGAATGCACAAAACACACCCTTATGCGTTGGCGTTGGCCTTTGGTACAAATATGCAAGATTCACTTTCATACTAAGTTATAGCCATAGTCCAGGCTCTAAGTAGGGCACCTGCTTGCGAAATGTATTTTGAACTGTACACACCAGGTCAGTATTTAATGTACATTTTTAATTAGATGACACAATTTTCTAATGGGTTTTTATTCTAGTTTTAATGGAAGTTCATATATTTTTAATGAAATGAAATAAGTGAAGTTTCATGAAGATTTAATGATGAAAATTTACAGGTAAATATTAAAATAAAACAAGGTAAATAGTTTTACAGATTAGATTCTTTAATAAGTGTAGACACATTTGAAGTTTTTTTAATAGAAAATGTGTTTAAAAATGTCCAAACATAGTTATTTTTAACCCCCCACCCAAAAACGATGGGGTGTTATACGTTTGACGTGTCTGTGTGTGGCATTATAGCTCCCGAACTGATGAACCGATTTTGATTTTTTTTTGTTTGAAAAGTGAATTAGTCGGCAGTGTTCTTAGCTATGTTTGATGAAAATCGGTCCAAGATGGTCAAGTTTCTTTTTAAATTTATTTAATTCTTTTTGTAAGTAATGTAAAGTCACAGTGTAACAAATAAGTTAAAATTTAGTAAAACTTTTTATGTAACTATGAGTTTAAACACATTAGTAGTAGTCCTAAGACATTTTTTAAAATATTTTTAATTATTTAAATTAATAATATTCTTAATTAATGCAAGTTGATAACCTAGAGTAGTAGAAGAAGAATATTCAGATTTTTTCTTATCAGCAAAATAAAGTGTAGATACTAGATTATATCAATAAAATGTGTTGCTCATACAAACAATGTTTTATCTAAGTTTTTGAGGTTAATCCCCTTTTATATCACTGTGAAGCTGTAGAGATAACAGTGTTTTTTATATTTACTGTTTGAATTTAAGATTTCTTCCATTAGAATTGTTTTAAAAAGCCCCAGAGTAAGAAAAAATATACACAGAGTCATAGAACTAAACATGAAGCCAAACAATAATGTTTTAAAATAATATATAAACAACAATATGTTTACTAAATGATAAGTAAATTAATGTTAATAAACAAAAATAGCTGACAGATTTTATTATAATAAAGAAAAAATCAATAAAGTAATTAGGATGAACTAATCCTTAAAGAATTTGAAAGATAAATAAATATCTTGGGACATTAACACAGAGCACCACCTAGTTCTATCATAAGCTACAAGGCCTGTGTTATGGATACCAGATAGTTGATACAATACACATACTCGATACAACTTTGAATACATACATATTATAAATATAAACACTCATCACACAAATGAATGTGCCCAGCTGTACTCAAACTCGTGTCCGCTAGCACAGTAAGTAGGGTCACTACAAACTGAGCCAAATGTGTTGTTACATTAATTATTTATGTTTCTATGACATTTTGATCGTATTTTGCCCTTTTTTAACATCCCACCGGTCCCCCTACAAGGGCATCAGGCCATAGTCCACCACTCTGGCCTTCATATGTCTATCGAAGACATACTAGGTTCTCTTAAACATGCAGGTTTCCTCACGATGTTTTCCTTCATCGTAAGGCAAGTGGTGATCATGTTGAAAATTATTCTGATATGAGAATAAATTAGAGGTACAAGTAAATTTTCAATAAATTACGTTCTCTTGTATCAGAGTCTGTTATGCTGGTTCCACATGTTTGCAAAGCGATGACAAGCCATCAATAATTCAATTTCAAATATATGGAGAGCGGTATGCTCTTGCAATGTATTCCAAAAAATACTACCTCGTACAGGGTTCATGATTTTTTAACATCCACCTTTTTTTTTACCGACTTCCAAAAAGGAGGAATTTCCAGCCGACTGACAATATTTTAAGATATGAATACCTAATGGTACCTAAATATGATTAGGTATGAACTCTAATTATAGTTAAAATATTGTACATCAATTTGTGATGTACTTTACGTATCGAAATGTATTAGATTTTGCGGGCACCGACTTCGAAAATATCTGATTAGGTATCTATTCTAAGTGAAAACTCCCGTTTAGTTATATTTTACATTTTAGTGCCTGGAAGTCGGTTTTTTTTTAAGTTTTTATAGAATTTTCCATTTCCTTTCATTTAAACAAAATGTTTCACGTTTCACTCTGTTTCTTTTTAAAATATAAATACGATTAACCAAATGTATAAATACCCCATACAAGTTCGACGTCCATCGCGCTTGCTTCTTATTCGAGGCTCAAACGGACTCGCAAGCGATTTTTGTCTCTTCAAATATCGACGAGCGTTTCGATCGAAAGGTAGTCAGACAAGAGAGAGGTGGAGAGAAGTAGAGAGTTGAATTCTGTAACTAATGGCAAGTGTATGTGTCTAGCATTAGGTAATCCTACGAATTTTAGGATGTGCTCTGGTGTGAGCATACTGAGGCGAGACGAGGTGATCATGATGATATGAGGCGCGTTAGTTAACCTTATCAATCGACAGAACCGGTTCCGCCCGAATTTTTACTCTTGCAATTTTTTTTCTATTTATTTTTATTTATTGTCGCTTTCCGCTTTTCGTCCATGACAAGAAAACTTGTGTGAGATTACAACATTTACGGTTTTATTTCCAGTTTTAAACAAGCTTTAAAAATAATTGTTTTTGGTTTAAACTGCGAACACTCTTTTTTTACTCCTTTAGGGTCTGAATTTCCATAAGTGTTTTTTTTAGCGGATATCTACTAAGTATTAGTCAACAACATAAGATTTTCCTATCGTCGACCCTATGGACTTTAATATAAGACGCTTTATCTTTTACAGCCATTTTGGAGTGTATAGGGGACATATATATACATACACACATCGATTTTTATACATATTTTTCAGTATAAAATATTAAATGTAAGATCGTATATTCCAGACGTGAGGCGGCGTGGGGTCGTCGCTCGATCGCCGCGGTGATGCCGCGCCGATGACCCGCCTGCTCTGCTGCCTGCGCGCGCGCGCCGACATGGGCGCCGCGATATCGCACCCCCAGGTGAAAACCCACCCACATTTTTGATTATAGGAAATGGATTTACGTACACCACCTGTAATATAGGTGGCTAGAAAAGCCAGCCAGGTGATAAACTCTGTCAAATTCCATAACGGTGGGAAATGCATTTACGCATACCACCTGCATACACCTGGTTATGTGGGTTTCATCGTCCAGAAAAGCCATGGTCATGGACTATTACTGAGAATTTCTTAACAGAAAAACGTAGTAACTATACTTGGCCTGACCCTTGACTCGAACCCACAACCTTTGGATCTCATGTTAGTCTCTAGAATATATGATAGTTGATGTTATAAGGCTTAATTAATTATTTAATTAAGGCCTAAGACTAATTTTATTTTAGAATAAGAATTAGGGATCCGCGCCAAAAATATAAATAAATTGTGGACAAAACCGCAAAGTCACTAGTATAAAAAAAATTTACATAGTTTTTAATCTGTGATGTATCGTTTGCAGGAGGGCGAGGCGTGCGACGGGGGAGTGCCCGCCTCGCCTCCCACCATGGCGGATGTCATAAGGTATCGTATGAGTTGCAGTTGAATGCGATAACTACAGAAGTAATGTGGTAGTAATTAAGATAAAAGTTCAACTAGATGCTAGTATTTGGAGAGTTGTATTATGCTTATTTAATATTATAAATGTGAAAGTTTCTTTGTTTGTTTGTCCTTCTTTCACGTCGAAGCAGAGTGACGGATGGGTGTGATTTTTTGTGTGGAGATAGATCTCCGGCTAGAGAGTGATATAGGCTACTTTTTACAGCGAGAGATTGTCTCATTCCCACGGGAATACACAGTATAATACAACCCAAAAAAATATAATCAGAATAACTTGAATCTTGGTGTTAATGCTCTTCAATACAATTAAATAATTAATACGTGTTTTAGTATTTTTCAATAGTAATAGTAAAATATGGGATGGAAGTGTGAGACCTAACTTTTTAGAGTTTTCTCATAGTTTTAGCGCAAGCGAACCCGCGGGTTCTGCTAATATTTTTAGTAGATAATAAAATAAATAATAAATAGTAAATAATTTGATTATATGAAGAAGATAATTATTATTAGTTATGATCTATTTTATAGCACATTCAAAATGTAATTCATTTTTATTCGTAATACTTTAACAGATTATCTTAGTATTTACTTAATAAAAAAAAAACTCCCAAATGTAAAAGTTTGAATAAATACCCATTGTCCTAATTAGTTACCATTCGATAATTTTCGTACAGAAACAAATTTAAACTCATAAAATTTCAAATAGATAGCATTCATTTTTAAATATGACTTTCTATTGAGCTCTTCTCAACGGAACCGCTTCCTGAGCCGGAGGAAGCTTCCTCACGGACTGACTACACTGATGCTTTAAATTGACGATTCAAATGTGCTGGTAATAAGTCTATTTGAATAAAGTTTCATTTCATTATGGCTTCGATATTTCTGACTAATGCTAAATATAATATTTAAGACAAATCCAATTCGTGCGTGTTCAGGGAACGCAAGAAGAAGGCAGGCGGTGCGGGTCTGGGCACGCTGCGCAGGCGCATCGCCGCTGCCGCGCGCCGCCCCAGGGACGCCAGGCCTGACAGAGGTATTACACATACACACACACATACATATACATCAAATACAAAATAAAAAAAATGAATTGCCCACACACATATACAGATACATACAAATATGTATATACATAGTTACAAATATCTAATGCCAATCGAGCTGGTCTGATGATGTAGCCAGAAGGTGCATTGTGGAACTCTTCAGCGGCTACCAATTTGAACATTGATGTATCCGGCAGAGTGCAGTACTTTCTTACATTTATATGAATAATTGAATTAAATAAAACACACTTAATGTTAGTGACTATGTTGTTAAATTTAAAACCATTCCCAAGAACAAAAAGTCAAAATATATGGGTGGAAAAAATTTGAAAAGAGTTATATGTATTAAAATATTCAGGAAAATTTGATTGTGTATAGTATAATAATAGTACAAAATGTCAGCTAATCGCTAACACGTCGTGGATGCAGGATGCGAGCACGCGCGCTTCATCCGGTCGGTGGTGAGCTCGTGGCGCGTGGCGGAGGTGTTCCAGCTGAGCGAGGAGCTGGAGGCGGGCGCGGCGCTGCGCGACCTGGTCACGCAGGCCGAGCTGGCGCGCGAGCCCGCGCCCGCCCTGCACCAGGACCTCGCCAGGATGTACCGCGAGAGGTGAGCGGCCAAGAGAGAAAATCATTAATCACATTAAATAGTTTGGTTATATTTTTGGTGCAAGAAATATTTTTATGGGTCAAGTATTTTTTTCATTCATGATTTGTTCTTTCAAGACAAACAGAAAAGTTTTCTCACCACAACACAATCAGTTTATTTGTTATCAAAATAGGGATTCGTTAAAAAATTTATGATCAATTAGGGTTTGGTGTGATGTGATTTGCCGGGAGCGGTGAGACACTGCTACTCTAAGGACCGACCCACACTTCAGTGTCGATCTCGGTCGATACCGGTCTGGTAGAGAATTTTTATTTGTCTTTCTCACCGTAATACAAGTGGTAATCGTGTTGAAAATATCAGAGGTGCAAGCAAGGTTCGGAAGCGGTTTAAAAAAAACCGCTAATATCGGTAATGCAATGAATTAATTCATCGCTCGTATTAAATTAATTCATCCCTCGTTCATTAACCGGTTTATAAAAACGAACGGTTTAGTTAACCGAAATAATAATGGTTAATGGTTATTCTTAGAGAAAGGTTAGACCGGTACCGGTAGTACCGGTTTACAAAAACCGGTTAATTCTTTCATAACAAAGTAATTCGCACTAAATGTAAAGGTACAAAAACTCATTTTAACCGGTTCATTTCCATTGTGGGACCTAAATTCGTCAAAAACCGTTTTCCGGCTTTTAATCGGTTTCGAAAATGAAAGCCTTTAAAATTTTATTTTTTGTCCTCGATTACGTTTCTAAACCATTGATCCGATTGTGATGAAACTTTGGTGTATTAATTAGGTTATAGGTAGATTATTCTATATACTATTACCATTCAAGCTCCGGGACGCACGGGAGCAGAGCGTGGGTGAGTCGCTAGTTTATTATAACCCAGTTCCTCTCGTGCAGGTGGTGGTGCGACGTGGAGCTGGTGGGCGCGGGCTGGTCGCTGGCGGCGCACCGCGTCATCCTCTCCGCGCGCTGCACATACTTCCGGGACCTGCTGCAGCGATACCCCACGTGAGCGCTGACACACGCACACACATAAATACACACAGACACATACATAAACATACACACACATACATAGACACATGAAGGGTTGAGGATTTACCAGCGATAGGACAATGTAACACTTTGTTAAGTTTATTTGATTTGCCCTATCAATCAAAAAACTACTAGATACACAATCCCATGCAAAAGTTCTCTTAAAACTGTCACCAATTTTGTTTAGGCAATTGTTCTAGTTGAAATAAATATACAACAATGAAAATAAATCCTATACTTAAAGGTGTTTTCACGAAAAAATAAATAAAAATAAAAGCGCGCTCAAATGTTCAAATGGGCGCTCATTCAGTGAGGACATTTTTTGTTCTTGATTGTGTATCTAGTAAATTTTTTGATCGATGGTTTTTTTATACATCCTTTTTAAATTGAACTTCTTTTTCAACATGGTGGAACACACTCGATCCCTCTCACTAATGCCATCATCGACCGCTGGCACAGCAAGTAGTATCACTACAAACTAAGCCTAGCGTGTCGTCCCATATTCAGTGTCAACCCATGTATCTGCTAAGTATGTATGTATGTGTCAGGTCGTGCCGCGTGCCGCTGGAGGGCGTGGGCGGCGCGCTGAGCCGCGACGAGGCGGAGGCCTGCGTGTTCGCGCTCTACGCCGGCACCTCCGCGCTCAACGCGCGCTGCGACCGCTGCTCAGGTCCGTCACCACGTGCCACACTATCACTACATGTTCACTATCACTACATATTATAAAGTCCCCCACTGCTCTCATTTAGTTTTGTTTGTCCGGGTCAACATATAAGATACTTTTTACTGCAGGGAAATACTCATCAGAAATCTATATTAACCGTTAAAACGTATCTGAGGACGCACCCGAGCGGAACGAGGGTGAGTCGTTAGTGTATTCCCAAAGAAATAATAAAATAAACTGTTGTTTCGACGTTTCAGAATGGGAGAGAGGGATGAACTCGGACGCAGAGCTGGACATCATCAGTGTGGAGAACTCGACACGTGAGTCCTTTTGTGTTTATGGAGTAATACCGTCCTCCCGTCCATTGGCGGCCACGACAGCCAATCTCACTGACACTAGCTAGCGCAGGAGATATTATAGTGCAGCAAGTGTGAGGGAGACAGTACACACAATGTACACTATTCCTGTCACTCTAACACACACGACACGACCAGTGAGAGCTAACAGGCAAACTCTGGTAACTTCCCAACTCCGGGCGATTACTGGGACTTCCTTAACAGAAAAGCTCTACAACTACACTTAGCCCGATCCGGGACTCGAACTCAGGACCTACGTATGATGTGACACTACACCACTGAAGTAGTTTATGGAGTATACAGTGTATGGTAAGTTGGTGGGATTCCAGATAACTTAAGAAAACACCAGTTTGATAGGCAAATCGTCCATTTTAGTGTTACACTTTATTGTGTATGTAAATAAAAGCGCTTTTTGTCAGACTGTTTGTAAAAGGTAGTTACTGGTGTTATCACATTGAGAAATTAAATATGTAAAGAAAACCACTCAATATGCGAGTGCTTAACATATATTATTCTTTATTGCATTTATATGTAAATACAGAGTTTAACAAATAATAAAATTAGTTAGCAAATGTGGATAAAGTTATATAAAGAAAAGTAAAACAGAAAACTGTTTTTATTAAAGAATTCTACTTTTTATATTTTTTTAAAGAAGGCTACTTCATAGTATTAGAATTATTGTCATTTATTGTTTATATATAAAACAATAATATTAATAATTTTGATTCTGTTGAGTTTTCTTCGTCAGTTCTTCTTAGGTCTGAGGTTTCTTCTTTCCAAAATGATGTTAGGGGGAGATGTAAAGAAATAAGATCTCTTTAATATGTTACTATTCTAAATTCTTTATATTAAATTTGAATTGAGGCGCTGTCAGACGGATGAGTGTCATAGTGTAAAACATTTTTAAATGTGAAATTGTAAAAAATTAATAATTTGTAAAAAGGATTTGACAAAACCTGGCAATAACTTTTAATGTCGTTTCTTTGTATTTTAGGTAAGATAGTAATTTATGTTTCAAAACTTATTTATAGTGTATAATAGGTTGTTTCTTGTTGTAAACTTACGCTTACAATAAACTTTGTATTTTAGAGCAACACATAAGTTTAATTTTTGCCGGTTCTTAAAAATCCCGACTTATAGTCTTATATATATATATATATATATATATATATATATATATATATATATATATATATATATATATATATATATATATATATATATATAATATGTTGTTATTATATTTAAGTGGGTTAAATAAATGAACACATGCAAATTAATTAATTGCAGTTTATATTCCATTCGACCACAGATTATACCCTACTGCCTGACATAGAAAAATATAGACAATAATTCCTCATGAGTAACAAATGAAGATTACAACATTATGTGTGTGTGCAGAGCGTCGCTGCGCGTGCGGGGGCGGCGGGGGCGGCGGGGCGGCGGGGGAGGCGCGCGCGCGGCGCGCGGGCGAGCTGCTGGGCGCGAGCGGCGCGGGGCTGGCGCGCGACCTGCGCCGCCTGCTGGAGCGCGGCGAGCTGGCGGACGCGCGCCTGGCGTGGCCCGCGCCGCCGCACGGCTTCCGCGCCGACCTGCCCTGCCACCGCCTGCTGCTCGCCGCGCGCTCGCGCTTCTTCAGGTGTGACGTCGATCAAACGAAAGGCGGCGAGAGAATGAGATAGAATACATTACCATGTTGCCATGGGAACCGTTGTTATTGTCTGACAAATATATCACTACATATTTATAAAACAAAATGCTCCGCCGCGTCTATCTGTCTGTCTGTTTACAATGAACTCAAAAATTACTGCACCGATTTTCATGCTGTTTTCACCAATGGATAGAGTGGTTCTCGAGGAAGGTTTTAGTATATAATTTGTTGAGTTTTTGTATACATAGGCTAAAATATAACGATATTTGTTGGAGGTGTCGGAAAAAAATAAGTCGTCTGGGAGCTTTCAATGAAAACGCTGCCTAAACCCTTTGAGATATAACAAAATAATTGGTGGATTTATGTATCTTATATAGGTCTATAGAAAAGTCCGCAATGGCATATGTCTATCTCTTAAGAATAACATACTATATTCATTTTAATTTAAAACGTACCTAGGGACGAACCCGAGCGAAGCGAGGGTGAGTCGCTAGTAATATTATATTCTTTCCATATACCTATACATATAATAAAATTCCAATCGAGTCAAATCTGTACATTAAATATTTTTCGGAAAATCTTACTTAGTCATTATTATCCATACAGAGACCGAATCTATAGTTCTTAGAATTTTTGTCTGTCTGTCTGTCTGTTTTTTTTTTTTTTTTTTTTATAGAAAAAAGGGGCAAACGAGCAAACGATCCACCTGATGGTAAGTGGCTATCGTCGCTCATGGACATCTGCAACACAAGAGGAGTTGCGAATGCGTTGCCGGCCTTTAAGGGACCTATAGACATTACTCTTGAAGAGCCCCATATTATAGCGCTCAGGGAATACCTCGGGAGGAAGATCATTCCACATTTTGCACGTGCGGGGTAAAAAAGATCGAGACGCACGTACATTTGTAGAATGCCAAGCATCTAAAATGTGTGGATGACATCCTACCCGACGGCGAAGGGTGCGATGATAGAAGCGCGACGGTGGCACCATGTCAAAAAGTTCATCAGAACACTCTCCATTGTATAGACGATAGAAGACACACAGAGAGCCAACATCTCTCCGAAGGCTTAGAGTGTCTAAATCGTCTGTGAGTACGGGATCGTTGATAATACGAACTGCCCGGCGTTGGATAGAGTCAAATGGAAGAAGCTGGTATTGGGGGGCGCCGGCCCAGAGATGAGAACAGTACTCCATGAGAGGGCGAACCTGTGCTTTATAAAGCAAAAGTCGATGCCCTGACGTGAAATACTGTTTCGCTCTGTTAAGGACACCCATTTTTTTGGAAGCCAATTTGGCTTTTTCTTCCAGATGACATCTAAATTGGACGTCGCTCGATATTTCAACCCCTAGGATCCCGATACTCTTACAGATGTTAAGAGAAGTGTTCTGGAACTTTGGCGCTATAGTGAATGGGGTTTTTTTCGTGGAGAACGCACAAACTTGTGTCTTTGAGGGGTTAAACTGGACGAGATTTCGTCGGCCCCAATCGGAGATCTGCTCTAGGGAAGTCTCGATTTCAGACACAAGTTGGACTCTGTTCTCCTCAACCTTAGCCCGAGAGATGCTAGCTTGGCCAGTATAATAGGCATCGACTGTACTGTCATCTGCATAGCAATGAGCGTTGTTAGTTAACAACATATCGTTGATATGCAGAATAAACAGTGCAGGCGATAGCACTGAGCCTTGGGGTACGCCAACGTTGATCTGAACAGTGTCGGAGCATATACCGTCAATGACAACTTTTATGCTACGTCCAGAAAGAAAGCTAGCGACCCATTGGCATAATCTCTCGGGAAGTCCATATGATGGCAGCTTCGATAGAAGTGCCTTATGCCAGACCCGATCGAAGGCCTTTGCGACATCAAAGCTAAGTGCTAACGCCTCCCCCTTACTCTCAATAGCAGTTGCCCAACGGTGAGTTAGATACGCTAGAAGATCACCAGTACTACGACCCTGTCGAAATCCGTATTGTCGGTCGTTAATGAGCTGGTTCTCTTCTAGGTATGCTAGGAGCCTAGTATTAATCACGCGCTCCATCACCTTAGAGAGTATAGAGGTTATCGCAATGGGCCGGTAATTGGACGGGTCTGTGCGGTCACCCTTTTTGGGAATAGGGTGAACAATGGCAACCTTCCAAGAAGACGGGACTTGGCTAACGGAGTAGAGTTGAGTGAACAGGCGGGTTAAGACCGGTGTCAACTCTGGGGCACACGTTTTGAGTACAATGGCCGGAATACCATCAGGCCCGCTGGACTTCTTGACGTCTAGGGAGATAAGTGCTCGACGCACTTCACGTTGCGTGAAGCGTACTTCGGGCATCATGCTATCACACTGCGAGATGGTAGGCGGCGATAATCCCCCGTCGTCAAGAGTTGAATTTGAAGCAAAAAAAGAGCACAGGAGATCTGCTTTCTCTTTTGCAGAATGTGCCAGCGTGCTATCCGGTTTGCACAGAGTTGGTATGGATGATCGACAGAAGTTTCCTTCCGCAGCTTTGGCGAGAGCCCAAAAAGCACGCGATCCAGATGGAAGGCTTAGAAGTCTCTCGCCAATGCTGCGAATATGATCGTCTCTTGCCCTGGCCATTAGTGTCTTGCATGATCTAGAAGCAGCATTAAATTTCTTTTTGAGATCGGTGACGTTAGGATCCTTCGCTGTGCGGGCAGCAACCCAGGCTCGATAGGATTCCTGCTTCTCGCTAGAAGCTCTAGCACAGGATGCATCGTACCAAGGTTGCGATTGACCGCCGATACGGACGGTAGAACTGGGAATGAAGCATTCCATTCCCTGTAAAATCGTATCCGCAACGGTATCCGCGCAATACGAGGGATCATCCGATGAAAAGCAGATGCGCTTCCATGGGTAGGATGCGAAAAATTCGCGCAAACCATCCCAATCAGCTGATTTATAGTGCCATACTCGCCGCGTCCCGCTTGGGCGGCAGTAGGTGGATATCGACACCTTCGAACGTACCAGACAGTGGTCAGAAGAACCCAGGGGGGCGTCGACGCACACCTGGTAGTTATCTGGGCACGTGGTCAGGAGAAGATCAAGCAGAGACGGCGCATGGCCTTCGACATCCGGTACTCTGGTGGGTTCAGGTACCAACTGTGAGAAGCCATAAGTCAGCGCAAAATTAAAGGCAATTCTCCCTGCGTAGTCTGTGGTCCGAGATCCTAACCAGTCAACGTGGTGGGCATTTAAATCCCCGAGGATCACAACCTCCGCGCAAGGATAACGCTGGAGCAGGAAATCTGTCGCTTCTTGGACGTGTCTAAAGAGTCGGTCTATTTCAGCGTTCCCACTATGGGACCTGTAGATACACGCATAGATTCGGGTATATCCCCCATATTCTATTCGTGACCATAAAATTGACAGGTCCTTGTCTTCAAGGTTGCTCAGACGGCGACAGCAGATATCTTCCCTGACGAACATACAAACCCCTGCTTTAGGCAGAAAGACATGCTCCAAGCTGTAACCGGGATATTTTAAATATGATGTATCGACAGGAGAGGATATCTGCGTCTCCGTTAAAAAAAGTAAGGCCGGCTTAGCTGTCTCGAGATGGTGATGGACAGCAATGAGGTTAGAATGTAGTCCCCTTATATTGCAGAGGTCCACGTTAAACGTGGAAGGGGTGGCCGCTGTGCAAACGTTTCTTACTTTTGTTGCAACCATGAGAGTGTCTAAAAAGGAGAAGAATGAGGAATTCTGAGATTTCGGCGCCCCCAGGACAAATGTAGCATTTAGGTTTGTGTCTATCCAGACCACCCAGGCTGTGTGTCTTGCTGGCATGGGGGACGGAAGGGCCCCCGATCCAACCCGACACTGATCGCCGTGTTCCACACCGGTCTCCCACTCCGGCACTGCGACCAACGCACGGGCTTTTAACATTGGTGGCGGGACAGCCTCCCAAACCGGGATAAGTTTGGGTTCGGGTCCCCTACGAACCAACGGGCGGCCAGCGGTACACCGTTTCATCGGGTCTCCCTGGACCCCATGCCAACATAACACGCCTGAATAGAAGGGACGAACTTCACCAAAATACCGGTCCTGAGGTCGCCGAGATCAACAGAATTCGGGAAAAGGGGGCTGGCTTACATGTCTTCGACTGGAACACGTCCGAGGACATTTGGCAATCGAATACGACATGATAGTGGTCGCGAGCCAGTCGAGGGCAGTGCCCTCTACCACCATACTAGCATGGGTTACTCGCCTTTTACGAGACGCTTTCCCAGCGGCGGGGGAGAAATGTATTCTAAGCCCGTCTCCCCACGGGTTAAACTGTCTGTTATCGCATCACGAGAGAATCACTGGACAGACTGATGAAATTTGCTACGATGATAGCTGGTTATCGGGGTCAACATATAGGATACATTTTATTGCGGGAAAATATCTCTGAGAAGTGAGAAATATATACTGAACATTAAAACGTAACTAGGGATGAACCCGAGAGGGTGAGTTGCTAGTGGTATTCTATAAATATATGATTGTAATATACCTATGATGACTTATTTGTTTGAGATTACATTACGCACGAAGTGAAAAATAATAAAATTAATTACTGAGTCATATGTAATGTATATTTATGTATGTGTGTATTCCAGGAGCGTGCTCTCCCGCCGCTGCGCGGGGGGTGCGGGCGGCGCGGGCGGCGGCGTGGTGTGCGTGGACGAGAAGGTGCTGCCCAGGAGGTTCGCGAGGGCCCTGCTGCACGCCGCCTATACTGATCAGGTAATAAAAATATATTAATATTATAGCGATATTTTATTTATTATAAATATAAACATCCATGACTGGAGTACAAACGTTCGTTCTCGTCACACAAACGAATACCCCCAATAGGACTCGCACCCGCGACCGCTGGCACAGCAAGTAAGCTCACTATAAACTGAGCCAAACGTGTCTATCTATATTATAAGATATTATTGCTTCCCCATACAAACTTTCAGCCCCATTTTCACCCCCTTAAGGGATGATTTCTGGGATAAAAACTGTTCTATATCCTTCCCAGGGTCCCAAACTATCTTCTTACAAACAAACAAAAAAATCTTTCCTCTTTATAATATTAGTATAGAAGTATAGATTAAATGTCTGTGTGTCTGTCTGTTCGCAGGTGGACCTCAGTCTCATCGGCAGGAGTTCGTCCTCGCCCTCCTCCAGCAACAGCGGCGGCGGGACGGTGAGTGTCACATGCTTTTATTCATATAATATTTCTTTATATACACATACGTATAAATAATTACCATTTATCTAAATTAAAAACCACTTAAAATGTATTAAAAATGTTCAGGAATTTCACCGACTTCCAAAAAAAGAAAAATGCGATATGTTTTTTTTAGTACTAATGAAAAATGGCTAGTATATTTTTTTTTGTTTCAATTTTTACATTTTATAAAGAACTATTTTTTTTAATATACAATATATTTCATGTAATTAATTTAAAATTACACAAAAATAATCTACGACTCCCAACCGTTGTAACAGCTCAAATGAATGTTGCCATTAACTGTGTGTATTAAATACAAATATTAATTATTTACAAAAGTATTGCCATAACAATGTAAAGTGTGAGTCACATACACATGCCCCAAGAGGATCGCTGATCTATTAATTCCCACGATTGTTAAAATAATAAAAATTGTCGTTACTGGGACGGTATTGCAGAATTGCAATTTGCAAATATTTTAATTTTATATAATTTTCCCATCATTCATTTAGCTTACATAGAGTGGATTTTAGATAATAAGTTTAATTTGTAAAAGTATTATTTTATAATAAATTAGTTTAAATTAGTTTGTAACCCCTGACGCAAAAACGAAGGGGTTTTATAAGTTTGACGTGTTTGTGTGTGTGTCTGTGTGTGGCATCGTAGCTCCCGAACGGATGGACTGATTTAGATTTTTTTGTTTTTGCTTAAAAGGTGAATTAGTCGGCAGTGTTCTTAGCTATGTTTGATGAAAATCTGTCCAAGATGGTCGAAAGTTTTTTTTAATTTTCAATTTATACTGTAGCTAACGTAACTTGTGCGACCATTTGTTCTAGTTGCGCGGGAACGGGCGAGGCTCGACCATAGCGATGTTGGACGACGCCTTCCAGCTGTATGAGATCGCGAGGTGAGACTGCTTCTCCCTCTCTATTATATTCTCTCTTTCATCTTCTTTCTTTTTCTACACGTGGGTAAATAATAAAAATAATCGGCTTTTTACTAGCTTTCATTTGATATCCATATCAATATAATTTAATATTATAAAAAGGCAGACTTTGTTTGAACGCGCGAATCTCAGGAACTACTAATCCGATTTGAAAAATTCTTTTTGCATTAAATAGCCTTTTTATCGAGGAAGGCTATAGGCGGCTATGTATTAAAATCATGCTACTACTTAAGGGACTGGAGCAGCATTATAATATATTCTATCTATTCCGTACTAACTGTTAAAACGTACCTAGAGACAAACTGAGGATGATTCGCTAGCAATAATTAAACGCGATATAATTCGATGTTACGCTATCCAGTTTACGTCAAAATGTTAATGACTAAAATGCATTTTTTTTTAATTAAAAAGTAAAATATACCAATGAGAAGTAATAAACGGTTTATTTGTTTACTTTAATGTATATTTATTATTTGTATGTTGTGTTGTCGTGTGCAGGTTCCTGGAGATGCCGATAGTGGCGCAGGGCTGCGAGGACGCGGCGGCGCGCGCGCTCTGCGCCGACACGCTGCCGCACTGCCTGCGCTGGAGCGCCGCGCCGCACGCCTCTGCCTGGCTTCACCGGTACGTCGCACGACACGCCGCACGCCACGCGTGTCAATTCAATGTCATAATAAGTGTATTCAGTAATTTTTAACGTCCCACCGCTGGGCACGGCCCTCCCCTCAATACGAGGGAGATCAGGCCACAGTCCACCACGCTGGCCATTTGGTCTTTTGAAAACTTGCTAGGTTCTCTAAAACATGCAGGTTATCTCACGATGTTTTTCTTCACCGTAAGGCAAGTGGTAATTGTGTTAAAAATGATTCGCACATGAAAATATCAGAGGTGCGAGACCCGGAATCCGCTTAACTCGGTTCCCAAGCGAGCGCGTTACCACTGAGCTACCACTGCCTTTATAACTACCACTATATATGACAATATATATAGTGGTTAAATCACGTAATTTTAAAACATTCCATAGAAACATGTTCCATAGAGTCCCTTTATATTAGGTATATAACAATAATATGGTATTATTGTGTGCATGTGTGCGTTGCAAATATTATTTTTTCTTAATTATACAACAATCATATAATTTGTAACATGATTAAGGAGATGTGTCAAGTGTGATGTGTGCGCTTGCAGACAGGCGATGCGGTACCTGCGCGACGAGTTCCCCGCCGTGATGGCGTCGAGTGCGGCCGCGCGCCTCCCGCGCTCCGCCCTCGCCGCCGCCCTCGCCTCGCCCTTCCTGCAGGCCAGCGAGGCGCAGGCGCTGCGCGCGCTGCTGCGCTGGGCGGAGCGCGCCGCCCAGCCCGCGCCGCCCAGCGCGCTTCCCACCCCCTCCGCGCCCCAGCTCTGCGCAGGTACGGCAATGACACGCCACGTGTGTTGTCATTGATTTAATGTGTTCTGAAAAAACTTTTTTTTAATTTATTAATGTAACATTGTCGTTCTTATATGATTTTTTTGTTATTATTAAATAGATATAGACTTTATTGTTCAAAGACATCAAACGCAATGAACGATCTACGCTATTTTCTTTTTATTGTTGTACGTATTGTTTATTTAGTGCTTTAACATCGAAATCGACCGCCATAAAATGTTTGACAACTATTGAATTATTTAACATAACATTTTTTTTACATAATCAATGGACGTGATTACTGTATAAGAGTAGAGTTTCTGACGAATCACAAAGTGTATTTCTGACATACCTAATATTGAATGAAGTTATGTTTTTAATTCGTGTACGTGTCATGGTGTGCCCCCGACAGAGCCGAACCTGCTGTGGCACACGACGCACGCGCGGCGCGCCGCCCGCGCGCGCCGCCGCGCCGCGCCCGACGCCGCGCTGCGCCACGCGCTGGCCGAGCTGCTGCCGCTGCTGCGCCTCGAGCACCTGCCGCCCGACTGCGACGCGCTCGCGCTGGCCGCCCGCCGCGGCCTGCTGCCGCCCGCCCACGAGGGCGGCACGGTGGACGCGTGGCTCGGGCGCGGCGCGCACCGCCCGCCGCGCTGCTTCCTGCCGTACCTGGACGAGTTGCGCGCGCTGCTGCACGAGCAGCCGCGCCCGCCGCGCGCCGCCGCCCCGCCGGCGCCCGCGCGGGCGGCGCGCGACGCAGGCCGGATACCGGACACGCTGTGAGATTTGGTTTTTTTTTTTTTTTTTTATTAATACTTTTTTTGTTCATGTTGTATGTATGCGTAGTTGGTGTAACAGTTAGAATTAAATTATTTTATAAGTTTCTATTTAAGTATCACTGAAAGTACTGAAAATTATTTCTTCTAAAGAAAACTAAATCACTGCCGAGTGCTTTAGCCAATTTTTTTTATAAAAATTCAAATTAATTTTAATTGAAATTTCAAGAAGAATGTTGGAATACTTTACTGTTAGGCATCTAAGGACGTGTCCTATTATCTCTATAACCGCGGTTGTGATGATAATTATTATAATGATTGGTTTTTTTGCACCAACCATTATCCATGCTACCCTACGAGTTTCTTTATAATATAGGTTGCCTGGAAAAGATCACTTTAAGTGATAAGGCCGCCTTTACACTGAAATACATATATAGTTGTAAAGCTATGTATTCTTTTATATTGTATTTTTGTTTTGGTGTAATAAAGGATTAATAAATACATAATATAAAACAAAGTCGCTGCCCGCTGTCTGTTTGTCCCTATGTATGCTTAGATCTTTAAAACTACGCAACGGATTTTGATGTGGTTTTATAAAAGATAGAGTGATTCAAGAGGAAGGTTTAATTATATATAATATATACATATTATAGTAAAGAATAACCGAGAAATTCAAAGATTTGTATTTCATACCAACCGTCAAAACGTACCTAGGGACGACGAACACGAGCGATGCAAGGGACAAGTCGTTAGTGAATAAATAAATAATAAAAATAAATGATGATGACGATGTGTGCGCAGGTACATGGTGGCGGAGGCGGCGGAGGCGCTGGCGGCGGCGCGCGGCGCGTGCGTGTCGCCGCGCACGCTGCGCGCGCTGCGCCGCCGCGCCGCCGAGCTGCGCGCCGCCGCGCCCGCGCAGCGCGCGCTGCGCCTGCACGCGCACGACGCGCGCGAGGTGCGCCGGCAGGTGGGCCTCGCTTGTGAATGTACCAGAATCATGAATTGATATAGAGAGATACACTGTGCTAACGCCAGATAAAAAATATATTATATACATGCTTATAAAAAAAACAAACACATTTATGATACTTTTAATTTTTACATTAAACGATACCTATCATTTTTTTTCAAAGTTACTCAAAATGTCTTTGTTCTTTTTTTTTTATAACAAACACACAACTACATAACTTAACTATCAAAATATTTAAAATTATACAATTTCTTTTCTATGTTACTTACATCAGTATAAAGAATTCAAAGTTACCTAAAGTGTCTTTTTCTGAACCGACTTCCAAAAAGGAGGAACTAATACGTTTAACAAATATTTTGCTCTTTTTTTATATTTTTTGTTGCAATAATTGTTTAAATAATATTCATGTTGTGTCAGATCGCCCTGCGAGCGGTGCGCGAGATGTCGCTGCCGGACTCGTGCGCCGAGCTGCTGCTGGACGCGGACGCGCCCGACGACAGGTATATATATATATATATATATATATATATATATATATATATATATACATTCTTATTTATGTAATAAATAAATAATAACATATCGTGATAGCCTAGTGCTAACGTGCTCGATTGTAGAAGTAAAGTGAGTTCGGTTCTCAGTTGTTGCAAATCTAAGATTCTCATGTGCGAATCATTTCCAACATGATCACCACATGTCTTACGATGAAGGAAATCATCGTGAGAAAACTTACATTTTTGAGAGAATTTATGTAATTTTTGAAAAACATGTAACATCTGCAAACCCACAGCTGACCAACGTTTTTTGTAACTTATATAATTTTCAAATAATGTTTTCACCATCTCGTGTATAAAATAATATATATATATATATATATATATATATATATATATATATATATATATATAATACATATATATATGTAAATATACAATACAAATTGCATCCTATTCGTATATATTCGACGGACTTTCAAAGATTGGTCTTTCCACTTTTTTCATTCCAACCTATTTCATTGTCAAGTATAGTGAATGTTTTATATAATACCTACTAGATGTATGTACGTATGTATAATAATAGTATCGGTCTTGCAGGGAGGGGTCGGAGGAGTGGGAGCGCGGCGCCGCGCGGAGCGACCTCGACGACAGCGACTGCTGCAGGTACGCACACATACACACATACATATAATATACATATATACACACATACATGCATATATACAAATATTCAACAAAGACATATAAAAAAAACGCCCTGCAGGTTTATGTAATGACAATTATCAAATGTTATAATAGAACACTGTCCCCTGAACAATCTCCCCCGTGTATCCTCCGTACGTTGGTGAAGTAATTTGCGCTCAACTGGCGCGGTTTGAAGCCATTGACATAGGAATCGAATTGAACATTTTTCCTCAATATACTCGTATATATTATTATTTAAATAAATGATTATCATGCTTCGATCAAAAAATGACTAAATACACAATCAGCGACAAAAAATGTCCTCACCGAATGAGCGCTCATTTGAACATTTGAGCGCGCTTTTAATTTTTCTTTTATGAAAACAACTTTAAGCATTGTATTTAAGGTTCAATTTTTATTGTATATTTATTTCAACTAGAACAATTATCTAAACACAATCGGTGACAGTTTTAAGAGAACTTTTCCATGGGATTGTGTATCTAGTGCTTTTTGATAGATGTTATTATGGTGTTATTTAATGTATGTGTGTCTGTGTGTGCAGGTCGGCGTCGGGGTCGCTACGGCGCGCGGGGGCCGCCGCCGCGCTCGCCGCGCTCGGTAACGCACTGCCTATATACAGATTTTTATTTGTATCTATATAATTATGTATATAAAGACATTATTCTATTATTTCAAAATAATGACTGAATTGAGTTTCTTTAAAAATAATCGATTTATTTTACAATTTGGAATTAAAAAAAAACATATTAAATAAATTTACACTTACAAGAAATATTAGCTCACCTATAAATATGATGGAAACTAACTTAAAAGTCTCTATTTCAAGTATATATTTATAAATTATATGGAACATATTTATATTTAAGCAAATTCTATAAGGAAAATTATATAATTACACATCTCAATTATTTCATTTAAATCTCGAAGTCAACAATATTAATTGTAATTTGGAATTGATCAAAGAGTATTTATGTAGTTTAGATTTTTTTACATATATATAATAATCTGAACGTACAGACAGGTAATAATGTAATTGTGTTTGTTTGTTGTTGGGTGAGTCTGGCTGAACGGACTGGGCTGGTGTGTTAAGTTTTAAGGCAGAAAAGATGGTAATGTTACCTGGGAATTGTTTTTTTTTTCTATTAGATTTTGTATGAATGAATATTTTATATTATTAAAATTAGAATGTCTGATTGCTGTAATAAAAAAAATTGTTAATGAAAAGGAAAATTTTCTTTATACTAGCAACATTTTAGACATTAATCATGGGAGTTTTGTTTAATATATATGGTAACAAAAATATAAGTTAATGTTTCCACCAGCTGGCGTTAGCTTCTTTGATTTGTTGTAATGACACTTTAGTTAGAGCAAACAAATAAACATGAGCTTGACAACATTCAAAATTGTGGAGTTTTAAGTTTAATAATATTTATATTAAATAATAGTATATACTGTTTATATTAAATGTTAATAATTGAAATAATAACATATGTTTGTCTGTGTGTCCGTACAGAGCCGACACGCTCCGCGTGCCGCCGCGACGCACCCCCGCGTGCCGACGCCGCGCACGTCAGGTATGCCACACGCTAATGACACGTGATTAGTGCCAATACAAAAGCTAAATATAAACCAGCTCCATTACGAGTTTCACTCGAATACGTTAAGGTTGGTTGTGTGAACTTAGTATCTGACTTAACAAAAATTGTTCTTTTTAGGTTTGTTTGAAAGATTTAGGTAAGTACAAACTATAAACAACTACAGACGCTTATCTTCTTATAAGTTCTGTTCCACTACACTTGAAAATTCTTCCACTACTAACCTCTGAACGTTTTTTAGTCGTTTTAGCGTTAATAATAATCGTATCGGCTTTCAAATTAAATTTATGTAGTAAATATCGTTTTGGAAAATACTCGAGAAAAAAAAGTTTTCTTTATAATATATCTTTTTTGATTTACTGCAAACAAAAAAATGAACTACAAACTACTCCTAATGTTTTTCTATAAGAAACAACAAATGACATTTTTTTTATTGTCTATATATTTTTTGGCACTACTACAAACGAAGTTAGCTCCACTACTATCCATTACTTACCGAAATCTTTCAAACAAACCTTTAAAAAAACCATTTTTCCAAAGTCTGGTGCTAAGTTAACAAATACAGCTGGTATACTTTTCCGAAGTGTGCAGTCAAGCTGTTAGTTTATAATTTCTCCTCGCGAGTGTCGAACGGTCGTTCCATCGTCCACAGTGAAAATAATAGAGTAGAGTGGGAGGGTAGATACTATAAAGTATGTGTGCTCTCCCTCGCACGCTGCACTATAATAATAACTGTTAATTAGTCTTAGTGGAATTGTACTGTGAACGGAATGGGTCAGGACTGTATGTTATTACTATAATAATAATTGATCTATGATTATTGTACATCACCCTTCGTCCTTTTCAAAGGACTTTTGAAATTCACCAATAAAAAAACAATATGTAGATTGCGAAGACAATTTATTATTGTTGAGCTCTGTAACAAAAAAATATATTAATTTTATTTATTAAATATATTCTCATTAAAATATTCCAGTATACTTTTTATTACCATAAAGATATGAGTAATAGTCGTAGGTATGTATGTATGTGTGTCTGTCTGTTGCAGGAGCGCGAGCTACACGCGCGCGCGGCTGTCGGCCGCCGTGCCCGACGTGGCCATGGCGCCCAACGCCAACACGCACCTGCTCACGGCGCGCGACTACCCCCACCCCCACGCGCAGCACCCCCCGCACCTCCACGCGCCGCCGCACCCCCCGCACCCCGCACACCCCCCGCACCCCCCGCACGCGCACACGCAGCCGCACGCGCACGCGCTGCACGCCGCGCACGCAGGTACTTACAACACTATTGACCATTTTTTTTCGATAAGCTCTGATAAATAATTTAAAATGAATTGCCAAGAAATACATATTGAGAGATTTTTTCATTCCTGAAGATATTCAGTAAATATATTCATACTTTAGAAAATAAATAAAGTAATAATAGTATTTTTTTCTACAATTAGTAATTATCATTTTTTTCTTAGGTTTATGTAAATATTTGATATTTTAAGTGAAACTATTATTTCTTAGAGATGGTCTCCCTCGCGACCAATGATTGCTGTAAAAAGTAATACAATAGAACCACGAAAATAATCGATAAAATAATTTTACATAATACTCTCTTGGATTTACGCGAATATTTGACATTTTATTAACTACCCTTTCGGTTTTTTCCACGAATCTATTTTGATTTTTGGTTCCCGATGTTTTGAATGCTTGCCGATGTTTCAGTAATCATGGTCACGGGACAACAAACTAGTCTTTTTAAAAATTTTTTGATCGCGACAAAATCCAAAAAGAATTTAATAAAACCGCTTATTGTAATAGCTATGTATTTAGTAATATTATAATATATATAATATATATATATATATATATATATATATATATATATATATATATATATATATATATATAGTAAGTAACCCGTGTGTGTTTGCATGCGCAGAGCTGGGCGCCGTGCTGCAGCTGGACCTGGGCGACGGCGCCACGCACACGCCGCGCCCCGGTCAGTATAACACCCTTTCTTTTTTTTAATTTGACATTTCAAAATATGGCTTTGGACGGACTTTGAACTATTCAGATATTGTCCTTTTTTATTTTTAAGTTTATTTTTTACTATATTTAATTAATTAAAAATAAATATTGAATTTAAAATAATGTAGCCAGATGAATAATATTTTTCACATACATTTTGCCACTTTCGTTCTTATACTATCGTAGTTGTTTTAAAATATATGTATATCTATTGAAACGATGAGTAATTTTATAATAATAATATAAATCAAAAATATTATATGAAATTGTATGGTTCAAAGTTACCCAAATTGATTTAATTACAAAAATTAAACTTTGATTTTATGATATTGTATCTGTGTACAGGTTCCCGAGCGCAGCGCGCGGCGCGGCAGCACAGGGAACACTCACAGGTGGGTCGCAGGTTCAGCTCGTGTCTCCTCATCATCACACCCTTGGAGGAGAGCACCAAGTTCTCCGAATAATTGTTATTATTGTTTTTTGAGTTCCCTTTATATGAAAGTTTTTTGGATTATATTTGTTATGTCACTTATGAGTGTTTGTTTTTCACATACAATATATTCGAGCCGACTTTGGGACTAACGTATTTAATTACTCAGTCTTAATGTTTAACATATGTTTCTTCTTTATTCATATATTTCATTAAAATCGATTTGGAAATTTCTTCTTGAAATTGCAATTAGTATCAAATAGTTTTTGAAATAAAACTATTAATCTATACATACATATAATAAAATTGTAACTAAGACGAATCTATACATTAATTATTTTTTTTTAATTTTATTGAAATAGTCATTATTATCGATACAGAATCTATAGTTTTCAGATTTTTTGTCTGTTTGTCTATCTGTCTGTGACTGCATCACGAGAAAACCACTGGACAGATTTTGATGAAATTTGGTATGATAATAAGCTGGTTATCCGGGTCAACATATAGGATATATCTCATCTCTGAGAAATCTATACTAACCGTTAAAACGTAACTAGGGTCGAACCCGAACGAAGCAAGGGTAAGTCACTAGTATAATTCGTTGGCTTACTATTACAAGGTTCTATGTTAATTTTAATGAAGTTTAGTAATGTTTACATAGAACTTCGTTATTTTGTTATCGTAAAAAAAACAACATAGAACTATGTAAAATTGAATATTTTGTAGTTATAGTGCCGCTATCTAGTGGTTTGTTTTTGCAAAACTGTAGCTAATGACACATAGAAACTTGTAGCATTAATAACTAAATAAGTACTAAAATTGTAACATAGAACCTTGTAATAGTGAGCCAACGATTATGTATATGTGTAACAATATATAATATGTGATATGTTACAGGGTATGTCGTGCTCTCGGCGCGACGACGACGAGCTGCGGGCGGCCATCGAGCTGTCCGTCATACGGGGTGTGTTGTGTTTGTTTGTCCGTACACCACGGGAACGTTGGAATGGAGAGTCTGTAGATCAGCCATACTCAAACTTTTTTTGTATAGTGGCCACAAACACGTTTCAATCATTGTCTGTTTACTCTTTTTTCATTAAACCGAACTTCTAGATTGGTATCGTTTTCAAAATCGATGAACTCATCAAACAACTCTGAGTAATTACAATTTAAAACGGAAGCCAACTCTGAGATGTAACTTCAGATGGGCCAATAACAAAGGCCCGGCGGGCCGCAGGTTGAGTATAGCTGATCTAGATATACAGAGAGATCACTCACAAATACTGCTAATATTTCTATATACGCATGAACATAAATGTTTGTAGGGATGTTTGTCACTTTTTCACGCAGAAACTGTTGAACGGATATTCATAAAACTTTATAGTGATAAAACGAAAAGCTTCAATTTAAGATATTGTATTTAATACATCGATCAAAAACGTACTAGATACACAATCCCATGCGAAAGTTCTCTTAAAACTGTCACCAATTGTGTTTAGGTAATTGTTCTGGTTGATATTAAATATACAACAATGTAAATTGAACCTTAATGCAATGCTTAAGGTTGTTGTCACAAAAAAATAATTAAAAACAAGCCCAAATGATCAAATGAGCGCTTATTCGGTGAGGACATTTTTTGTCGCTGATTGTGTATCTAGTATTTTTTTGATTGATGATGATATATTAAATAAAATGGGGTACAAAAAAGTCTATTTTCGTTGTAGTATAATTTTTTTTAATTTTTGTTTGCTATCTTTTTATTTACTTTAAAATGTACTTAAAGTTACCCAAAAAGAAATGTATATTCAAAGTTACACTGACTTCAAATGCATGTAATAAAAATGCAATTTTTTTAAACTCGACAGCGTACTCGTCGCTGCAGGTGGCGCGGCGCGCGCCGGCCGCCGACCTGCTGCCGCCGCCCGGTCAGTGTTCACTACCGTTTTATATACATATTTGTTGTTTTAATGCCTAGACAGGCAGTTCGTGTTACAGCCTTTGTACTTAAAAACAAATGTACATTAAGAAAAATTAACTGCTAGAAAAATTTATAATAAAATTATGAAAAACTAGCAACTCACCCTCGCTTTGCTTGGTTTTGTCTCTAGGTTGATTCCTCCGTACAAATTTTCATCCCCATTTTCACACAACTTATGATTTCCGGGATAAAAAGAATCCTATGTCTTTCCCAGGGTCTCAAACTATCTTCTTACCAAATTTCATCTAAATCGATTCAGTAGATCCTGAGATTACCCCCTACAACGCACACACAAACTTTACCTCTTTATAATATTAGTATAGATTTATATTACTGTTTCAATCTTTTTGCCTAATTTAGCCTAATGTTTTCTACTTATATTATGTGTGTTCTTATCTGTGCAAATTTAATTGGTGAATTTTTTATTGTAAATTGTACGTTCTGTAATACTGTATGTGTCCCTAAAATAAATGAATAAAAATGTATATATGTGTCAGACTTCGCGAGCGCTCGCAGTCGCGCCACGCCCAGCCCCGCCGCGCTCGCGCCCGCCCCCGCGCCCGGCGCCGCTCGCCGCCGCGACGCGCACCGTGAGTACACACACGCACACACACACGCACGCGCACACACACACACACACACACACACAAACACATATACACACACACACACACACAAACACATATATACACACACATTCACACGCACGCACACACACGCATACATACACACGCACGCGCACACACACACACACACACACACACGCACACACAAACACATAGACACACACACAAACACATACACACACACACAAACACATACACACACGCGCACACACACACGCACATACACACATGCACACACATATACACACGCACGCACACACGCATACATACACACACACGCGCACGCACACACACACACATACACTCACACACACGCGCGCACACACACATATACACACACATTCACGCACATACGCACGCACACATACGTATTCCCGTACAGTAGTCTAACGTACCGAACAGGGCACCGGCCGACGGGAGCCGCTCCCGACTGTCATACATTACTTTAGTATGACAGTCGAGAGCGACTTTAGGGTTGCCGCTATATCTAGCGATGACACTAAAGTGCTGTAATATAGTAGTCGTCCTATAAACTAAAATAGTGCGATTTCAACACTAAAATATCAATATTATAATTTTATTATCGTATATATATTTATTATCTTTTCAACTTTAATTTTTCAAGACATTTTTTTGTACGCATATTTAACTCCTCTAAGTCAATAAGGGATTTAAAAAACATATATTTTATTTAACAGTGTCAATAGCCAGCAGCACGACGGAACGCCGCCCCGCGCCGGGGCCCAGCGCCCCCGCGCCCGCCATCGCGCCCGCGCCCGCCGGCGCGCCCCCGGGGGCGGGCGTGGGGGCGGGCGGTGCGCCCAGAGCGGGCGGCGCCAGCCGGAGCCCCAGCCCGCGGCGGAGTCCCTATCCGCTGTATACGCTGTACGCGCAGAGGGACTTCAGGTATTATATTGTGTTTTTTTATAAACTCTATTTTCTCTATTGTTTAGCAAATGTGGTATTTAATGCACTTTTATGTATACATTTTGTAAATAAATAACAATGATTTGTCTGTCCGCCAGCAGCCGGTCGGAGGGCGGGTACGGACGCGTGCCGCGCAGCCGCGCGCACAGCCCCGCGCCGCGCACGCACGCATACGCGTGACAGGTACGCACGCACACGCACACATACACACATACACATGGGCGATGGCAGAATTAGTCATTCAATAAGGTGCAGGTGGTAGCCCAGTTGTGAAATGCCCGCTTGGGAAACCGAATGAACCGAGTTCAAGTCTCGGGTCTCGCCACCTTTGATATTTTCATATGCGAATCATTTCCACACAAAACTTGCAGTTGACGCCAAGTTGTCTGCAGACATGCCCAGATCGACCCGCACTCGGCCCATCGTGGTGGACTGCGGTCTAATCCCTCGAGTATTGAAGGGAGGCTCGTGCACGGCCGCATGCATGTACGCACGTACACATATACTCATATACTCGGGCGTGCGTGCACTCTCATGTACACACACTCGGCGTAGATTTATCAGTGATTTAACTTTGCGAGTCTCCCGCGACCATGTTTGCTGTAAAGCATTCGAAACTTCAGAAAAATAATAAAAAATAAAAAGTCAATACTTTAATAAGTCTAACAAAGAATTATATTTCTTATATGTATATATAATATAATATTTATGTCTGTCTGTCCCACAGTCGGAGCGTGCGGACGCGGAGCGCGTGTAGCGCGCACGCGCCGCTCCACAGACTGCGATACTTATGTATGGCGATTGTTAAAATTATCTGTGGTATTAATTGGTAAATAGTAATATATTATTATTATTTAAATTCACAATCAAATTAAATGTTTTGAATTACCACACGATATAATAGAAAATGGCAACATTAATAGTGTTTTTGATGAAATTATATTTTAATTATATAAAGTATTATTATTGATAACTTTTGTTGCGACACAGTCAGTGTGTATACATCCGTCTCTTTCTGACGCGGTGTGAAAGAAAGAGACGCAGATAGCGGCATGGACGCCGGCACCGCACATGTATCTTGTAAATATTGTTATTCTATGTATAGACAACATTGTATTATAGTAGGGACTGCGCTTTCATACATACATTTATATTTAAAAAAAAAACATGTTTTTAACCGACTTCCAAAGAGGAGGAGGTTCTCAATTCGTATCGAATCTTTTATTTATTAATTAAATCTAATGCGTTTTTTTTTTCTAACCGTACTTTCTGTTTTTATAATTTGTTAAATTATCCGTATATTATTATTCATATACAGTTTAAAACATTGTTATTTTAAATATATATTTTTTTTTAATAAAAAACATTTTTTAATATCACATATTATATAATGAATTGACTGAAAATACTTTATTTGTATAAAGTTAGATATTTATTAGGTAAGTATGGAGGCGCAGTCGATGTTTTGCGATTAGCATAGTTATTACAGACTGTATCGTGTTTTACAGTTTTTGTTATATAATCTGTGGATTGAAAAATATGAATTTAAAAAATCATTAAATAAATATTTAAAAAAAAACTATAATTTGGGAAAAAAGGTGACAAAATACAGTAAGTTTTTTTTAAACATCTCTGTTTGTATGCAAAAGCTTTTACTCATTTTTTACGTTAACTTCAAAATCACTATGAAAGCGAGTAAATTCAACAATATCAAAAGGAGGACATAATATTGTAATATGTCCTCTTTTTTTAATTAAAGCAATATTAAAAAGAAATTATAATATTTGTAGTAGCCACAGTTAAAAAAAAAATATTTATTAGTTTTATTTGAAAACAAATATAAAACAAATATTACTTTCAATAAAGTATTCGTCAGAATTTAATAGTAAAATAAAAACGTGAAAAAATCCGAAAAAACAACTGCATTGTAAATGTCAAATGTTCGCCTAAACCTAGAAAATATTATAATTTATATTATATATTAGAACAGAGCTATCATATTTGAAATAAACAATTTTTTTTTCGCGTTATTAAAATTTTTGAAGCATTTTTTTTCAGTAAATAAATAATTTTCATTTTTTGTGACCACCTGTATATAACAAAAGCTGTAAAAAGAGCCTATATAAGGGACTGTCGGTGGTAAAGTGGCATAACTCGTAAACTCTTTAAAATTATTTATGATTATGACGTTTTTCCTCTATTATGTCACATAAATTATTCTATTATTTATTGACTTCGTATCAATAAGAAATTATAAATTTGGCTTCATACATATTTTTATATTAATACATATTGTTTTATTGTACAGTATGTTTTTTTTAACTTAAATTTTAGTTAAGGTACAAAGTTTAAAGAAAATTTGTATTATATAAATATAATTTCATCATTAATAATAATTTTAGATGTTTTAGAGTTTAGAGTTATGCCACTTGGCCGTCGGCCGCCTCGCGGTACTCTAGCGGCGACCAATTACACGTGTATATATATTGTACATACAGACGTACGTGTTATTATATTACATATAACTCGGTTGGATGGAGAAGATGGATTTTTTTCTATGTTGTTTGGTTTTTTTGGGTTTGGTTGATGTTTGAGTGATTTTTTTTTATCAAATACATTTTTTTTATTAGACGTTATCGTGCCATAGGTCTCGGTACTAACATATTGAGAGCCACATTGAGGTGAGAGGCTGAAAATTTGCATTTTTTTAAATAAAGAAATAAAAAAAAGTTTGTTTCGAACATTAAAAAATATATATTTTATCATGTTCGAAAAAAAAAATTTTTTATGTTTCGAATTTAAGTTTGTTTCGAACATAAAGAAAATCTTTCGAAAGTTGTATTTTGACTACAGTAGCATTTAATGGGTCGAACTATAGTTATACCTAAAAACCATCCAGATGATCTCATAAGTATAGGAAAAATTTCATCAAAATCGGTCAAGCCTTGCAGGAAGAGAATGTACGAACGCACGCACACCGGAATATGATATATAAAGAAGTTTTATTTTTAACAATACAAAATCCACTAATATATTTAAATATTTCTCAAACGTCAACCAAAACTGACAGTTCTAATAGTTTACATAGAGTCCGTAATCTTTTATGACGCAAGAAGAGTATTTTTGAAACTGTTCAATTGTCTAAGAGACATCGTTCTGTCTCTTTCTAACGCAATATGAGTGAATGAGACGGGGATATTATTATTTTTATGAACGACTGATCTCGTAAAGTCTGATTTGTTATACGGATGTTCAGTTATTTGCTACGTGAATGTATATTTTATTTTTTCTTATACAGTTAGAGGATATGACTCAAGTTTTAAAAGATACATCCCCAATATAAATTAAATAAAATTTTACAGACCAATTGACTTTTTAATGTGATTTCATATTTTTGAAAATTTAAGTCCATTAACTGAACAGCCTGTATAAGATTATTCCAACGAAAGATATTGCTTATATAAATTTCAAAAGTATTATAACTCATAAGCGACTGGCTGCATTTTGATGCGGCTTCTAACAGAAAATAAAGTTCTGTGCATGCTAAAGAAATATCAAAATTGTATCAACCGGGATTCGAATTCACGACCATCATTCCTTTTAAAATTAATCTAAATCTGTGTTTATATTATTGATAAAGTGAATTGACAAACATACAGACATGTCATGTTTTTATGTATATATGTAATAAACGTCACAAATATTAATATGTGTACCTACTATTGATTTAACAAACGAGCACAAAATATAATTATTGTATTCAAAATTATGTACTAATAATATAAATAATAGTTTGTCTGTTTGTTCATTTTCCATTTTTTTTATTGTGTGTAATATAGAACCATTTAAGAGTATAGGATGAGGGGTCGCCAAATTTTCAATGAATAAACAACCCCTTTTGGAGGTTTGATGGTGTTTACAAACACACGAACTTTATTGTTTATAATATTAGTACATATTTGTTTTTTGAAATACGCCCCTTGTATTGTACAGATATAGATTTTTATTTTAAGTTTCTTTGTTAATGATACTGAAGTACTGCCATTTAATTTTATAATTTTTTTCTCATATTTGGTGTCAAATTTTGACTGTAGACATAAAAAATATGATTTTTTACCGTTTTTAATTGATAGATTTTTTATTGTCTTTCGATCGTTAATAAATGTTGTTCTAATTTTTTACCTTAATTTAGTATTATTTTTATATTTTTAAACAAATAATACATATTTACATATGTTTTTTTTTTAAATGACAAAAAGTCAGTACTTCTGTTAACAACAAAAATAAACGGAGGATTTTTGCATTTGTTTAATTATATTTATTGAATGAAGAAGAGGCAATAATTTTAATTATATTTTTTATGTCTACAATCGTTTGCAATAAAAGTGTCGTGTCGTCTCTCTCGCACGGTCCGGTGTGAGCGAGACGGCAATATGTCATAATGAATAATAATAAAGTAACAAGTATCTCATATTTTAATAAACAACTCAATATAGATAAATAATTTGCTTTATTTTGGAGGAGTATTTTGTTTTGCTCAAATTTAAGAAAGAGAAAAAAAATGAAAACGTTTATTTTTTTTCTTTTTTTTTTATTTATTGTTAATTCATTTGGTCAGTTTTATATGTTTTGCTTATAATTAAAAAAACTGTTTTATTTTTAAGTAAAAGTTTTGATATTCAAATCTTTTAAGATATTCTCAAAAAATGTTATTTTGTAATCGTACGAGTTTTATTTATAAGCAAAATGTATGAAGCGTTACAAAATTGTTTATCGGATGTGGGCGAGTGTCGGCGGCGGAGGACGGAGGGCGGTCGTTGTTACAACGTTATTTACGAATAAAATATTTATTCACACGATTTTGTTTTATTTATTTACATTCACTAAGAGTAAGAGTAAAGACCTTTAAATTATACTTCTTTTGAGATGTTTGTATAAAAATATGAGTTAAATTTTTACGATGCGCGCGACAGAGAGTTGTGACATACGGGATGAAATCTTTAGCTATTTTTGTTCTGTTACACCAAAGTATAACTTCTTACGTACGTAAATACTCGTAAGTACACACACGTTTTTCGAAAGTGTTTAATCGAAGTTTACTTTAAATATTACAATTATTTTTACATTCAATTCTAATTGTTACAGCGAGTAGCGTTTAGACATATTAATAATTGTAAAGGATTTTTTTTTTAATTTAAAAATAGATAACTTTGAATAACCTCGAAGATATAATAAAAAGATTATTAAGAACATTTTGAAGTCAGCTTAATAATTAAACATCTACACGTAACATACACACAAAAAACAAAAATCTAAATTCCTCCTCCTTTTGATGTCGGTTGAAATGAAATGTGGAAAAACGGGGGTAAAAATAAAACATAGTATATATTTTATAACATTATATTTGATATAGTTTAGACTACTCTAGCACCATCTCCACAGTCGCTGTACATACATACATACATACATTTATACATTCATACACTAATTAATTATTATTATTTATGGCTCATTCATTTATAACTTAAGAAAACAGCTTATAAACAAAGAAAAAATTCCGCCCGTCATAAATAATTCTCCCTGGCGGAATTACTTGAACATTTCCAGCGGAATCCTTTTTAGAAATAATAAATTTAATACTTAACATTATTTTTAGAAAAATAGCCAAATTCTCATATGATAAATATATTTCTTTTAACAATAATTATAAATTACAAATGAACGAGCTCCACTCTTCTAACGATCATTGCATATAATATAATGTTGATTATGTATAGCATTCGGCCGCTGGACTTTTATCCTTGAAAATAATAAAAAAATAACACTTTCCATACAAAAATACTCAGAAAATCTTACTTATTGATAATTTCTAGACGCTTTGTTACACAACAAATGTTTTAGGAAGACAGTAATTTTTCAAATATATATATTAAATAAACATGACGACATCTTAAATACAAAATAGTATATAAATGCGATTATTTACATTAAAATTAAAAAGTAGAAAAAGGAATAAAGAACCACAGACAAACAAAATTCCTATTTACCATCATCCCTCTCCCTCTAACCGAACACTGCGAGTCCCCCCTCTCGCTCGCACACTCCGGCGGCCGGACGCTACACCTACACCTAATTAGATCAGAAACGTTCAGAAAGCTAGATTTTAAGCCATTTAGAGAAATTGGAGTTCTATTATATTTATATAGAAGAATGAACTCAACCGGAACAGACCGACAAGTCGAGTTGCCATTAATATTATCAGATATATCAATACTCTCTTAGGTTTACGCGAATATTTAACATTTTAAATAAAACTATCTATCCTTTTGCTAAGCATTCGAAACAGCTCCACCAAAATTCAAAATGAATCGGCAAAAAACTCTGAAAGGATAGTTTTATTTAAAGTATTAGATATATTGTTATTTTTTATTTAAAATGCTTATCTAACAGTCGACTTGTCAATGGGTTCGCGATTCTACAATGTAATGTACTATTTTTTTTTTCATCAGAAGCCAAGGCAAAGAGGGATATCTTACATATTATCGTCTTATTTTTCAAGTTATACTTCTTTTGGCATGTTTGGAAAAAAATATGAGAGTAAAATTTTTACGATGCGCGCACACGCCGACAGCCAAAAAGCGACATGATGAAATTAGCTACATTCCTTTTACAAACAGAGAATGTGAGAGTGAAATCTAAGAAATCTAAAGAAGTATAACTTCTTACGTGCGTACGTAAGTACATACACACACGTATTTTATTTTATTTAACTTAAACTGAAAACACATATCATACTAAAATTATAAATTCGAAAGAATTTATAAGTAAATGTGTATTTTTCGTAATGCTAACATGATATGTAATCATCTTTTGGCACACGATCAGCGCGATCTATTGGCAAATTTTATAACTAACAGTAGCCTATGTGTTACTCCAGCTCATAATCTATCTGTGTACTGAATTTCATCCAAATCTGTACAGCCGTTCCAGCGTAAAGGAGTGACAAACATACACACATACAAACTTTCAAATTTATAACAATAGTGTCGCAAAAATATATACATTGAATTGCAATTCATTCCTCCAGAAACTTTATGATAATATACAATTTTAACATTTTTACATATAAAGAGATATACCTCTTTGCCTCCACATACAGACATACATACATAACATTATTTTACCTAGCTCATCAAAAAAATATTATGCATTCGAGATTTCCTGTTATATTTTAGATTCGATGTTTTCATATTATAGAATTTGACATTTAAAACAAAATACAACATTAATAAAAAAATTACATTACACAAAAAATAAGCCCAAAAGAGATTATATATGACACAATTTTTAGTCTATGGTTGATAATTTTTCTTTTTTTTTTTTTTCAAGTCTGACGTAGACCGGGACTAGTTAAATTCTAAACTTGGCAGCGAAGATCCTAACTAACATATCTATATACAAAACTAGAATTATTACAAAATGCATGCTTTTATTTAATAAAATGCCAAAAAAATATATTTAAAAAATAATAGTTTACAATAAATGCGTTTGCAAAATATTAATTTTTCGCGAAAAAATTTTTTTGTACAATTCCGCCACATATATTTTTCTTATTACCAGCGGAATTTTATCACTTCTTCTTCTCTTCTTGGTATAATGTGATTATCATAAAAACGTTATTTTAAAAAGAAATTACAAATTAAAATTTATTTAATTTAAAAAGTTCGGACCTATGACCGTCCAATGTTAAAAAATGGCATTTTCTTTATGACTAACTAAAAATAATAGAACAAAATACTTGGATGGTGTAAAATTACGTTAAAAAATAATAATATTAATGTAAAAGTCATTAAATTATACTACTTTTATTAAAACGTGATGTATAGGCCGTGATAAAATTTATATAATTATAATAAAAATGTCCGCCAGTTAATATGTTTTAAAACAAAATTATATAATAGAAAAATTCAATGAACATACGGAGATTTTTATTATTATTACGTATTCACATTCATAGGTTAAATACGAATATTATGCATTTGGAAATTTTATTAAAAAATATTCCACAAACCACTTCTCCGTCTTACATTTTCAGAGATTCTCATATTTGTGATTTTTAGAGATGTAACTTGTGATATTATTACAAAACCCATTTATAAACGATATTTATTTTTAATGTATAAGAAGAATTACTATTTTGTTTATATATAGAAAATAAAATTACTATTTTTTTACTTTTTTAATTAAAATTAAAAAGACATAGATTATAAGAATAAACTCCAGATTATAAAACACATCACATATTCTAAAATATAAAATCAATATTACACTTCAAACATAAATACCATTTATAAACTCGTTCAATACAGAAAAAAAAATATACCAAATCGATTCTCAATTTGTAAAAAAGCAAAATCGATTTTCAAATAATCAATATCAGATGATTTACATGAAACATACAACATGATGTATAGTACAGATCTGTCTGTCTGTGTCTCTTTGTCTCTGCGTCTATATATTTGTGTGGGTTTATAAGTGTGTGCAGTGTGTATGTGAGTATGTATGTCTTTGTGTGTGTCTGCATGTGTATATGTATGTCTGTGTGTGTGTCATTATAAGTCAGTCTCGGAGGCGCGCGCGTCGAGCCAGTGCCGCTCGCGGCGGCGGCGGCGGCCGGCCTCGCCCTGCGGGACACGGTACGGTCAGTGTGCGTGTTAAATATATATCATGGCGTCTCATTAGAAACAAAATATACATACATTGTACATACATACATGTATAAACGATGGGGTCTCTCTTTTAAAAGGAAAGGCAAATTATTTTGTCATTTCCAATTATTATTTTTTATTAATGGCTTCATATTTACATAGGAAGAAGAAACAAACACGCAAACAAGCAATCAAACAAACAGACAGACAGACAAACACTCCCATACACGAGTACAACAAAAGCATACGCCTATATACCACTACACACAACTGCAACATGTAAACACCGACAAACACACACACGCGCACATACACGCACGCACGCAAACAAACAAACACTGACCTTGTGTTCGGGCGCGGGCTGCAGCAGCGCGGCCGCCCTCTCCGTCGCGCGGTTCTCTTTAGCCACGAGCATCTCCTGCGAATGTATTTATCAATACATATAATAAAATTGTAACCAAGCCGAATCTGTACATTAAATATTTTTTGGAAAATCTTATTGAAATAGACATTATTATCGATACCGAGGCCGAATTTATAGTTTTTAGAATTTTTGTCTGTTGAAAAACCACTGAAGAGATTTTGATGAAATTCGGTATGACGGTAGCTGGTTATCCGGGTCAACATATAGGATACTTTTTACCGCGGGAAAATGTCTCATTTTTGAGAAAAAATTAAAAAACTATGATGCAATGTAAGAGTATACTAATATGTAAAACCTAAGAATTTGGTTTTTGGTCATCTGAACGCAGGCTGAGCCGCGGGCAAGGCAAGTTTACATATATATTCAGCCTTTTTGACGTCCCACTGCTGGGCGTGGGCCTTTAACTCAATAAAATAAAACAGACACCACGCGATCTCGTCTTGAAAATACGTTGCAATCGGGCTATGCCCATGTGTCCTATTTTAACATTTTTGCTATTGAGCCTTGTTTTATTTATGAGATTTTTCAATATATTTATTATTGAATGAAGTCGAATCGAATCTGGGAACAAATTTCGACAAAAATAGCTGACCATATTCCAATAACCGACTTGCGCCATTGTTAATACAACGTACAGTGTTATGTTTACAAATTTTGTGTTTTAACTATTTTTAACCGAGGAATCCGTAAGTTGCTATTTTATAATACATTTTAAAGTGTTTTTTCAAGCTTTTTATATAGTTACAATAGTATAATAAGTGGTATTTGTTGGTATAACATCGATTAGAAATAGCCGGTATTCAAAACTACGCACGACATTCGTGCGCGAGTTGACCGCGAATTGGCCGATCTGTTTTGTCATCTATAAGTAGTTTTATAGCTCAGTAGCCTCTGTTTAATCAAAAGCATTCTATCGCTTGACGTAAAATAATACGTGAGAAGCATAAGCCACGCGCGCAATGGTCGATTCGATCATAGCAATATTTGAGTGCAGAGAGCGTCGAGCTCAAAAACTTAATACGAGAGGGTTTTGGTCATAGTCCACCTCGCTGTGTCGTCATAGTGGACTAAGTCCCGTTCCCCTCGTATTAAAGAGAGGCCCACCCTCAGCAGTGGGACAGTAAAAAAGTCTGAATATATTATATTGACAATAATTATTATTGATACAAAACGTCGGCGCACCTGCAGCACCACGGCCGCCTCCATCTCCGCCATGCTGACGGTCTCCACGCAGCGCGGGTCCGCCTCCTCGTCCATGTCTGTGGAACATACCATAGACTAATTACTAAGGGAACATCCATGGACTAAGGTACGTGTTAATAGGCATACGTGTCCGTGTGCTTGTGATAAGTATGTATATGTGCTGACCGTGCGGCGAGTAGAGCGCGGGCGGCGGGCGGCTGTGGCGCAGCGCGACCGTGTCCCGCTTGAGGCGCGCCGCGTGTGCGCGCAGCGCCGCCTCGCACGCGGCGCTCCACTCCCCCTCCCCCTGCTCCCCGTCACCCTCGCCCTCCACCTCCCCCTCCTCCCCGCCCTCGTCCGCGCCCGACTCCTCGGACACCGCGCTCCTGTGACGTACACGTGACGAAGTATTTGAAAATTGTACACTAATTAATGGTTTACATCTTACATCTATACGAATTGCGTCTACTAATATCCCTTGACCTTTATTATAAAATACCATTATTTATTTTATAATATAATGCAAACACATAGGTTTTTAATTTCACTAAGGGGGGGCCGCCAGTGAAGCCAAGTTACGTATAGGGAGGTGACCGACCTCGATGGGCGGTGTCTAATGTGGGGTGCTCCTGGTACTTCTCTGATAGCGACGCCCCAATAAGACGAGGGAGGTTCTGTTGCGTTTTAATAGGTAATACTGGCTTCGTATACTGGTAAAATGCGTAAATGTAATTTTCAACATTAAAAAAAGGTGTGATGGTGTGATGTTGTTATGGTGTGAGAGTGTGATGGTCGGTACGGACCGGTGGTGGTCGTGCCAGGGCCCCGGCGACAGCAGCGGCGCGCCCCACGCCGGCGCCGCGCGCAGCCGCGCCAGCAGCCGCCGCGCCACCAGCTCCGCCGCGCGACGCTGCGGACACACACATATTATAATAAAATATAACTTACTCTTTATAACATTAGCTATATGCCAGTGAAAGTCTCGTTGAAATCGTTACAGCCATTTCGGAGATCAGCCGGAACAAACAGACTGAATCGTTCGGAGGATTTGTGTTCGAGTCTTGAGTTCTTATGAAAGCAGAAAATTAAAAAAATGCACGGAAAATTATAAAATTTATGAATACTTATTTAAGAATACTTAACAACCATATTAAAATGTATATGGCTAACGCTGGCTAATAACTATTTATATTTATTTAAAACGTACCTAGCGACGAACCCGAGCGAAGCGAGGGTGAGCCGTTAGTTTATAATAATTATTTAATATCTAAATTAATTTGATTAGGGTAATCCGGTATGTTTATGTTTCGTGCGTTACCCAGAGCCGGACTCTGACCTTAAATAGATTTTATATTAAGAGCTAGCCAGGACAGAGCCGCACCCAGTTTTATAATAAGTTTATTTTTTTTTCTTTTTATGTAACAATTTTCTTACATGTTAACAGTAGTTAATGATAAATTTATATTTTATAAACAGTTAATAATATTTTTTATTTAACTTAAATTTATATTTCCAGGGTTTTATATTTTACAATGCGCGCGTGCGCGCGTACCTCGTGCGAGCGCGGCGCGTGCGCGGTCTCGGCCAGCGCCAGCAGCACGTCGTAGGCCTCCAGCGCGCGGTCGGCGGCGGCCAGCGCGCCGCACAGCGCCACCGACGACGACTCCTGCACGGCGCACGCGCACGACAGCCTGCCGCCCATACGTATGTGTCATACACGAAACTCTTGGCCGGTCGAAAATAGTTTTGATTGAACAATATTAGTATGTAATAACTTTGGTAATATTAGCATATTTCTTCACCGTTTTAGATTAAGTCGAGTCAGAGATATTGATCAATATTATACACTTTTGAGTGCTTTTTTGATCGATGGCTGTGACCGAAGATGGTCAGATACAGTGCATAAATGTGTGTTTGTGTTCAGCTGTACCTGTGCGCGGTGTCGACGGCGCGCGCGAGGGCGCAGTCCAGCACGCGGCAGTCGGCGGCCAGGCGCAGGCAGCGCGCGCGCCACGCCGCCGTCTGCGCCGCCGCCGCCTCTGCGCGCCCACACACGGACACGGACAGACATTCATTATGTATGCATAAACACTGACACTAATCATCTCCTATATTACAAATACGCCATTAATCTTTGTGACGTCTAAAGCCTTAATCTCTCCCGCGACCTTATGCGCTGTAAAGCATTCGGAACGTCGGGAATCAAAAATCAAAATAAATAATATGTTTGTTAATAATAATGACCTCTCACACAATGCTGCCCTCATTTTAAATGAAATTTGATAAAATTTTACTGGCCCACCTTCCTCCATTTTGAGCTCGCGTAATTAATGAATGCCCCTAACACATTCAGAAAGCCTCAACAAAATATACAACCGTGACCGAACACGGTAATAAAAACATTACATTAACTACACAATTACTCAAACTCAACAAGATACACCACCGTGACCGTGACCGGTCACAGCATACGATAGCCAGTAAAGCGGCCTCACCGTCGTTCCCGGCGGCGACGAGCGCCTCCCGCAGCCCCGCCTGCGCGCACACGTCCAGCGCCAGCCGCTCCGCCGCCTCCGCGCACCACGCCTGACGCACGGACACACAGACAGACATACATTATTTAATTTATATATTTAGCCCGCATTAACGTACCACAGCAGGGAGTGGTGATCATAGTACACCACGCAAATCGGATTAGTAGTTCCTGAGATTAGCGCGTTCAAACAAACAAACAAACAAACAAACAAATGCCTGTTTATATATTAGTACATATGGACATAATCCTATTACTAAAAATATTGTAAAAGCGAAAATTAGCATGAATATATACATATGTGTATGTTTGTCCCTCCTTCACGCTACAACGGCTGAACATATTTGGATAAAATTTAGTAGATAGATAGACTAAAACTTGGAATAGTAAACAGAGCACAGTCAAGGACAGTTCCTTGGACACAACCCACCTCCTCATCAGACACGTGGTCGCTGGCGGCGTCGCCGGCGCGCCGCAGCCGCACGCGCGACGCCATCTTGGCCTCTCTGGACTCGCACCGACCTGACATACATACATTTTGATATAATACTTTATTAGCTTTACGCGAATATTTGACATTTTAAATAAAATTGTCTTCTCGGGGTTTTTTTTGAAGGATTTATTTTGATTTTGGATTCCCAAAGTTTCAAATGCTTTACAGTAACCATTGTTTTGAATAAACTTTTTGTTGTTTCAAAAGTCTTTTAACATTCTTTTCTCTACCCACAAAATTATTAAATTCAATTCTTATGTTCAATGGCTTCTAGGAGTGCCGTTTGGGCACCATTTAATACTTCGCCAATGTCGCGTTCGGTATAAAATAAAAAAGGTATCCCAAAATCTGATTACATGTAGAAAGCAAGGCAGCAATTCGTTGTAATATCACAGACAACACAAAATATACAAAAAACTATAAGAATATCCACAAAATTATACAATAATTGTAATAAATAAGACTTTTAAGAAACGTCCAAAAAATAAGCAGTCACGAGGACTGCCGACAGAAGTTCAAACTTAAAACTAACAGTTGTTATTTTTGCATATTCAAATTGATTGTTTGATCTTAATTTAAAATGTGTAAATTAAAACTGTTTACATTTTTCACTCTGAGTGTTAGCGTTAACACGTCACGTGACCATGTCGATGACGACTCACATGAACTTACTCCCCATCCAAACTAACCTACATATACGAGCTTTCATTTCGAAAAAGACAGAAAAATGTAAACAACAAAATAAACTAAATGAGAAAGCAACTGACCGGGCGAGGGCGGCAGCAGGCCGGGGGAGCCGCGCTCGCGCTCGCAGCTGCCGCCGCCGTGCGCCGCGCGCGCGGACTGGCAGCATCTGACAGGACCATACAAAATTAAAAAACCGGCCAAGTGCGAGTCGGACTCGCGCACGACGGGTTCCGTGCCATTATCTATAAAAACGGCAAAAAATATGTCTGATGTATGGGAGCCCCCTTTAATTAATATCTGTTTTATTTTAATTTATTTTTAAAGTGAATATATAACTAAATATTGTGTTTCAAGCGTCTACTGTTGCCGTTATCAATATCGAGCACAAACGAGCAAAAAATTGCGTTTGTTGTATGGGAGCCTCCTTAAATATTTATTTAATTCTGTTTTTTAGTATTTGTTTTAATAGTGGCAACAGAAATACAGTCTGTGAAAATTTCAACTATCTAACGATCATGGTTTATGAGATACAGCCTAGTGATAGACGGACGGACAGCGCAGTCTTAGTCATAGGGCCCCGTTTTTTACCCTTTGGGTACGGAACCCTAAAAAACAACTTGGTTAGATATTTTAACACACAGCACAGAGTGGCTCAGTTTGTAATGATCCTACTCACTGTGCCCGCGGTCGCGGGTTCGAGTCCCGCTGGAGGCAATCATTTGTGTGATAAGCACGAATGTTTGTACTGCAGTCATGGGTGTTTATATTTATAATATGTATGTACATATTCAAAATTATATATGTGTAGTGTATCAACTATCTGGTATCCATAACACAAGCCTCGTAGCTTCCCATGGAGCAACTAGATGGTGCTATGTGTTAATATCCCAACATATTTATTATTATTCCTCGAAAATCTCACATTATATTAGTTAAAACCGTATGAAAATCGGTGCAGTAATTTCCAAATCTAACCCAGACAAACAAAAACATTTTTTTATAATATCGACGTATACTGATATGGCATACCTAGCAGTACTGACGCATATCTCGGAGTCCCGCTCGCACAGCGCCAGGCTGGAGCACTGCTCGGAGCCCTGAGGCGGCGACACTTCCAACTTTGGTGTTTCCAGCCTTCGAAAGTTATTTTTTTTATTATTTACCGACATTAAAAAGAGGAGTTCCAAAATACATATGTATGTGTAATTTGTCTGCGTGTGTGTTGTGAGTGGACGAAGATAAGTTAAATTTTTTATCAAACTTTTTATCTGTAAGTGTGTAGTTGCTTGTTTACCTTGTAACGATTTTTTTAATTGTTTTTTTATTACATATTATTTCGTTTTTTTTTATGAAATGTATTTAAAAAGTTTCATTTAACAAATTAAACAAAAAATAAAAGAGATAATAAATTTTCGACTTTTTGGTTTGCGTTTTACTTATAATTTATTCAGTAAAAAAAAATATTAAAAAAAAGATAAAAACAAGTTATCAAAGTATTCATAAAAACTTGAACCAAATATAAGTACAATTCTGCATTGATTGACGACAGATTACACGTTCTTAGTTCTAAATTATCTTTTAGAGAGGTCATTATGTCCATCTCACCCGATATGTTCAGTGGTGCTAACGTCGGTGTCGTCTGGTAGCGGTTCCACCTTCGAGTCCTGAGGAGTTGGCAGCTCAGCGGGACTTAGAAGCGAAGAGTTGTCATTCTATGGGAAAAAAATAAATAAAATATCACTCTTGAGCTTTGACGTTTGAACTTTCGAAGGATGGGTTTTCCATACAAACCATCCCCTATTTCACCCCTAACTCCATAAGTTTTATTTTTGTTACAAAAAACCTGTGGTCTTTTGCAATATATAATCCATGCGTAGAGCTGAAGATCGAGCTCAGTGGCGTGCCATAGGAGAGGCCATGTCTAGCAGTGGACGAAAGGACAATCTATATTAATATTATAAAGAAGAAAGATTCGATATTTTGTTTGTTTGTACTGAATGGGCTCCGAAACTACTGGACCGATTTAGATGAAATTTGGTAAGTAGTTTGAGACCCTGGGATTAACATAGGATATCCCGGAAATCATTACTTAAGGGGGTGAAAATGGGAATGAAATTTTATATGCGGAAGCAATCTAGGGACGAACCCGAGCGAAGCGAGGGTGAGTCGCTAGTAAATGATATATATAACTTGAACTAAAACTTTCGATACTCTTCTTATTCTAAAATCTTTTGCACCTTGTAAATTCAGAGCTACCCTCCATTTGAGACTTCAAGAAATTCCTAGAAGGTTTAGGAAGGAACAGAGTTAGAATGTTATCAATTGCCACTCACATGCTCTGTCTGTGACATGTCCGCGTCGTGCTCCAGCTCGCCCGCGGGCTGTGTCGTAGATTCACATTCGTCTGAAAATTAAAAAAAAATCATATACTATATAGTATAATTAGAAAATGGCCGAAATCCATTGTAATATTATAAATGCGAAAGTATTGTCTGTCTGTCTGTTACTTTTTTACATCTACACCGCTAAAGCAATTTTGATGAGTTTTGGTATAGAGACAGATGAGGCCTTAGGGAAGGACATAGGCTACTTTTTGTCGCGAAAACAAAACTTTTAATTTGGAGAAATGAAAGTGTCATACATTTGCTATTTTATTAAACTCTAGAAATTTGAGTGATATTTAATAATAAATATCAGGAGAAGCGTGTGTGGCGATATTATACATGCAAAAGACACATAGGGGCCCATCCGAGTCAAGCGGGGGTAAGCCGCTAGTCTTCTAAAAAATAAAAATGAAATGTTGCTCAATGGTAAGCGCATCTAATAAGAACTTCTAGACCGATTTATTAGTTAGATATTTGAGTTCCAAAAATGAGTGAATTCGAGAACAATAGAAATTGCTTGCTTGAAATTGAAATAGGGACAGGATAACGTCTGTCAGATCAGTTAGTATAAAATAATAACATAACGTGATGAATCTTCTTTCTTAAGCCAAGATTTTTATTTTTTGATTATCTAATTATAATAAAATTGTAACTGAGTCGAATCTGTACATTAAATATATTAATCATAAAATCTCATTGAAATAGTCATTATTATCGTGGAGAGGCCGAACCTATAGTTTTTAGAATTTTTGTCTGTCTGTCTGTCTGTTACCGCATCACAGAAAAACCACTGGAGAGATTTTAAGCTGGTTATCCGGGTCAACATATAGGATACTTTTTACCGCGGAAAATTACCTCATTTCTGAGAAAAAATAAAAAACTGCAATATAAGAGTATACTAATATGTAAAACCTAAGAATTTGGTTTTTGGTCATCTGAACGCGGGCGAAGTTTATTTATAAAAGTCCAATCAAATAGATGATATTTCAAGTTCCAGCTAGAATGGTTCACAAATATAATTTTTTATAAGTCGACTCCTAAATAAACAAAAAATTGTATACCAAAAATGAAAAAAACCGACTAATTTATTTTCTACTCTACCAATTTCAAGAAGAACCATTTATTGGTTCAAGACTCCTCACCTGAAACCTCTTCCTCAGGTATAGCCTTCGCCCGCTTATCAGCAGTCCGTCGCCTGACCAGCTCTGCGATGACACCATGTAACTCCGCCAGCCTCGCATCATGAGCTCGGGCGGCGGCTGCTGCACGTTGTCTCTCTGCTGCGAGGGCTCGGGCGAGGGCGTCTCGCTCCGCCCTGAGAGTCGAGAGGTCATCCACTCGACCACTGCTTTGGGTTGCCACCTGAAAATTTAGAATAAACAGACCATATAGTCGACTTGCACTAAAAAAATATACACATATAGTTAAACACAGATTTTTTTCAAGAAAATATGCTTTTAAATCGATAATCTCTGCCAGATAAAAAGATCGAAAGTTATAATACTTTCTTAGAATTACGCAAATATTTGACATTTTAAATAAAACCATCTTTTCGGATGTTTTCGCGAATTTATTTTGATTTTTGGTTCCCGACGTTTCGAATGCTTTACAACAATCATGGTCACGGGAGAGACTAAGGTGTTAGATGTCTCAAAGGTATTTTAAAGTTGATACAGGCAGCCTACCCAGAAATAACAAAATGAATTCATAAAAAAGTACCTTACAATATTTTTTAACTTTAAAAATTTTTATAATTTTATTTAGTTTTATAATTAAATATCATCAATATTATTATTTAATTAAATGTATGAAAAATCTATACTAAACGTTAAAACGTAAGTAGGGACGATCCCGAGCGGAGCGAGGGTGAGACGCTAGTACATAATACATACACATGTATACATACATGTAGGTATATACAGAAGTACGCATCACAACAGGTGTACAAGTATGCTAAGAATACTCGTACAAGTTGTTTTAGCTAGGAAACCAAACGGTGCATTAAAAAAAACTCGATTTTTTAATTAGAGTCCAGGCAAAGGGCGGAATGCGCTCAAAAAAAAACAAGTTTTTATTCTTACAGCCTGCATAGAACATATCTATCTACCTTCCAGTATGGTAACTACATATAAACAATGATCTTGGGTTCGATTCCCATAACTACGTACATACATATATACCAAATACAGCAAGTAGAACATTAATACTAATATATATGTATATATATATATATATAATATATACATATATATACATAGATAGATAGATAGTTTTATTCAAAATGTCAAAGATTTACGCAAATATTTAACATTTTGAATAAAACTATCTTTTCGGGTTTATTTTCATTTATGATTCCCGACGTTACGTTTTAAACGCTTTACTACTTTACTCTTAGAAGTGACGAAATTGAAAATCTTAAACTAATATGAAAAGAAAAGAGTTTGTTGGTTTGAACAACCAGTCTGATTTATAAAATCATTTTTGCTTTGATAACTAATTTTGAGAAAAGTAGTAGGTATCACCACGCTACAATTTTTAGGATCGATACAGTTATACATAAATATACTACGCGAGCAGAGAAACTGAAAAATCTAGCTTTATAATTTACACTACTATTAGAAAGCTTTGTATGTTTGTAACGAATAAACTCAAAAACTACTGGACCTATTTAGACGAAATTTGGTAAGAAGATAGTTTGAGACTCTGGGAAGGACATATGATAATTTTTATTCCGGAAATCATCCCTTAAGGGGGTGAAAATGGGGATGAAAGTTTGTATGGGGAATCAACCTAGGGACGAACCCGAGCGAAGCAAGGGTGAGTCGATAGTATGTTATGAAGATGCGTCAGTAACTAACGGTTAGAATGCACGCCGGTACTTTGGGCTTCAAATGGCACCAAAAACGCACCGTCTTTTGGCGCTGACCAAAATCAAATATGATAATCGTTTATTTATTTGGACATCGGATATGTTACTACGGAATACTTGCACTGTTATTTCATATAAATATAATAGAACAATGTAGGTTTATTGTTTATTTTCCTCATACACGTCCATGTATGTATATATAGGAATAACATAATTGTGAGAGGGTCAAAGTATATGGGAAGGTTTTTAGATTTATTTACTTTATTTTAAATACAATTATCTTTTCAAATTTTTCCGCGGATTCATTTTAAATTTTCGTTCCCGACATTTCGAATAATAATTAATAAATAAATATGTTGGGACATTAACATACAGCACCATCTAGTTCCATGGTAAGCTACGAGGCTTGTGTTATGAATACCAGATAGTTGATACACAACTCTAGATAACTTTAAATACATACATATTATAAATATAAACACCCGTGACTGGAGTACAAACATTCGCGCTCATCACACAAAAGAACGCCCCCAGCGGGACTCGAACTCGCGACCGCTGGATTTTTTAGTGAATAACTTAAACCAAGTGTGCCAGTTAAACCGTGTTTTAATAAAACTACCATCACTAAGGGTAAAATAATTATTTTAAAAAATATAAAAGTAAAACAAAAAGCATAGCAGCTGAGCTCAGTAGCTAAAAGTCTTACTTAAAAGATAAAACAATCTTGAATCTATATATCATGGTGAATACTAGAGCATCCTCAAATATCCAACTCCTTACTCCATACACTCTCATACCGAACAAACGTCACATCAGGTACGTGTTCTCTGAATATACACAGTACCCACAATATGCGAACAAAGCTATAGGTACTGGCTAGTATAAAAAAACGCTCCTTTGGAATACTGATGATAAATATCTAAGCATTACATTCCTGAATGTTTACCTGATTTAAAAAAAAAACTCATTTTTTTATTTTGAATAATTCATAAAACTTTTGAACCAACTAAACTTACCATATTAAAGCCATTTTGTCCAGGAACAGGGGGTGCAGTCACCGGCCTCAAGCTGGAGTACCTCCAGGACGATTCCCTTGATATCTCCTCATCACCTACGTTTGGACAGCACAAGTACCAACTCCTGCTCCTCCTGACTCCTGGAGTAGTGTCCAATTGGGTCAACGGAACACGTCCAACGATCTCCAATTCTGCTAGCAACGGTTCCTTCTCTTTAGATTCTGGCATTGGAAATGTCCCAGCTGTGGAGTAGGTTTCCCCAACCTTCACTCCATTTTCAGGAGTTGTATACTCCGGAGACCATCGATCCCGCAAGGGCGGCACATCTTTCGTTGCTCCATCGTTAATAACTTCATTTGTCTCATCATATTCGCTGAGCTCGTTTAAATTTTGCTCCTTATCTTGCCCACCATGTTGTTCTTGGGCGCCATTTTGTCTTGCTTGGCCGCCATTTTGCCGTTTAATCTTCTCAAGATCGGCATAATAATAGGCGGTGGAACGCGGGGGTTCCCCGCTGATAGTGCGGGTACCGGCCATTAGGTATTTTACATTTTCTTGAATTTCATTTTGAAAAAATATTTTCGACACTTTAGTTGATATGTTAAAACATCACACATTCACTTCAGTCATTATCACATATTTGCTATTTAGTATCGTTTGAACTACGAAAATATATTCTAAAAGTTAATTTTGGCAATCGGTTTGTTTTTCGCACATCTTATTATGCATCATCAATCTTACTAAAACTAAAAAAGCTCGCAATAACTAGTTTATGAGTATTATCACATATTATATATTATTTTTGAACTAGAAACAACTGCACCTATTTTCGTAAGATTTCCACCAATAGAAAGAGGAATATCTAAGAATTCTATTATTGATAACCATTTTTCAAAAATTATTATTGTACATATTTGTAAAAAAAAATGTGTCTTCTAGTATATAAAAAAGGACTCACACATGCAATAAACCCCAACAGTAAAGGTGCACTAGTGTTTACGTAAACACAAATTTTTGCAGCCCTTAAAAAGCACCCCTTATTAAAATTTTAAACGTCCCCTACACTTTTATCCCCAACTAGGCTTTATCATAGCATTATTTATGGTAAGGCACGCGCCTCACAAAGAACTTTCATAGTGAAACCAAGGTACAATGGCGGCCGCCCGCTAGTTTTTAAGAAAGTCTGTAGTTTTTCGCCTTTACTGATTAAAATTTACAAAGATCTGGCATAGCAGTAACAATCAGCTAAGGCGGAGACCGTGAGTTCGAATTTCGCACACAACATATGTTTAGTGTTGACCTGCATATAGCGAAAACACAGAAAAATTCGACCGACAATGGAATACACATAAAACTTATCTAAAAGTGTTTGAGAACGTTTTGGGATATAAATTATTATATTATTGCTAGTAACATAAATTAACTAATGTTCCATCTGTCTGCCTCTATATTTAATGGTATGTAATTCTAAAAGGCCAAAAATAATTAAATTACATTTTTCCATACTAATATTATAAGGACGAAAGATTTTTTTTGTTTGTTTGTACCGAATAAGCTCCAAAACTACTGAACCGATTTAGATGCAATTTGGTAAGAAGATAGTTTGAGATCCTGGGAAGGACATAGGATAGTTTTTATCCCGGAAATCATCTCTTGAGAGAGTTAAAATGGGAATGAAAGTTTGTATGGGGAAGCAACCTAAGGACCAACCCAAGCGAAGCGAGGTGAGTCGCTAATTAAGTATACGCGTATACAACGTAATTAAAAATTTTGCAGCAACTTTCAAGCAATCGATCAAATTCAGGAACTCTGTTTGAACTTCAATTCACATGTCCTTAAACGCGGAGACATGTAAAGTGGCTGTGAAAAGACAAACGTACGCGAGACAGCCACATGCACTAATTCTTTCTCAGATTTACGTGAATATCTGGCTGTTTTTTAATAAAGTGTTTTTAATATTCCCAGTAAGGTTTTACATTTAAAAAAAAAATGCCCGGAAAATTGGAAAATTTAGAAAAAATTGAAGTACATTTTTCTATAGAAATTATTTATACTATAGAAATTATTTACTCAAATATTTAAAACTTCTTGAATCTTGTCTTTTCGGATTTAGTCAGATTTAGATATAATTATAGTTTGTTCCATGAAACTAAAATCTGGTCTGGTAAAATATACGATCAAATCGCTACCACTCATGCGATGGACCAACATATTAATCCACCTGGCCGTTAGTTAACCGCTTTGTGCCTTTGAAAGCGCTGCATCTATACACTGAAGGTTTGATGTGGATTTTATGAAAGAAAACGTGCAAGTACATAAATTAATTTAAATTTAATTAAAGAAATGATGGCTTTTTAAATATCTTAAAAGAACAAAATGCCCTTTGAAATATTTCTGGTAAAGTATTTAGTCCTTTTTTAACGTCCCACAGCTGGGCACGGACCTCTATTCAGTACGAGTGGGATCAGGCAATAGTCCACCGCGCTGGCCAAATTTTTGAGAAAACGTTATCTTATTTAGTGTTGCCATTATTATATTTATAAGCATAAAGAAAATTATATATTAATTATTCAAGCCACTTATTGTTTAAAAATTAAAAAGTTATAATTAATTAAGAATAATAATTTTAATTTAGTTTGTTATTATTTAAAAATCAAAATAAATCCAAAATATAGAAATCAAAATATACAAATTTCACAAATATTCACATTTGATCTGCAAAATGCAATCCTAACGTCATAGGATAAAAGAACGACTTAACCTGAACGGCTGTAACAATCTAATCAAAACTTTTACTTCAGCATAGCTATGGGCGAGAGTAAGTAATCTATAAGTTAACTAAATATTACGAAAAAATAATTTTAAATATTTGGTTTCTATACATAGTATAAAACAAAGTCGTTCCCACTGTTTGTACGCGTAGATCTTTTAAACTACTGAACTGATTTTAATGGAGTTTTCAGCAATAGATAGAGTGATTCAAGAGGAAGGTTTATGTGTATAATAAATAAATTAATAATAAATAAATAAATAATAATACATCCACATTATATCCATTCTAACCCTTAAAACGTACCGCTAGTATATTACTAATTTTTAGGTTACACGCAACTATAAGGCTTGCAACACTGCCGGGAAAACCATATGTTAATTGTAAATAAAGTACATTTCTACTTACATACTAATATTATAAATGTTAAATTAACTGTCTCTTACGTTTTCTCGCTTAAACCGCTAAACAGATTTCGATAAAATTTGGCAAGGACATACATTGCATCCTAGGAACAGACAGACAGCCTATTGATAACCTTTGATTCACGTCCCACTAACCACATGAGCGAAGCCGCGGACAAAAATAAGTTCACTATAAGAGAAGTTTGAGCGACGGTATAGGAATAGCGCGTTGTACGTTTCATAACCACTCTTTTTGCTCAGTACAGTTTCGTGACGGCGTCCTTTTTAGGACATGAATTAATAAAATCTACAAAAGCATGGAAGCTGGAGCGTATTCGAAATGCGTCTGCATTCAAAAAAGCTAGTGCCTTCAAACATTACACGTGTTACTCGCATTAAGCTCGCGCGCGAAGTTCATAGAACTGACAAGGGCATGGTGCATACTGCAACGTACGGTGTAAGCCATAGGCGATGGCGTTTTTATACTTTTTTGGCGAAGACGCGGGTTCTGCTAGTATTGTATATGGTTAAAATTATATAATGTCGAAACGCCTGTAATTTAAACCATCCGGCATTCGGCTCCAGCGTGTCAAGCCTGACCTAGAGGAAAGCATTCAACTGTTTCTGCGCTAGAGTTAGATAATTGTGAGCCAAATGCCTTTCAAAATCCATCCATGTATACATTTGCTTGGCAACAGTATCTTTTATATACATTTTGTCATCTTTTATTCGCTATACTACCTCCTGTCCGCGAGTTCGCTTGTGAAATTTATCTTTTATGAATTTTCAAAATCTTCTTTCACCTTTGGGCAAATTACATGTCATATGCATTTTGAACGTTTAACTAACTTTTTTATAATAATAACTTAGCAGTTAAAGTCCCACTGCTGGGCATGCGTCACCTTTCAACGCGTGGAAGGATCAAGTCATATTCTTCAGTCTAACAGACTACAGATATCTTTCCAAAAATAGTTACGACTCTCAGAGATCCTGCTTCATACACAATGTTTTCCTTAACCATAGAATAAATACGGAAATAGCTCAAGTTGAATATGATTCCCACATGAAAATATTTGAAATTAAACCCGGGTCGGGTTTGAACCAGCTTTATTTCGTTTACCAACCGAGTGTGTTACCACTGTGCACCACTGTCTTATTATGAACTAAAACTATGCTGACTCATCATGTAAAACTATGTTGAAAGATCAGATACCTCTTTCAAAATGTTATGGCACACTAAAAACAGATAGAGCATCATTCGTAGCACATTTAGCTATAAAAATAATGGAATTTTATGTCTAAAAAAACACATCGACTTCTAAATCACCTCAAAAATATTTTTAAAAATTATTTCATCCTTAGACACCCACACCTGCTCGTATACTAGAAGACCAAGGTTTTAACTACCCACTATTTATATTATGAAATTGGTCGTGTGTATGTTTGTTCCTCCACAGCTGGACGAATTTGAATGAAAATCAGTAAATATATAATCTACTAGCATTGCCCGCGGCTCCGCCCGCGTTCAGAAGACCAAAAACCAAATTCTTAGGTTTTACATATTAGTATACTCTTACATTGCAGTTTTTGTATTTTTTTCTCAGAAATGAGACATTTTCTCGTGGTATCGTCAGGAACCAGCTATCGTAACCAGCTATCGTCATACCAAATTTCATCAAAATCCCTCTAGTGGTTTTTCTGTAATGCGGTAACAGACAGACAGACAGACAGACAGACAGACAGACAGACAGACAGACAGACAGACAGACAGACAGACAGACAGACAGACAGACGGACAGACGGACGGACGGACGGACGGACGGACGGACGGACGGACGGACGGACGGACGGACCGACAGACAGACAGAATGACAGACAGACAGACATTAATGTACAGATTCGGCTTAATTACAATTTTATTATATGTATAGATGAGCTGGAATAACACATAGGTTACTGTTAGGCATCTAGGGACGCACCATCATGAAGGTAAGATAAATCTAGACTAGACTGAATTTACATTGCATTGCACTGGACGTGTAAAATAACGCTTAAATATGTCACATGCAATGATTCCAATTCAATTCAATTGTCTTGGATCTTTAATGTTAATGGCTCATAACGTGCCAGCTGAGCGCAGATCACTTCGCCAATGTCCCGTAGAATGGAGAAGACACGGGCGAGATTGGCCGGTAAAATAAAATTATAATATGTAGTTAATTGTAAAAAAAAAATCTTACTTACAAATAATATTTTTTTTTACAATTACAATAAAAAAAATACAATTAAAAATTATAAATATAAAGACTTACAAATACAGTTATTTTATTATTTTTATGAACTCCAGAAAATAAATTAAATTC